CCCGAAGTGCCACGGAGGTTATCAGAGCCCTGAACCTTATCTTCGTGAAATACCGCAGCTTGGGGATCCCGCTCTACCGCATGCACTGTGACCGAGCAAAGGAGTTCCTCTCGAAGCAGGTGCAGCATTGGTGCTTGGAACACAACTTGCTGCTTACCATGACCTCGGGAGACGATCATGCAGCGAACGGAAGAGTGGAGACAGAGGTCAACCACGTCAAAAGAAGGCTTCGAGTGGTGCTGAAGGGGTCTGGAGCTCCAGCGAAGTGGTGGCCTGCAGCCCTACGTCATGTGGTCCTGCAGCGAAATCAGCAACAGCTGGAAAGACTTGGGGTGGAGACCTTCCCGCTGCTCCCATTCTACGCTAAGGTCATGGTGAAGACGAAGAGATGGCATAAGAAGGGGCCCTTGGCATCACCTTTTCGTGAAGTTCGCCTACTGGGTCCGAGCCCATTGATGTGCAAGGGCTGCCATCTTGCCAGATGAGGAAGCAGACAGGGCGCGGTACGAGCTGGAGGTGGATGATAACCCTGGGAAACCGAAGCAACGGCTGACCGGGAAACAGCGGATGGAACGTGGGCCACATCTGGGGGGAGATCTCGACCATGAAGAAGGTGTACTGCCTCAGGAAGAAGATGAAGGCCCCGCTCTACGTGAACTGCAAGCGGGGGGGGAGTACTACACTGGCCTGAAGAAATTTTGGCTAACAGACAAAGGAAGAGAAGAGCTCGAGGAGACTCTGGGCGCCTATCAGTGGGGCTTGAAGGAAGCATTAGCAGAGGAAATCAAGGTCGTCCCCATGGGTGAGGAGCTTGGATTTGCACATGGTGCCGCGGTGGAGTTTCTCATGGGTGGCATCAATCAGCTGGAAGACGACCTGGGGAACCTTCAGAAGGACGAGGGTGAGAAGGGCTATCGGATGGCCTTGTTGAAGGGAGGTTGCGAAGAGGAGCCGGAAAAGGTTCTACAAACTCGCACCGTGCCGCTTCAGGAGGTGAGAAGAGATCTGGAAAGCTGGAAAGAAGCCATGACCGATGAGTATAATGCCTTGGTGTACGGCACGAAGGTGGTGAAGCCAGTGAACGAGAAGGATTTGGACAGCATCCCGGGCATCGAGAACGCGGAGTTCGCCCCGGGCAAGCTGGTCACAACCATCAAGGCACCTCTGGGCAGGAAAAGAGCTCGGGCGGTGATTTGTGGCAACCTGTTGACGGACGGCAATGGTGAAAGCTCGAAGTCGGCGGTGGACAAGAAGGAAAACTACGCGGGAGGCATCGATGGCACGGCCTTGAGGTGCGTCCTACGGAAAACGGCACACGAGCGGTGGGACCTGGCCACGGTGGATGTGAAATGCGCCTTCCTGCTGGCACCTCGTCAAGAGAAGAGGAGGGTCCTCATCACGAGGCCCCCCAAGGTGCTTGTAGAAGCGGGCATCGTTCCGGCTTCGGAGCGTTGGCTTGTTCAAGGAGCCATGTATGGTCTGGAGACCAGCCCAGCAGACTGGTCGGCTTTCAGAGACCAGCGTCTGAGGGGTTTCGAGTGGAAGCATGAGGGCCGAAGCTTCAAGCTGCAGCAGACCACCGAGTCCAACGTGTGGGCGGTGATGGAGCAGAAAAAGGAGACAGATGGACTGCAAGCTCCGTGCGGGTACGTTGTGATCTACGTAGATGATTTCTTGGCAGCTGGACCTCGAGGCTTGGTGGATAGCATCATCAAGCGGATCAATGAAGAATGGGTCTGCAGCCTGCCGGAATGGATTCATCATGAAGGTTGGACCAAGTTCTGCGGGATGGAGTTGAGATGGAACGGAGATGGAGATCTGCAAGTGGCTCAGCCCTCCTACATCGCGGAGCTGATCAAGAGGCACAACGTGGAGTGTGCTCGACCGGTCCCGTTCAGCAAGCCGGAGATCCCCGAGAACCCGCAAATGACGCCAGAGGCTATTCGGGCGGCTCAGGGATTGGTTGGTGAGCTGCTATGGTTATCGGTGCGGACGAGACCAGATGTTTCCTTCGGAGTCTCTTGGATGTCGCAACATGTGACACGATGTCCGCAGGAGGTGGTCAAGGTCGGCATGGAGATGATGGCGTACTTGTACGGTACGAAGGAATTGGGCCTGGTGTATGGGGGCTGCAAGGGAGACAGGGGGCCAGATGGCGGTTTGCCGTTTGCGAGGTCAATGAGGAGATTAGAGATGTACGCGGACATCTCCTTTGCCCCGTTGGGTGAAAAGAGCCATCAAGGGGTTCTCGGTTTCTATGGTGGCGCCTTGGTTCAATGGGAATCCAGCCGCCAGCCGTTTGCGACCCTTAGCACAGCGGAAGCCGAACTGGTGGGCTATATCGAGGCCATGATCATGGGTGACTCCCTCTGCGCGGTCTTGGACATCATGGAGGGTGGCCACAACGGTGGAGGAATCACGGAGAAAGTGATATACGGGGACAACACGGCGGCGTTGGCCATCGTTCAGAATCCAGATGGGCCGTGGCGCACACGGCATCTTCGGCTGCGTGCCAATGTGTTGCGAGAAAGAGTGAGAGGTGGAGAATGGCAGGTTCGACATTTGCCAGGTTGTGATTTGGTCGCAGACTACCTCACGAAGACGGTGGCTTCCAGGTCACAGTGGCTCAGGTTCTACGCCATGACGGGCATGCTCCTGGCCACAACGGAGGTGGACGGAATGGTGAACCAAGAAGCCATTGGGTCCGAGAAGGGCCTCACCAAGGACACGGTCATGAAGGTGGCGGCTCTGAGTGGGCTCATGGGTATTGTGGCTTGCTGGAAGCCGCAGGACCCTCGGTCTCACACCGTGAAGGAGCTTTGTTTGGCGGCTCTTGGTGTTGGGTTAGGTTTTGTGTATAAAGGCCATCGGGCCCAACCTGCGAGGGAATCAAGATCGGCTAGGGATGATGAACCAGCCGCACAGCAAGGCAACTTCGAGGGAAGGATTGCCAAGATGGTCAGGGAAGATGAACCGACCACACCAAGGGACCCCTCTGTTTGGAAGCTTGTCACCAGGGATGATGAACCGGTGAAGGCAAGACCCTCTGTCAGGGAAGATGAACCGACAGAGAGGAAGATCGCCAGGGAACATGAACCGGCGACGTCAAGAAGGGCTAGGGAAAATGAACCAGCCCCGAGGGTAAAACAAGAGGACCCCTGCCGCTTGCCGTTTTACCACTGCCCTACGGGCTGCCCTGCATCAATAGGTAAGGGTCGGGTGCCAATCGAGGCACCAAGTGAGCCATGGCCTGAACCACCTGGTGGTCCAATTCGTGGGTCACAGGATGAGGAGCCTGAGGACTTTTGGGAGGTGACGTTTGAGCGAGACTTCATCGTGGCGACCCGCATTCATATGCTGAGGAGAAACCGGGATTTTCAACCGGATCCGAGGAACATGCCTCCGGGGGTCAACGCTACGATGCTGGAAAGTCGGCGACAGACCAATTTGGTTTTCGTCGATATCGAGCGAGGGCGGCGGGTGATCAATGACAATTGGAGGATGGAAGCTTTTCGCGAAGCAGATGCCTGGACGGGATCTACGACATTCGTGGCTCCACTGCGAGGCAATGTGAGCTTGCGGGACCTGGGAATCACTTCACTACCGGGTGAGCGTGAACGAAGCCGCAGTCCGAGGGATGACAACAACCCGGATGATGCGGGACCAGCCCGTCCCAGGATTGGGAACACCCACATCAGGGCCCCAAGCCAGCGAGAAGTTCGACCGCGGCTGCGAGCCTTGAGGTGGTTGTCGAAGCAGCCGAATGTGGAGACCAAGCAGGCAAATAAGATTGAGGAGAAGACGGAGGAGGGGAGGAGGTCAGATAATCAAGAAGAAGACCTTCATCAGGATGGGCCAGTACTCCCGTGGGAGCTCGAGGAGTACAAGGTCCCCCCGATGCTCAAGAACAAGAACAAGGACGAGTGGGATTGGTCCCAGCCGGGATGCAATCCGTGCACATGGCAAACCTCGGAAACGCAGGTTTCACCCGATCCATCGAGAGTTCCCGCTGGATGCAGCGCGGTTGGAGTCGAGGAGGATCACGGTGAAGCTACACACGGCACATCGCCTTTGGGTATCCGGTCCGTCGAGGAGGACAGCTGGACAGCTCATCAGGAGCGACAACGAACCTCGCAAATGCAACCATGGCGAGGGTACACTTTCTTCCAGATCAAGGTCAGGAAGGAGAGGAATTCCGGCTGGTCGTCCGTAAAGGACCGTGGAATCGCTTCGAGGGGCATTGATCCTAGCGCAAGGGGCTCTGGGGACCAAGTTGGATCCGGAGGCTATGCGCGAGGAGGCCCAGAGGAGCGTGGGAAAGATGCTGGCCCCGTAGTCACATTTCCAAAGGCGAAGGCTGGCGGACGAGGGAGGACTACTACACGGGCGAGCACTATGGAGGCAAAACCTAGGACTCCATCAAGTCTTCCGGCAGATGGTGCTGGGGATTTGGCGGAGGAATTTTCAGTTTCTTCTTCTGAATGGGAAGAAGTTTGAATGCAGCCGAAGGCTGCAGGGGGAGTGTGCATGTTCAACAGAAACATGATGCACACGGAACCATTCAATGGCGACGGCCATTGGCTCAAGCGCTGGAAAAAGCGCGATCTTTTTGCATAGACATAACCATAGTTTCAATGTGGGGGAGATTTGGAGACCCATGTGAGGTCTCTTAGAATCTCCTAGAACATATCCAAGTCCGGTTACCCCAAATAGGCTTTGGGTTGGGATGTTCCAATCAACCTCATGGAGTTTCGGCGTCATTTTCTCAAAGCATTGCCAGCCCATCCCTTTCCGCTTTTGGGTTTCCTTTCCTTTCCCTTGACTTTTTGCCCTAGAAATGCCAGAAAAAAATGCCAGGCTGCTGGGGCCTGATCCGTCGAGCCTTGTTGAGGCTTCCGAGGTTTACCCCAACAAGCGGGGCGGTCGGGCCACTCATCCGAAGGCCCTGGTTTTCCCCAACATTTGGGGCGGGGGGGGGGGCTGTCGGGTCCACTCCAAAGGCCCTGGACGACGATGAGGAGGACTACCGGGACTGGCTGCGGGGTGTGCAGCCCCCGCCCTTCGGGCCTTCAGTGGTGATCCAGAGGCCGTCGTACTCGACGGTTCCAGCGATTGGTGCCCTTCTCACCCCTTGGTTGGGAGGGTTCCCCTACTAAAATCGACTACAGAAAGAAAATCTAAAATTGTGGGGCCCGTATTCTAAGCTCTCTACTGGAGGACCTAGACTCGACCACGGGTCCAACTCCCGGACGGTCTCAGTAGTTGCCCTTTTGGTTTGCTAGTTTGGTTTAGAAGTAGACGGGTTCCACTGGTTTAGGTGAGTTTTGGGCCCTTTAGCAGGGGAACCCATCTATTTTGTCAAAAGGTCTCCCATGGTCTCAGTGGATTGTAAACAAACTTCACCTGTTTCCGAATGAGTCGCCTATTCAAAGCGCAACTGTCGGGATTCTATATGGATGAAATGGATATGAATTTTGAGGAGAGTTCAGTGGGGATTTATGTCTAAGGAGACTTTGGGGGGGATTTATGTCCACTACCCACTCTTCAGGGGGTTCCCCATTCAGACTCATAGCATGGAGCTGTCTCAAGATGGTTTCTCCTGTGGGACGTGGGTGGCCGCTTAGCTTTTTTCTTCAACCGAACCAGGGGGTAAAGCAATGCTCTTCAGTTGCGCGAGTCCTTTTCGAACTGACAGGGGGGTCTTTTGGCCACCTTTTGTGGACAATTGATCGACCCCGCAGTGAAGGACTGCTTTTTGAGGGGGTCGGCAGTTTTCTCACGGAAGGTCGCAAAAAGACACCCCTGTTCGGTCTGACATGGCATGCGGCTTGAGCTTGGAGTTTTACACGACTTGTAGCGAGCTCATCTCAGGGTCGGGCGATTGCGGGCCGGTTTGCAGCTCCCCACTCCACACTTCTTGATCATGAATTACAATGTTGATTGCTGTTGGGGAACGGATCTTCAGACTTTCACTTTTTTGGAGATCAAGGGGTTTTCCGTTGAACCCACAAAAAGGTAGACTTGTGCAGAGGGGTCAACTGCAACCAAGCATAAATTATTGCGGATGAGTTGTTTTTTTAATGTTGAAATAGGACGTGCTATGAGAATCTCTGCGGTTGTCGAACCTTTGAGAGCCATTTTCGGTACCAGGAGTGATGGATGGGTTGCTGAAAGCGAATGGATCTGACCGTTTGGGTTTCACCGGTTGCAAATGTTCGGAGAGGTGGGGTAAGTCACCTTGTTTCCTCCAGGAGTTTTCTTTTTTTGCGCCGAAGCAACATGAGGTTTTGGGTATGTGAGCCCATGTTTGAAGAGTCATAATCAATCCACTCTTTTTCCAGCGGTAAACCGGTGATTTGCTACCTCAAATGAGATCCTTCATGCTAGCCCAGACCAGACCACGCTGTAAAGCTATTTTCAGTTTTTGCCTCAACCTTCTAACCTCTGTCTCTGGGTGGGCATGGACTGTGTATTAAGGGCCCCCAGCAGGGTCTGGAGTCTCCAGTCTGCGGGTCATAAGTCTTAGTAAGGGTGGGTCGCAATCCACCTGTTCAAACATGAGGCAAAATAAGTGTTGTTGAAAACTTCACACAACCTGCTTTGGTCTTCATTTTTGGTGCCACCAAAGGAAGCTGTCAGAGCCATGCCCATTTCAAAACAGCTGTTCAAAGGTTTGACTTGCAGGGATCAACGAAGCCAGGAAATTATGTAAACCAGTTGCAGGAGTTCTGCTAATGTGGTAAGTTACATATGTTTGTTCTCCAATCTTCACCTCTCTGAGGTTTTTTGTATTACACCCTGGGATTACGCGCTTGGGAAATGACCCAGAATGGTTCAACATAACACGGTTTTATCCGGAAATGTGCAAAACATGGGGTCAATACCCAGTGGGCATAGGTGTCCTTTTTGGTTGTTTGGGTAGAAACATAGATGGCAATTCCTGGTTTACCTGGTTTCATCATCTACCAGGGAAACCCATCTATTTCCCCTAAAAGGACACCTATGCAAGTGGGCGTATTCGCAGGGTGTAATACACAAACTCTTAGAACCAATAGTACCATTTTGGGGTAGGTGAATTCACCACCCATTTTAAGAACCTATTTTAGTGGGGATTGGGACGTTCACTGGGGGTACGATTTGGGTTTTGACCCATGGCCATATTTTTGTTCTTCTCCAATCCCAATAGTGCCCTTTTACCTTTTTCTGGGGGAGGGTTCCCCCACTCAAATAGACTACCGAAAACAGGGTACCCTTATTCTAACCTCTCTACTGGAGGGCCTAGCCCTTAGAACCTCCACTGCTCTCCTTCTGCGCAAGGCCGGTGCAGTCGGTGCGGGGCAAGCCCACCCTGTCGGCCGAGGAGGCGGAAGCCCGGGCCGGGCACTTAGGCACTGAGACTCAAACGGGAAGCTCGGGAGGCGCAGCAAATTCTGCAGGCATCCCGAAATATCACTTGGCTGCGGGTCAAAAATAGTGTTTCCGCATCGCTTTTCACACTGAACAGGCTCCTTCTCCAAATGGAGGACAGTCCCAAATGGAACTGAGTGACCTGATGAAGGCTATCAACAGCGGATTCCTGGAGCGGGTTCCTTGGCACTGAACATCACCTGGTTATTTGAACATGAGTGTCCTTGTATGGCCTTGTGAAGTGATGTTATGAGGAAGTCACAGGGTTTGTCTCAAAAAAAGGGAGCCTAATTGTTGGCGTGTAATTAACACCGGCCCAAAAGCCTGTGGGTCAAAACCAATGGTGCCATTTTGGGGTAGGTGCACCACCCATTTTAGTCTATTTTAGTGGGGATTGGGATGTTCACTGGTGGTACGGGCTTTTGACCCATGGCCAAAAGGGTACCATTACAAAGGGACACCCCTAGATAGGCCCACCCAGTTGTCCCACGTCCTCATGGGGAAACCTGGGTTTTGTCCGGTGCAAGGAATCCGGTGACTCAGCAACTCGTCAGGTCAAAGCTGCGGAGAAGCCGGAGGACGTGGCTCGATTGCACGCCTACCGGAGCTTCAAAGTTTCTTTGAGGAATCTCTTCTGAAACTCGGCAACTTCGAGAGGTTCCTGGCTTTGACAGACACAAACAAACAGACAAACAATCAGACAAACAAACAGACAAAGAAACACACAAACACGCAAGCAAGCAAGCAAGCAAGCAAGCAAGCAAACACGCAAATAAAAATTGCGACCGCCCGAGACTGACTCAAACCGACTCAGACTGATTGACATATTTTTTTTAGGCATCGTGCAGCCAGGGCATAGGTATTTGTATCAAGGGGTAGCCTGACTAGGTCCCCCAGCTAGGTGCCCGTTCTTACCCCCTTTTTGGTTGGGAGGGTTCCCCTACTAAATAGACTACAGAAAAGAGTTGGTACCCTTATTCTAATCTCTCTCCTAGAGGACCTAGCTGAGAAGCCGTACGGCAACTACAAAATCAGGCGGACCAGAGCCACGTGCCAAAAATAATCAATCGGACCGCATATGTTGGTCCTTTCCATGACACAGGGCAACCCGTTTTGGGGATACGTGTTTTCGAGCCACACCCAAATGATTGCCAAGGCCAACTGAGGCCACTCACTCCCTGAGTTCCTGGACTTCGTCATTTTGGGGCTATGGACCATTTTAGTGGCAGACGAAAAGCTTGGCTTTTTTGTCTGACCAATCCACTCCTTCAATGACCAGGCCCCCAGTAGTGCCCTTGAACCCTTTCTTTGGCTCTACTGGAGGACCTAGGTGAGTTGACTCCTTGAACATCTCCGGATTTCATTGACACCGACAAAAGCAGAAGGGCGGAATTTGTTTCGCCCCCACGACACACACTCTCTCTCTCTCTATCTATCTCGCGTCAGAGGTCAGCGCCTCGCACCTTAACAAGCAGACTGAAAAAAAAAGAGCAGAGAAGTAAAACACCAAAAACAATCTCTCGGGAATCAAATTGGGCCCAAAGCCGAGCACCTCCGGCGATGGGAAGAAAAAACCCGAGGCGCGGGCGCCGCCGGCGCGGAAGGGCGCCTGGGACCGGCCTGCGGTGAAGGACATGGAGGCGCCGTATGGCGGGGGGTGGGGGGAGGTGGGGGGAGGTGGGGGGAGGTGGGGGGAGGTGGGGGGAGGTGGGGGGAGGTGGGGGGAGGTGGGGGGAGGTGGGGGGAGGTGGGGGGAGGTGGGGGGGGTTGGGGTTGGGGGCGTGGGGTGGGGGTGAAGTCTTGGGAAGTTGAGCTCTTTGGTGATCTGTGCACATATTTGTTGGTCATGAATCCGGTTCTTGAGGTTTTTAGAGCTTCTCTGGGGTTTAGTGCTAGGCTCCCCAAAAAATATCTCAAACAAAAGTTGTTTTTGTCAAAAAAGAAAAGAACAAACGTGTTCAACAAATAAACATAAAACCATATGTATATATATATATATATATATCATATGTTGTTGTTTTTGTCATTATATATAGACATATATATAGTTTAGGTTTGATCCACTACACATTCTTCACTTTTGGCAGGGGGTCTGAGGACCGCCCAGAACAGGGTTGGCAGTTTTTGTTGGTTTCCCTTCAAAACAACCCAACAAGGAGTTCCAGCATATACCTTGAACACATGGAAGGTTCTTGGGTCTGGCTTTCTTTGGCGGTACCCCTTTTTTGGGTTGGTTTTAAAAGGAAACCACAAGGCGAACCATCATTTTGGGCGTCTCCTCAAGAGACACACTTACTTTGCAAAATTATCTATGTGGTATCTGCGGATGCACAATACTTGTTTGTCCTTGGCCACGTTCCGACTGCTTGCTGCAATGCTGGCACATGTTTTTGTCATTTCCGGCTGCTAGCAGCTTCACTGCTTCTGCATGCTGCGTTGCAGTGTGGTTTGTAATTGCCGGCGGCTAGCAACTTCATTTCTATTGCATGCTGTGTTCCATTGTGGTTTGAGTTCCTGACAGCATTTCGGACTCTTGCTTCAAAATACAAAACACACCCATAAATACATGCTGCGTTCCATGCCGGTTTAAGATAGCTGTGACTTTGTGGACGTTTGGATGCTTTCCAGGCGGGGGCGCAACGCCCGCAACTAGCGGTGACGCGTGAAGTGTTGTGCTTTCGAGCCCAATTCTATTTACCCACCAATGAACAGCCGGAACCTGAGGTTTGGGGTGTTCCTGGCTTGGACCATTTTCCGAATTTAAAGGGACCGGGTCCCGAAAATCAGGGGTGGGTTTTCCTTTTAAAGGTACCCCCGGCGGTTCCTTGGTGGGGCGTGTACTCCTCGCGAGTTCCAGGAGTACATCCCTTCCTACCTGCTCCGCGGGCTGATTCCTGCGGCGCTCTTGGCCAGCTACGACTTCTGGCAGGACACCGGCGACAGCTGCAGGAGAGAACCAGTTTCCGAGACGGGTTTGCCTGGACAAAAGTACCCAAGGGTAAGAAGATTCCCACCTTTTCCCCCCCCTCCCCCGGCCTTTCCCTACCGTCACAAAAGAGGGTGTGATTGGGGGCAAACAAGCATTTAGATTCCGATGATCATGACTTAAGTTGGTTTTCAGTGGTTGGCAAGCTACTTAGATGGTCTAGAACCTCCTGGAACCCCCAATCCCCACTCAACTTCTTTGTTAACCCGTACATTGCTTTCTAGCGTAGCTAACCCCCTTGCTCCTGGTTCTCTTGCTTAAGGGGAACCACATGTGAGGGACATGTAACGAGATCAGGTTTAAAAGGCGTGGTGTTAAAACAGAACCTGGGAAACCACCATCCTAGGTCCCCCAGCTAGGTGCCCTTTCTCTCCCCTTTTTTGGTTGAGAGGCTTTCCCTACTAAAATAGACTGCAGACAAAAGTTGGTACCTTTATTCTAACCTCTCTACTGGAGGACCTAGAATCGGCCGAAAGAGTGCCAAAAGGTCAAATATGAAACCGGCCGCGTGCGCCGGGGTGGAGTCAAAGCCAGGATCACAAACAGCTGAGATGAGGTGTGCTTACTGGTGCCACGACACAGGGTTGCGAGCCTAAGGTCGACTGAACCACAAGGATATTTGGTTTGTTCTCTTGGTTTCCCCTCAGCCGCCAGTTGGTCGTGAGAGCATTGCTTCCAGATTATAATGACTATGATAGGTATCCAAGCGAAGCCACCATCAAACTGCCTGGAGTCTGGACCCATAAAACTGTGCTTCATCTTGGGGTCGTGCCTGCTCTTGAAGGGTGGCGGAAATTACACGTAGAGGGCAAATCCAAATCACTGATTACTTGTGGCGAAACGCGCGAGAGCCTCAGGGTAGACAGTGGGATAGAGCTTGTTTACCGAGTTACCGGTTACCTGAGATCAGGTCAGTGGAACAAACAACTGAAGATACTAACAGCAAATCAGGCCACTAGTGGAGCAAAAACCCACAAACAAACCCTCTCAGCTTGCAGAAACTGTTGAAGCCCCTGGAGAAAATCCTGGAGTTTGGTCTTCCCTTTTGGACCCACTTGCCCAGTGGTGCCTTCTTGTTTTGTTTTGTTTTCTTCTGGAAGGGTGTCCCTTTGAAGTCAACCAACCCCCAAAAAAACATGATGCCCTTTTTCCCATGGAAATCCACTGGGCATCTGAGTTGATGAACAAAAAACGAGGCCCGCAAACCACAAAACAACCTCTCGGCTTGCTGAAGCCCCTGGAGCTTGGTCAGTCTGGTCTTCCCGCTTTGATGCAAAACGAGGCTCGCTCGAGGGGCCACAGCCCGTAGGCTCATGATTAAACGACCAATGCGCTGTTTCCCCTAAAGCACCAGGGTGGTTTTTTACCTGGCGCTATTTTTCCCCTAAAAGGACACCAACAGCCCAACGGGCGCTCAGCGCAACGGGCGGCGTTCGTAGGCTCATCGGCTACGGCAAGGGCGAGGTGCTGGTGGAGCTGCTGCCGAGGGCCACGATTCTGGGCGTCGGCATGGAAGGCCCCCGGCGAATGGCGCCCTTTGACCACACCCCACTTTTGTGGTTGGGAGGCTTGTCCTACTAGGCTTATAAGGAGCTTTATAAGGAAGCTTATAAGGAGCCTTAGGAGGCTAAAATAGACGACATAAAAAAAGGTACTTTTATTCGAACCTCTTTACTGGACCTAAGCTATGGACCCGAAGCCCGAAGTTTCGGGACCCACTGGTCTCATGGGAAAAAGACGGGTGTGTGTTTGTGTGTGTGTGTGTGCTTTTTTGTTTTGTTGGTTTATGGGAAACAGACGGGTGTTTTTTTGTTTTATGGGAAAAAGACGTGTGTGTGTGTGTGTGTGTGTGTGTGTGTGTGTGTGTGTGTGTGTGTGTGTGTGTGTGTGTGTGTGTGTGTGTGTGTGTGTGTGTGTGTGTGTGTCTGTGTGTCTGTGTCTGTCTGTGTGTCTGTGTCTGTGTCTGTGTCTGTGTCTGTGTCTGTGTCTGTCTGTGTCTGTGTGTGTCTGTGTGTGTCTGTGTCTGTGTCTGTGTGTGTCTGTGTGTGTGTGTCTGTGTGTGTCTGTGTGTCTGTGTCTGTCTGTGTCTGTGTGTCTGTCTGTGTCTGTGTGTCTGTGTGTCTGTCTGTGTCTGTCTGTGTCTGTGTCTGTCTGTGTGTGTCTGTGTGTCTGTGTGTGTCTGTGTGTGTCTGTGTGTGTCTGTGTGTGTCTGTGTGTGTGTGTGTGTGTGTGTCTGTGTGTGTCTGTGTGTCTGTGTGTGTCTGTGTGTGTCTGTGTGTGTGTGTGTGTCTGTGTGTGTGTCTGTGTGTGTGTGTCTGTGTGTGTGTCTGTGTGTGTGTCTGTGTGTGTCTGTGTGTGTCTGTGTGTGTGTCTGTGTGTGTGTCTGTGTGTGTCTGTGTGTGTCTGTGTGTGTCTGTGTGTGTCTGTGTGTGTGTGTGTGTCTGTGTGTGTGTGTGTGTCTGTGTGTGTCTGTGTGTGTCTGTGTGTGTCTGTGTGTGTCTGTGTGTGTGTGTGTTTTTTTTTTTGGGGGGGGTTGGGCATTTAAGAGGTGAGTGACTCATGAAAAGAGGGTCGGTTTTTGGGGCAATTTAAGAAGTGACGCCTTTTGCACCATGACCAAAAGGAAACAGAAATGCATCCCTTGCTTAGAGCCTGCAAAGTGGAGACCTGGAAACAGAAAGGCTCCCCGCCATGTCCGTTCCTGGAATCACTTGTTCCAAATCCGAAGGTCAACGTTTCATGGTTGTTGTTGGGAAACATTTTTCATGTTTGCTTATTGTGGTTTAGTGGTTGAAATCCAACCACTTCACTGCTAAAATTCACATGTTTGCTCCCCTTCCAACGTCAACCAAGGTTTGTGAGGAAGTCTGGAAAAACTACCCATGCAGACCCTCACTGGTGCCTCGTTCTTCGTTTTTTCGTGTTTTTTGGTCGGAGGGGTTTCCCTGAAGCACCAAAAAGGGTTCCCCTCTTACCCTGGAGCTTTGTTCTAGACTTTTGGAGACTTCCCCGCCCCAACGTGCAAAAGTGACCAATGTTGGGCATATGTGTCACAGAGAACAAAGCAGGTACTGTAGTCTGCGGCTGGTTTGGGGAGGGCATGGGAGGACCCAAAATGACCCGAAGAAGAGCAAAGAGCAGGTCCAACGGTCCAACCCTCTTTTCCCATGCCCACCCAATTTTCGATATGTGTATGGGTCAAAATTAAACCACGAGGGGACCACAGGGTTTAGCCATTGTTTCCATTTACCAGGGCAACCCATTTTGGGGTTGCCCTATTTTTGACAACCACAGCCATATGTTCATGTGTATTCTGGGGGAGACTTAGATGAACCTGGGCTGAGTCACCCGGGGCCTCCTTCCCTTGGGAGACGCGGGCTCAGAAGAGGGATGCGTTTTGCCAAGGGATGTTAGGACTTTAACTTTTTGCCAACTGATGGGTTTTCCATTAAGCCACCAAAAGTTAAGCTTTTAGCAGGGGAGCAGAAAGCAACCGAGAATCCAAGGTTTAGGCGTCATGCCTGGTTTGAAGGGTATTGCGAAGGACTCCTGCGCGGGAAACGAACATCGCCAATTTCTAGCACCCAAAGGAGACGAACCCAAGAGACGGCGAAAACCTCTCTTTGAGCTTGTTCTTTTGCAGGGCAAGGCGTTTTTCACCTTTCTGGGCGTTTCTCAACACTGGAAACCCCTCCAGGCAGGCGGTTTCCTTTCGATTTCCCTTGAAAACCATCCAAAAAGGGTTCCCCTCTTCTGAGAACCCCCCGTTCGTGGTTGTTGTTGGGGGAAGAAACATTTTTGCTCACTGTGGTTTCGTGGGAAATCCCCACTGAACTGCTAAGGCTTAATTTTGTTTGCTCCCCTTCCAACGTCAACCAAGCAAATAGGCGAGGTCGTCCGCGTGTTTCTCGGCAGGCCCCTTCGACACCACCGACGAGCCGGCGGCCTGTGCTCGGATCACCTTGGAGCTTGCGAACTCCAAAGGGGACTTGGAGCCGCACCTGCTGCTGAACCTCCTCTCTGCGCCCAAAGGCGAACTCGGAGCTCGGAACTCGGAGCCGCGGTTTTTTTTTATGTGTGTGGTTCTTTCGTTTTTTTTTTTTTTTTTTTTTTTTTTGTGAAGTGTGTGTGTTATGTTTATTCTCCCAGCGGTGCTTTTGTTATTATAATCATTATCACTATGTGTTTTAATTAGTATTGGTATTATTAGTATGTTGTATGTGTGTGTATATGTATAATATATATATATATATATCCGAGGTTGATAGCTTGACTCAACCCCAAAATTCTTGGTTTGTAGGCTCTCGGCACTTTTTGATTCTGCCAATAACCATTCAGGTGGCTTGAAATGGGCTTTGGTGCCCCTTGGGTTGCAGCCCCCCAAAGTAGCAAAGCCCGGCACGCAACGCAACGCTGAAGCAGGCCAGCCGAAAACGCAGCTTTCCAAAGCCGCAGAATACCACCCGAAGAAGCCAATTACCTTACAATTGACTTGATCGTCCTCAAGGAAGCGTCTCCTTCACACGGAACAAGCGAATCATAACAGTTCGGAGCAGCCCTGGCAAACACCACCAACCCAGCAACCCACAAACCAGCCAGCCAACCAACCAACCATCCAACCAACCAACCAACCAACCAACCAACTAACCAACCAGCCAGCCAGCCAGCCGACCCAACCAACCAACCAACCAACCAACCAACAAACCAACCAACCAACCAACAAACCAACCAACCAACCAACCAATTAACCCACCAACTCGCCAACCAACCAGCCAACCAACCAGCCAGCCAGCCAGCCATCCAGCCAGCCAACCAGCCAACACCCATGCAAACCAACCTTACAGGTGAAAGCAGCTGGCAATTGAGAGCAAAGGCAACTCAGCGGTTGGGTTCTGGGGGTGTCTTTGGTGCTGGTGGTTTCTGGAGGATAATGCCATGAACCCCAAAACAGCACAATTTGCAGAGGAATCCCCTCTTGGACCCCCTTCTGGGGCAACCCGTGTAAAAAAAGTCAGGGCCCGATAAATGTCTAGCCAACGAATCCATACCTCAAATTGACTTACCAGGCGATATTCGTGGAACATACCATCGGTTTGTCCATTTGGGGTATACATTCGTTGGCCCTCAGGAAATCTCACTTCCCAAGTTCCAGGACTGTTGTCACTTTTTGGGTTTGGACCGTTTTGGTAAACACAAAGTGTGGTTACTTCTTTTGGCCCATCCACTCAATCGGAAGTGGGTAAGTCATATCCAGCGATTTGCCCCCACTTGTTTGCCCGCTAAACGGTACCTAGTTGGTGTCTGAGCACTGGACCTGCAGCCACCAAACCAATCCAAACCACTCGACGAGTTTGCAAATTGGGAAGCGACTCAGGAGGCGCATCGTTTGCTAGGTCATGGGTTATACAAAGTTCCCCCCAAAACGCATGGGCATACTCATGCCGTCTCTAGGTGGCAATTTCTCCATTTGGGCCACAATTATTACGTGGGTAGATGAAGGTTAGTAAGGGGCAGTCCCAACCATAAATAGCTGCGGCCGCCTTCTTAATTCTTGCCATGGTTCTGGGATTCCGACCATTTTAGTACCGGGTGTTTGAGCCAGTGACTCACTTGGGCCATGGATTCGGGCCGGTATGCGCCGGTTCAAAACTCGCGCCCTTGGCGTCGCCGAATCGCCGAATCGCCAGGCACTCCGCTGCACTCCGTGGCTTTGTGGGCGGCGCGCCTGGATGACCTCAGCCACGTGCTGGCCTGGGGGTCCTGCGCCCCGGAAAGTTTCGGTTTCCTTCCGCCGGTTGCGGCGGAAGGCGGAGGGGGGAAGCGGGGAGGGGCCTGTGGATGGTGGCGAAATCCAGTTCGCACCACCGCAGAAACCGGCGGGAAACCATTGTTTGTTGCGGTATTTACAGTCATTATCCCAGGGTTTCTTGGGTGGTGCAGGATTTCGTAACCATGAGAAACCAGGGCTTCTTAGGTGGTGCGAAATGGATTTCGCAACCATCCACAGTAGGTGTTTCCCTTGGTGAGGTAAACCAAGGGAACGCCGAGTTGCCTTTTTGGAGGACATGTTGGGGGGCTGCTAACTTTCCAAATTTACCAGATGGCAACCCATGTTAGGGTTACCCTACTTTGGACCCACAACCATTTTCCCCCAGGCGATTCCATGGAGCCCCCAGGACTTGGCCAGCCAGCTCTCCATTTACAGGCGTTCTGATAGCATCTGGTAGTATTTCAGGAGCTTCCGGCTGTTAGTCTGAGGGAGTGAATTTGATATTATGTTTAAAGATAAAATACACTAATCTTTGTTGGGGAGGAAATGTGAAACCCCATACTTTTGTTTTGTTTGAGCTGGCTTTAAGCATCACTTCAATTGGATGATGTGCAAAGGAGACATCTACGGAGCCCTGTTCTGGCCAAGGAATTTGCGAAGCGCAATGTTGCAGAACCGTGACCAGCACCCAAGGGCTGCTACTGTGGAGGGACGAAATCCATTTCGCGCCAATTTCAATCCATGGGAAACCATTGTTTGTTGGTATTCAGGGGAATCGTCAGAAACCAGGGTTTCTTAGGTGGTGCGAAATGGATTTCGCAACCATCCACGGGTATTGCAACCGTCAAAGCGGGATGTGTGTTTTGGATACACTGGTGAATCATGAAGCATCATTTCCTGCAGTCTCCGCGCCTACGGGTGACTCATAGCGGATTTGCTTCTTTTGTTTGCTACCCCACGTTAGCAATGGTCTACCTTTGGGTTCTCCTTGAGAGGCTCGCAGAAACCCTGCTACAATTCACATGTCACCTGCTTAGGGGCCTCAAGTTCAACTACTCACATCACAACTCACGAAGTTTGCTCGTTCTGAGGGGGTTGCTGGAACATGAGGTGCCGAGGCCGACCAGACGAAGCCCAACTGGGCCTGCGCACCGATGCTTCCTGGCGGCATGCGATGCGGCCTGTTCCCATTCTGAGCATATGGGCTGGTACCTTTATTTGAGTTGGTACAAAGAGAGTTTAATTAAAAGCTACAAATCTTGTGGGTTCCCCTTGCGTTGGGTTGTGGTATGTCACTTTTCTGGACGGGTGACTAATCCTCCACTCAAGGGGTTTGGTAGAAGTGGAAACCAACCCGTAGATTGCAGGAGGACCTGGCGAAGCTCCACCTGCTTAAGAAAAGGTGTTTTAGTTTCCCTTGTTGGTTTTAGAAGGAATTCCATTGCTTAAGTTTTATTTGTTCCCCTTGTTGGTTTTAAAAACAAATCATCACCACTGGACATATGTTTATTTTTACTTGCTGAAAAAAACATTATTATTTTGTCTTGTTGGTTTTAGACGGAACTCATCACCACTGGACACTTTTCTATTTTTTTCCTGGGGCCTTAACCAAATGAAAGCGAAGAGTTCGGGCTCCCGGCCGCTGCTTGAAGTGGCCCGGTGAACAGGAGTCGATGGTTTAGTTCTGCTCAAGAGAATCTTGGGGCCAATATCTGGGCGTTTGCAAAGATAGGCCGGAGTCGTGTTTAGGGGGAACAGCGATTTTTCAGGGCTTCGACCTTGGCTCTTTGAGATTTCCAAACTCCCCCCAACCCTCTAGTTGAAGGCCCCCCAAGCGTCGTGAAATACCCAACGCCACGTTTCCTCAGTGTCTCCCCCTTGTCGGCCAGGACACTCGCGATGTGATTTTCCGTTTGTTGTTTTTTTCTCATGCGACTTATTGCGACATTGTTTGTTCCCCTTTTTCTTGGGGAAGCTCAGGGTGACGAGTTGTTCTTTACCAGTTTTCTTGACAAAGCTTAGCGTCCTAGGACGTTTGTTTCTCCCCCTTTTTGCTCAGGACAGTTAGGGTGCATCCTGAAAACGACCCTCCTTCTCACTTCCTGAGTTCGTGCTCTTTAGTCTTTTTGGGAAGACCATTTGAGTGGTTAAATTTACCACCTTGGACTTTTCTTGGCCCATCCACAGAAGTGAGCCTTAGTTGAAAGCGTCTCGCGTCTTGCCTTTCCTCTAGGGATACCTTCCATTTCCATTCTTTCCACGGATCCTTCTTTGCAAGAAACCATCGAACACCCGGGGAACCGGCTGGTTTTTGAAAAGAACGATGCTTGAAAAGAATGGACATGTTTTGCTTTTTGTGAAATAACCAACTTGGACTTTTCTTGGCCCATCCACTTCGAAGTGAGCCTTAGTTAGCGCCTCGCATCTTGCCTTTCTTGCAGGGGAAGACCCGACCCCTCCACTAGACACCCCGGAGGTGTTTGGGACCCGGTCTCAACAAATCAACCCCTAGATTTCCTCTAGGAAGCAAAATCTGGCTGTTTGAGGGCCCTAAATACATCCTCTTTTTTTGGTTAAATACCAAGCCTGGACTTTTCTTGGCCCATCCACTTCGAAGCGAGCCTGGGCCTTAGTTGAAAGCCTCCCGCGTCTCGCGCCTTTCCAGGAAGATCCTGCAGTTCCCCCGGCTGGGCCTCACCTTCTTCGTGAAGGAGGACCCAAACTCGGGCGAGGAGCCGAAGCGCCTGGTGAGCGCGGACTTCGGGAACCTCAGCGTGCCGCTGGCGCCGGTGCCGGAGCAGGCGGGGAGGAAACAGAAGGGGCACGACTTGGAGGGGGTGGGGTGGGTGGGTGGGGTGGGTGGGGTGGGTGGGGTGGGTGGGGTGGGTGGGGTGGGTGGGGTGGGTGGGGTGGGTGGGTTGGGTGGGTGGGGTGGGTGGGGTGGGTGGGGTGGGTGGGGTGGGTTGGGTGGGTTGGGTGGGGTGGGTGGGGGCTGGGTGGGGTGGGGTGGGTGGGGTGGGGTGGGGTGGGTGGGGTGGGTGGGGTGGGTGGGGTGGGGGCTGGGTGGGGTGGGGTGGGTGGGGTGGGTGGGGTGGGTGGGGTGGGTGGGGTGTGTCGTGGCGAGGTGCTGTGGGTTTTTTCCTGGAACACTTCCATTAGCTGAAAAGAATTGGTTGTGTTTTCCCCTCCTGGTTGTAAACGAAATGTATCACTATTGGGTTTAACGTGAAATTGTCCAGCGGACTGAAGCACATGGAAGAACATCAACATGCCAACAAGTTTGAAGCTTGGGGCTACCTTCCCATTTGAGAACCTGTGACCTGGCCATTGCTGTCATGCGTGCCTGCGCATCCTGCCCACCCTGCTGGGCAGTTCCCTTCTCGGTTTGCCGGCAGTGACTTTGACCCGGGTTGAGCCTGCGCTTGTGCTGCGCCTGGCAATCTGAGCCCGTGCCCGCGACTGGCCTTTCTCTTGGCTCCGTGGGGGCCCCTGTTCCTCCCGTGCCTGGCTTAGGCCCCGCCAAAGGCTGCGTCCTGTGCGAAAGGTGTGCGAAAGGGGTGCGCGCTGTGCGATTTGGCCAATTTGCTGGTGTGCGTGGTGACCTGCGGAGGTTTCCTCCTGCTCACTACATAGGAGTTGTCGCCCCCGCCAGTGCCTGAACCCGTGTCAGGTTGGCACTTGCACCTATCAGCAAATGCTGACTCGAATCTAAGCAGGTGTTCGCCAAAAAAGTTTGATCAATCTGGGGCTCGCATTACCAAGGGTTGCCTTCCTGGCAACTTGTTTTGTGGCAACATGAAAGCCGGCGCTTCAGAGTTTGATCACGGGGTCATTTCCTCCAAAATGGATACTAAATGGCATCCCCAGAGTGGTCGGCCATTTGGGTTGCATTCCATCCGGGCACGCGGGCCCTCGAGCTTTGCGATCAACTCTCAGTGAAGGTCCCTTTTTTCGGGTCCGTCTCTTGCTTAGATTCACGTTTCAAGTTTTTGTTTAAAGCAAGCCACCTGTAATTTGTATGATTGGAAAAGGGAACCGACCATTTCAAAACGACAGTTGGATCGCGGGTTTCCTGTTGCCTGGGAGCCCGGGGCTCGGGCCGATCAATTTTGTTTCCTCGCGAGGATCTTGGAAACGCTGGGTTGCTACTATTCTAGTGGTGTGTTCCTGGAAAGCCGTATGGACAGAAAAACACAAGTCATATATATATATATGTATATATATATATATGGGTTTCCAGGTTTCTATGCTCTCCACTTTTTTAGAATGCCCACGAACCATCACTGTAAGCCATCCGTTTCGTGAAAGCAACGGCTGGTCCCTTTGCAACGCCTTGCTCGAGACCAGCTTGCAGTGCAGACATTCCCATTTACAACAACTTGAACCGTGCTAGTCTTACCCTTTGTTGCTTGCCCCCAAGAAAGTACCCCAGAAGCAAACCCTTTATTGCTTGCCCCAAACGGGTACCCCAGAAGCAAACCATACCCAGCCACCCGTGACTCGCTAGTGACTTGCGACGCGCCTCGCCGAAGGTGGCCAAGCTTCTCACCGGCATTCCGCACTCGGTGATTTTGTGCGCCGCTCGCTTGCAGAGAGTTGGCGCGCGAGAAGGACGTGCACGGGGTGGCGTCTTTGCTTGTGGCCGAAAGAGTCGGCCGGCGTTCTATTTTTATTTTGTTTCCTTCCTTTTTTTCCGTCCCGTAGGGTTTTGGTTTCGCCCACCAAAAGTTAAACTTGTGGTAGAGGATCTGAGGACAGCCCAGTTGTATGCAGGGTGGTTGTTTTAACGGAAACCAAAAGGACATCGTCAATATTTGTGGGACCCTGCTTGGACACTTAGGTCCTGTGAAAAGTGCGGCAGGAGGGCGAAGAACAGTGAGATCCACAAACCAGCGCATCCCACCAGTTTTGCAGAAAACTTGTGGACCGCAAGTACCTCGCAGTTCTGGGTAGCTCGTTTTCTTGTCTGACCTTTCTCGGTTCTCTCTATCTGGGCAAGGTATCTTCTCTTGATCTTTTCCCCAGGCCCACCCGACAAGCTTCCGATTCCGATCGCCATTTGTGGGTGGTTTCAGAATTTGAGCCCCTGGCTCTTGGTGAGTACATTGTAATTGTGGTAAATGGCCAATCCAAAGGTAGAGGGCTGCAAAGAACAGTCAGTTTTTTGGCAAGTTGTCAAGTTGTGGTGATGTATTTGCTGATGCGATTAGTAGGGAATGGGCAATGGATCCATATCACATTCCCTACCGGACTCGTAGCGATCGCAAGTCACACAAGCCTACCCCAAAGAGCCCATCCCACCAACCCTACTCACCAAGGGTTGTGAAGCTTGGGTTGGTACTTCAATAGGTCATTCACAACTTCACAACCCTTGGTGTACCCTTGGTATGGCTTGCTAAACAACTGATTGTTGTTTGCAGCCCCCTACCAAAAATGAACAGAACCAAGCAACGTTTCTTTGGTTCATTTTGCTTGGCTGTTAGGACTTTAACTTTTTGCCAACTAATGGGTTTTCCACTAAGCCACTAAAAGTTAAACTTTTAGCAGGGGAGCAGAAAGCAACCGAGGTTTCATAGGCTGGGGGCCGACTTCTTTCGGGAAGCCTTTTTATCCTCCTCTCCGCTCAGGACGAGCTGCAGGCGTTGCACGTGCTGGTGCCACAGAACTTGCCCATGCGACCGAACCTCAGGCAGGGGTCGCAGGGCGTGTGTGGTAGACAGAAAGTAGAAGGTGCGGCCCAAAAGCTGTGTTTCCAAGAAAAATGAATCAAGATCCACAACAAAAAAGCTAGGTCCGTAGTGCCCTTTTACTCTTTTTTGGGGGAGGGTTCCCCTGCTAAAAAAGACAACAGCAAAAAGTTGGTACCCTTATTCTCACTTCTCTACTGGAGGACCTAGACATGGAAGGTGCAGCCCAACAGCTGTGGGTTTTCCAGAAAAAATGGCTCAAGAAGCACAACTAAAAAACGGGCTAGGGCTACTTGCGAAAACACACACCCAGCTGGGTGCTTCAAAAGTAGCGCTCGGCTCGGCTAGGAAGCGCAATGGCCTTCCAGATGTACTTGTACCTGTCGCTTCTGAGTGCCATTCAAAGGGTTCAACTCTACCTTGCCAAGCGCGTTTTAAACACCTTTGCAAAGGCCAGTCATTCATCTCCTCAGTGTACGGGGACCCACCCCGACCTAGGACTCCATGCTTGATTCTTGGCAAAGAGGTTCTGGTGCCTCCTTTCAGTGGGGTGATCATCAACCCTCCAGTAGGCAATGTATAGATCAAGGTTTCAATCCATCGGGGTCCCTACAAATGATTGTCGTTGGGAAGCTTTTGTTTTTTTTGCTTATTGTGGTTTAGTGGTTGAAATCCAACCACTTAACTGCTAGAATCTAAAGTGTTGCCCCCCTTCCAACGTCAACCAAGTACAGACCATCCGTTCCAGCCCCACTTTGCCTTGTACTTGGCCCTAGCCCACCGGAGCTTATGCGGCCCTGGCTGCTGGATCTTTTCCGTCTGGGGTTGTTTCGAAGTTCCACCATCGCCCGCCAAAACACATGTTAAGTCGACAGACTGGTTTGCCTCACTTCAAGTCTCTTTTTTGAGGGTCCCCTAAAATGCGCATTTCAGGGAACATTCCCCTTGAACCATTTCAGGGAAACCCGACAAAAATACCAGTGTTTTCACAAAACCTGCGGAAGGTGGGAGGATACATGGCATCAATTTCCTGTCAGGGGCCGGCCCTTCACCACGGAGATCGCTTCTTGGATGAGATCGGAGAAAATTAGGCAAGCTCAATCCTTATGTTGCTTCTTGTTTTCTTCCGTTTATTTTTGTTCTTTTCTTTTTTTCTTTTTTTTTGGGGGGGGGGCTGTTGCTTCTGTGTTTGTTATTGTTTTTTTTTTTTTTTTTTGGGGGGGGGGGGTGGGTGGGATGTGTTTTTGTTTAGAATTGCGACTGCTCGCTTTGTAACTTACAATCGGGTGATTTTGTTAATGGTAAAGCTGGGGCAGTGGTCGCGTTTGTTCAAAAAATAGTACTGATGGACAAGGCGGTTAATGTTTTATTGCTGGTGGGCCCGGGGACCACACAGACTTTTCTTACCACCACACACAACTTTCTCTAAAGAGGGTTCACAAAGGGATCCAACATTTGTCCCCAATGCTTCCTTATCTAATTTAACATGTACTGTACGGTTCATTGGTGTGGTCCTTGGTTAGTCGGTATGAATGTACATTGTATATGAGGGCAAATACCAATGGCTCGTACAATGCTGCTTGGACTGAAGCTTTGCTTGACTGGTTGTGAACATTACTTTGTCGGTCGCCAAGTCAACTTGAAACTATGTTCCATCTGGATATGTGTGGAGGCAGTGGGAGTGGAAACTGTCAAACCCTGATCATCTGAAGCAAGTTGCAAAGGGTGTTTGTTGATTAGATCCGACTTAGCCGGATCGGATGTTTTTGTTTTCGAGTTTTGGTAAAAGGTTACGTTTCCCCCAGCTCAGGCGAACATGTCAGCTAACGCGCCCCACGTCACTCAGTATGTTACCAGTTTAGGTCCATTTTGCGCCCTTCTTTAGGGCATTGGACTTTTTTAGGGTTGGAACTGGAGGGTTTTTACATATATTCCCCGGTTCATGGGTTTTAGTGCATGAACTGGGGGGTTTGTATCCCATAGGAATGGCTGGAGGGGTTGAAGGTTGGGCCAGCAAAATAGCCTCGTGGGGGGGGGGGGGGGTCAGCTCTGTTCCCGTGAGATATCGCCATCCCTAAACAAAGCAACGAACAAAGGGGCTTCGGCAAATGTGTGCGGCGCTCATTTGCTACAAAAAATGGTGTTGCTTTGTTGTTTGTTTTACTTTTGGTCAATGGTCTTCAGGATCCCAAAGAGCCTCATCCTTTGCAGGCCCCAGGTGAGTAGCATGGTTGTTGGGAAACATGTTGCATGTTTGCTTGTGGTTGAGTGCTTGAAATCCAACCACCGCCTTTCGGCCCAGGTCTTTGAGCGCCTCGGGAAGTGGGGCAAGAAGTGGGCCTCCAAAGCCAAGGCGCGGACGAAAAAACACGTCCACCGAGTGGCTCGAGCTGATTTTTGTGGCGGTCAACTAGGTCCCCCAGCAATTGGTGCCCGACCTCTCACCCGATTTTTTTGGTTGGGAGGGTGAACCCCCTACTAAAATAGACTACAGAAAAAAAACAAGTCGGTAGCAACTTATTCTAACCTCTCTGCTGGAGACCCAGCCAAGCTGAATTGCCTGTGTAGCTCCCATGATTTGTTTGTTGCCAGGAGTCTTTATCATTGTTGTTAGGGGTTTTTCAGGGGTCTGTCAGAGTTGAAACTTGTTCTGGCCAGTCAACTCAAGTCAGGAAAGGAAACCCTTCGCTTGGGTTGGGTAGGTCACGATGTTTGATAGGGAAGTCGGACGACCATTGCAAGATATTCTATCGGTGCGCACGCGAGAGGTGTAAGGGATTTCATCGATGGAACCACGACCATGAGCCATGACTCCCAGATGAAGTTTTCACCACTTTCTGAGCAGAATGGCTGGAAAAACTGGGGCTTGATATCGCCAGGAGCGGGTGCTTGATACACAGGACGGTTGATTTGTCTAAAGAAGGCGCTGTATAGAGCCGTGGAAATCCGAGACTCAACCGGGCTAGTGCCGGACCTGTTTGGTTTCATTGGTTGAAAGGGGGTGATGACTTGTATGCTCAAACACCAGGTTTCTTAGAGGTTGATCATTGCGATCAACCATCTTGCACGGATGTTGGTTGCAGCCATTACAAGGATCCTTGCAAAAGAAACCCTCATCACTCGGAGTTTAGACACTTCGCACATTCATCCGGCATGTGAACCGACTGGTCGCTGGCTCCATTCGTATTTTTCACTTTTTTTTGGCCCAGGTGACGTACTTCAAGTACGAAGTCCACGTGTCCAAGGGCTTTCTCATCGCACCATCCTTTTCTTCCGCCATGTGCCGCGGTCGAAGCAGACTCAAGACCTCAGCTGGCCATGGGTCAAAATCCAAATCGTACACCCAATGAGCATCAACCAATCCAACCACTTAGGTTCTAAAATGGGTGGTGAATTCACCAATCCCAACCAAAATGGGATCCCAAAACGGTCCAACGTCGACCACAGCCAAAGATTCAGTCGAGGCTCGCTTCCAGAAGGCCTCCAACCCATGCGCATGCGCCAAAAATGCCATGGCCGCAAAGCGGAGGGGGTTCACATCCTGCCCACAGCGAAGCAGACTTGTTGTGTTGGTTTTAAGTCAGAGGGTTTCTTTGGTTAGCTACCTCACTGATGGAAGGAATTGCTGGGCAGATCCACAGAACCCATATGACATTCTTGTTGGAGGGAGCTGACTTGACTTTTTGGCGACCCTCTCGCAATTGAAGGGGTCAGAAACGCGTACACACAACTCTGCACACCCGCATGCCGGTGATAAAACAAAAGAAAGAATCAGGCTCCTTTGGCATGGACAGTTTCTGAGGTTAATCAGATTATTGGCGAAGCCCTCGGTAGGTTTCTTCTGGCTTTCTATTGAGGAGGCTGAGCTTCTCTAACATATTCGATGCCAGTTGGGGAAACCACGGAATTGGTTTTGAAAAGGCTTACCTTTTTCTGGCCCCATACACCCCCAAACACGATTTTGACGCTTCAAGGGACCCATGTGGCACTCAGGTACCTCCTACTGCTGCGATTCCTGGCCCGCGACTATGGAGGTGCGCTTCAACTTAGTGATGTCCGTTTTGGTCGCATTTGTCCTTTGGGTTTTCTCCGTTTGGGATCCCCAAAAAACAGCCAAATAGCCAACGACTCAATGGATGTTCATTGAGATCGGGCGGGTCATAGGGGATAAACAGGGTGGGTATCGCCAAGTCCGTGGAAGGCTTGGATTTCCGAAGAAGATTCGTGACCGTGCCTAGAGTCGACCCAATGCAGACCCCCCAACTTTTCAAGGCTTCAATGGGTTCCCCCTCAGGAGGAACTTATTGCTTGACCGCCACTGCTTGGTTTGGATATCAAACTCCACTTGTCAATCTGATACCGCATGTATAACCAAGGCGTCCAAGTAAGGCTCAAGCCTTGCTAGGTCCCCCAGTAATTAGTGCCCGTTCTCACCCCTTTTTCGGTTGGGGGGTTCCCCTACTAAAATAGACTACAGAAAAAAGTTGGTACCCTTATTCTAACCTCTCTACTGGAGGACCTAGTTTATAACCACGCCGTCCAAGTAAGGCTCAGCCTTGTGTGGCTGACAGACGTGTAAGCTACATGCCGCGGGCCAACTTTCGCGAGGCGTGTGCTCTCTCGTGCACGCCGTGGGCACGGACGCGCCGCTCAACGAGGAGGAGGCGCAGATTTTGCAGGCGCGCGAGTCGACTCGGGCAGAGAGCGCCCCCCCAATCAAAGCATCCTCTTCCATTTGCTGAATTAATACCTGGGTCCCCCAGTAGTGCCCTTTTACCCTTTTGTTGGGGGAGGGTTCCCCTACTAAAATAGACTACGGAAAAAAGTTGGTACCCTTATTCTGACCTCTCTACTGGAGGACGTAGATATTCTATATTTTCCCTCGTTGGTTTTAAAGGGAATCTATCACCACTGGAAATGTGTGTTTTTTTTTTTCCAAGGGACTTAAGACGCCAGTGACAGTCCTCCAGGAGGTTTGGGCCTTACTTGGCCGCCAGTGTTTTCGGGTCTCCTTGGAATGAGACCGCCGATCCACAAAACCTCCCATCCGGCTCCTTAGCCTTTTAGCTTTTTAATGGGGATTTCCATGTACGCCACGAAAAGTCAAACTTTTAGCAGGGGATCTGAGGGCAGCCCAGAAACTTTTCGCCCAAGGCGCTTTCGGGCCGGTGGCACATTCTTCTGCTTTTTGTCCACGTGTTTTTCTTTTTTTTTTCTTTTCGAGTTACCCCCAAAAGCGTTTTTTGTGGAGAAATCAACCCCTGTGAAATCCAAACACGGTACCCCCCCACCCAAAAACAAAAACAAAAAGCAAATGCGCCCTGGAGGCCAGATAAGGCCTTTTGACCGACTGGGCCGGCTGGGCTGGAGTGGGCTCAAAGCAGTTGAATAGGTGTGTGTGTGTGTGTGTGTGTGTGTGTGTGTGTGTGTGTGTGTGTGTGTGTGTCTGTGTTTGTGTTTGTGTCTGTGTCTGTGTCTGTGTCTGTGGCTGTGTCTGTGTCTGTGTCTGTGTCTGTGTCTGTGTCTGTGTCTGTGTCTGTGTCTGTGTCTGTGTCTGTGTCTGTGTCTGTGTCTGTGTCTGTGTCTGTGTCTGTGTCTGTATGTTTTTGTCTTATTGTTTCGAGTTGTGTTTGGTGGTGGCTAGTTCCAAAACAACAGCTTGAGTTTTTTCCAAGAAAGAAGACAAACACCTGGCATTTGAGTCAGGTATCAGGGACGTCTAAAATGTTGCTTAAAGAGGAAATCTACTTGGAGCCCTTACCTGCCCTTCTGGCCTAAGGTTTCATTGATGTCCGATTCTTGCCAAGCATTCTGGTCAAACCACGCCGATGCGGTTTTTGGGCTTCTGGAAAGGGCCAAGCTCGGAATGGGGAAGTTTTCTGAATCCTCTGGAGGCCATGAGACTCCTCCTGTCCCTTTTCGGTGGAATCCAATCACGATGCATGAACCAACCATGAATTGGTTCCCCGCGACTTCCGGGAAAGGGGGGGGCTGCTCTCTAGGGGAGGGGGAACTCACTGGTTGCACCTGGCTGGCCCCCACCGGGCCCCGCCTCTCCCCTGGTTGCCTTGCCTCCGAATAGTGGAATCTCGCTGCCATCCGTTTGCACCTGTTCCAATCTCTCGCCAAATTGAAATTCCCAAGTCGAGGAACTGCAGGACCACCTATGGGTTCCCAGAGAGCTAGTGTCCTTAGTTGATGGTTTGGATTGGTTTGGATTGGTTGGGGATTCGACCAATGGGAAACCACTAGCCTCCAACCAATCCATACCAGTTACAGGGTTTCCGCCAATTCCCTTTTTGGAAAATCTCCAAATGCGGCGATCGTTTCAACGGACATGTCCGAGGGCGATTGGGCAGGATTCGGAGCCAAAAGACCAAAACCAATATCTGAAATCGTTTCAACTGCCCAAGTCACGAGACTCTGATTGGGGGGGCTGCAAAAAAAACAAAATTACTTGTTTGGCATGCCATACCTAGAGTAGCGACGATTTGGATCCAAAACACCTCTCCAACACCAAAACCCGAAATCGTTTCAACTGCCGTCCAGCAACTCTCGTTTTTGGCATGCGATCGAGTCGATCCGAGGTGCTGGGCCTGGTGGAAGACGCTCACCCGGACGCCTTGGCGTGCCGCTGCCTGGTGACGTTGGCGGTGCAGCGCAGCGGCTGCCCGCTGCACTGGGACTTCCGCCAGGAGTTCGCCTGGTACGCGCCCCTCGACCGGATTTTGAGACCTGGTGGTCGTGGTGGTTGGCGGTTGGGGGTACCCTTATTCTAACCTCTCTACTGGAGGACCTAGTTGAGGAAACGAAGATTTATGTTTTGATCTTCCCCAGAAAAAAAAGAGGAAACACACTCATGTTGGTTTAGTTGCATTGGCTGAAATGAAGATTGTTTGGTTTGAAAGGGAATTCATTTCACTACTAGATACGTGTTTTTTCTCCAGGGGCTTGCAAGCAAATGGAGGTTGATGAACTGAATATGTGTGACATGTTTTCATTGTTTTGAGGGAATCTATCAATACTTGAAATACTGCAATACATTCTCATGGTTTCCAGGGGACTTCAGCAAATGGTAAGTTTTCATAGCGGCCGATGCGAGAGACTGCCATTTCTGTGGTTGTGCCGATGGAGCCCGCAGGTTTGCTGCAGTTCTTTTTTCAGTTTACCGCGGTTTGCTGAGTTCACATTGCAACCCATCGGGATCCTGAAGGAACCACCACAGGGTGGTTTCAAAAACACTTGTAACGGGCCAAGAATTTGCTTCAGAAGCAAACGCCTCTTGAGACGTGCGCGAACGTTGGTCGTGGAGCTGCTTGTGGTGGGAAGTTTAAGTCGTACAGCTCATAGTCGTGGCATGGCCTTGAGCCGTGATCAATGCAACCGAAGCATCAGGGACGCTAGCGAATGGACGCCTGCTCGGCAGTTTTCTTGCTCTGCCAGGGACCCTCCGGGCGCACGGCGCGCCCTTCCCCGTTCTATTCGGGGTTTTGGTTTTTGGGAACTCGCACCGGGAAGATGGGTCTCTGAAAAGAGCGAGAACCATGCTTCGAATCAATACACTCTGAGTTGAAACTCCTTTACGGGTTTACCTGCGACACAACTTCGAACCCAAAACGGGGCTTGGTTTCTCCCCATGTGCCCCCTTGCTACTACAGGGAAACTTCCACTTGCTTAAGAATAATGTTTATTATCCCCTGCGGGTTTTAAAGGGAATCTAGCACCTGAACTGCTATTGGGTTGGATCGTTAGACTTTATAACTTTTTGGGAAATCAAGGGGTTTTCCACTAAACCCCCAAAAAGTGACACTTTTTGCAGGGGGGGGTCAACAGCAACCAAGGCACTACTGGAAATCTGTTTTGTTTTTTTTCCCGGGGACTTAAGCACAGGGGAGTTGTGATGTGTCAGCTCCTACAGGTCCAAGATCTCCCACATCTCCGCCCGAAGCCGCCTCAGCCGGGGCCCCGGCCTTTCTTGTTGTAATTCGGATGGCCCATTTCTTACCGTCCATTTGCTTGGCTCCCGGCCGGTTCCTTTGCGGTTTTCGGCGTTTCGTTGGCTTAGCGAGGTAGTTTCCAAGCTTAAGCCCCTAATGCTAAGCTTTTGCAGCGGATCTCCGGGCAGCCCAGTTTTGAGAAGCGCATTTGGGAAAGACAAGAGCCGAGCTGAATTTGGAGGATGACATGTTTGGGGGGTCGGAGCAGTTTTAAGACTCGACCTTAATTTGCGTTTTGTCCCATGGCTGCCCGGGCCGATCAGGTCTTCGAGACACCCTAATGGCAAGCCCTAAAAGAACAACTGGGGCCTCCCCAATGGATTTGTTTCATTTATCTGGAACTACGGTTGTGATGGGGCGGCTACCTTAGGTGTTCAACGCGCCATCCAAGTTTCAGGCAGCGTCACGGGGCAGACTATCTTGCCTGAAGCTTTTGCTAAGGCTTGTCATTGTTCATGTTCACGCTTTTCTTTGGTTGTGCTTTAATCCAGGGTTGCCACATTTCCAACCCAGCTGCTGATCGGAACGAACGATGTTGCACGGGAGCAAGGCTTGGGTCTCCCATTTACCACCCTCAAGCCGCACCCTCTTCGTTGGGGAAGTACTGTGGATGGACAACATCCCCCTTTGTTTTCCACTAACCAGGCAAACGATATAGTTTTTTGCTGGAATCCTAATTCCACCCAAGTATCAAAAGTGTTGACCGTTTTCCCAATCCCAACTGGTGCGAAGTGATGTTTTGTCCATCCACCCTGGGAGCAGTTTGGAGTAAAATTGATTGATCTTTCTGGTCAGTAGGGATTCCATTTGGAGGTCAAGGAACGAACCATAGGTGTCCTTTTTGGTTGTTTTGCTAGAATAAATCGATGGCGATTCCTGGTTTACCTGGTGGTTTAATCATCTACCAGGGCCTTTTTTGTTTTTTCTCCCAAGAGGACACCCATGGAACGAACCGTTCCGGGGATTTGCGTGGAAGCCAGCAGAATGGTTCAGTTCGCTCAGTCATTGCCTTCCTTGAGAGTCATAATTGGGCGACGCGTCACAAGCAGCGGCGAACAAACATGAACGGCAGATTGGCAGTCCTTAAGCATCATAGTTCCATTGCACATACTCAGGCTAAAGAAAGAAAGACCATTGAGTTCAATCACACACCAGTCACGTACATTGAAGAAGAACAGGATGCAACCACCTGCGCCTGTAGAGGAAGAAAAGTGAGGGAAAGTGATACAGGAGCATTTGGTGGCGTTTAGTGGAAGCCTCAACCGAAATTACTCTGCTCAAGACCCAGAAAGAACACTCAAGACGAGTTCGACCTGCCCTTCGCTTCAAGCTATGACGGGTGATCTAGCCTTGGGCTATGCTTGCTGCTTGATCGCCAGCGTCGCCTATGCAGTGAATTACTTGCCGGTGAAGAAGTATGAGACGGGGGACGGGGTCTTCTTCACGTTTGCCATGTCACTGGGGATCTTGGTCGTTGGCCTTCTCATGGGCTTCATGCAGCACGAGCCTCTACACTTTGAGCCCCTGGCCGCCGTGGGCGGAGTCATCTTCACGCTGGGAAACCTCCTGTGCCCGCTGGTGATCCAGCTGATCGGCCTGGGCCTGGGCTTGGCGATGTGGGACCTCAGTAACATGCTCATGGGCTGGCTCACGGGGCACTTCGGCCTTTTCGGCGTGGACCCGGAGATCTCGCACAAGCCCCTCTTCAACTACTCCGGCTTAGCGCTTGCGTGTCTCTCCTTGGTCTTCATGTACCTGGCCGCGCGCTTTGACACGACGCCCAAGGAGGCTGACGTCGAGGCGCCGGACGAAAAAGCGCGGGAGCTGCCGGAGGTCTCGAGTCCGAACCCTCTGAGACTGGTGCTGGGCTCGTCTCTGGCGGTGCTCGCGGGGGCTCTCTTTGGCACGATGTTCCTTTGGCGCAGTTTGCCAAGGGATGTTGGGACAGAAGAACTTTTTGCCAACTAAGGGGTGTTCCGTATTGAACCACTAAAAGTTAAACCTTTGAGCAGGGGAGCGGAAAGCAACCGAGGTTCGACCTTCCCCAGGATTTGATGCAGGGGAACTTCGGGCCCTGCCACAGCCTTTGTGCCTTGGACTACGTCTTCAGCCACTTCCTGGGGATCTTCGCCGCGGCAGCTGCAGCCTTGCTGAGTTACATCGCGGTGCAGCGGAGATGAGCTATTTGCCCCTGAACCTTGTGCTGCCCGCCATGTGCTCAGGCATCATTTGGGCCATTGGCACGGTCGCTTGGTTTCAGGCCAACGGTGACTCAGTTGTTCAGTGGCACCCTTTTTCCCTTTTTTTTTGGTGGCTGCCCCACCAAGAATGGTCTTCCCCAAAAAGGATTCCCTTTTTTTCCAGGGTCACTGAACAACTGAGGTGAGCTGGGCTTCTCAGTGACGTTTCCGATCATCAGCAGCCTGCCCAGCATCTTGGCTCTCTTGATCGGCTTCTGCTGCTTCGACGAGCTTCAGAGCTCCAAGAGCCGCGCCTTTGCGCTGATGGGCGTCATGATTCGTCTGCCGGGCGTGGCCCTGATCGCTCTCTCCCGACTCTAAAAGGAGGACAGGGGCAACATCGGTGTGGCTCAAAATTAAAAAAAAGAGGGGCAAACCGCAGGTTTTGGTCCATGTTTCCACCTACCAGGGTTCCATGTTGGTACCGGTTTTTTGAGCCACAGCCACATGTACAGTCTTAATTGTCTTATGCATGACTTCGACATTGCATCTCGTGTACAGACCAGGCTCGTCCAGGCAACGTACAGTTGCCGGACAGGTGTGTCGCAACACCTCTTCCTGAAGTTGTCAACAGTTGTGTATGATATTCGCATCGAAGGGAAACCCTGACGATTGCATCCAGACGGTGTCAGGGAGTTCCTCCTTCTTCACCATTGTACAGCCATGGACGCTTGGGCAAACACCGGAACTGGAGGTGTCTCATCTCCCACCCCGCTCCAATTCGATCGAGTCCCCTAGACACCTTCGGACCCGGAGGTGTCCTACAGGGGTCGGGTCTTCCATTGAAAGCCTAGGTCCCCCCAGCAATTGGTGCCCTTTCTCAGCCCTTCTTTGGTTGGGAGGCTTCCCATACTAAAATAGACTACAGAAACAAACAAGGGTACCAACTTATTCTAACCTCTCAAATCTGGAGGACCTAGAAGCCGGAGCCTCGGGGCAAGAAAGCACCTGACCTGGATCTCAGGCCTCGAGCAGGAGGCTGAGCTGCTTGAGGAGTGCGACCGCCTGAATTCCAAGTACCGGGTGGTCGAGGCCTGGGCTTTTCCCGGCAGCAGCCCAAGCGGATCAAGCCGAGAAAGCTCACTTCCGGGTTATGCAGGCTTCCGTGTTTGTGTTGTTTTGAGTGTTTCCTTTTGTTCATGGTTGCGTGCCTACACATTTGATGGTTTGGAATGTTGTGTGCCTTGTTAGTATCTTATGGTTGTTCGTCGGGGTTTGTTTTGATAGTGTGTTGGTTTTCCCAGGGCGTTTGTCGCGCCAGGCCCCCTCAACCGTTTTGGTTGACACATATGGGGCGTGCGACCGAAAAATCAGGTCTGCACGGCCCACCGCTCCAGGGCTTTCAGGGCTGCACTTGTGCAGCGTGCCTTTGGTTCTCACCTTTTTGTTTGAGAGGGGCTCCCAGGCTCCCTTTGAAGTCAATTGTCAATGCTTTTCAAATCCTGTCAGGTCTGGGTTCACTTGCTTGAGTTGACAAACCTTGAGCTTTGTGTAGGTGTCCTCATGTTAGTCAGCACCAAAGCAAGTCTGTACTTGTTCTCGCCGGATTGTCAACTTGACAGGGCAGTTCACGTGTTGTTTGTTCTTCTTCTTCTGTTTCTCGAACTGCTTTTGGATTTTCGCGCCTAGGACATGGCGTGTCAACCCTTTCTCCAAATTAATGCAAGTGCACAGGAGGATTTGGAAGACAACCAGCATACAGAGAGTGGGTAGTCATTTCCTAAGGAAAAGGGCACTGGTTGCAAATTCAAAGTGTGTTGCCGCCCAGCGAAGAGGGTGCGTTTTTTAGTCAGAGTTTGTAAATTGCCACACTTCCTTGAATATATTCAGTCTAGCCCAGGGGCGCCGGTGTGTATATTAGAGTATAGGTTTGGAGTTTGCTTTGCTCACCCAATTGGAAAGTGCCAGAACCTTAGGTCCTTTGTACGTTTTTCACCCCAAAGAGAAGCTCAACTTGGCCCTTCCCCGCCAGCTGCTTGGTTTGAGTCTCACTCTCAAGTTGAGACCATTTGGCCATGGGTCAAAATCCCGTACATCCCAATCCCCCACTAACATGGGTTCTAAAATGGGTGGTGCACCTACCCCCCAAACGGGATCCCATTGGTTTTGACCCACAGCCATTTGAGTGGTAAACACAAAGTGTTGTGACTTGTTCTGGCCAATCCACAAAGGAAGTGAGAATGCATGAAAGCGGGGAAGGAAGGAGTAACTTTGAGCCAGGAAAATCCCGAGTGGTTACCTACTATAGTCAGTGGCTTGCTTGAATCCCATGTAAAGTCCCCTGCCCAAAAAGATGGGTCAAGCCCACAAAAAGCATCTAGACATGGTGACTGGCAACTCGGCACAGACATCAAACAAACCAGGAGCATCGCCAAAATTGTGAGTTCGCAAGAAGTGAGTGTTTTTTTGGGTCACTTGAAGGGGCAGACCAAGAAGGTGCGGGCGGGCAAGTGAGTTCCAAAAAACAAGAAGCTGGTCCAGCCCAAGCAAAACAAAATGAAGAGCATTTTTCGACCTGGCGACTTGGAAAGTGCAGACCAAGAAGCTGCGGACAAGCGAGTTCCCCCCTCAAAAAAGACGTTGGTCCAGCCCAAATCCCAAAAGTCGGAAGCGCTTCTCGACAGGAGTTCCCCCAAACAACGCTGGTCCTGAGTGCACAGATGACCCCCTGCCGCATTCGACCTGGTTTTTTACTGAGAGGCGCAGACCAAGAAGGTGGAAAAAAAATGAGTTCCCCAAACAGCGCTGGTCCAGCCCAGGTTCAAAAACATGAAGCGCATTATTTCTTTGGAAGGCGTGCCCCATTCGACCTGGCTTGACTGGGTAGAGGCGCAGACCAAGAAGGTGCCGGCCCGGGAGAGGAACCAAATCTTGGCGCTCTTCCTGGACCCCGAGGACGCCAAGGCGGCTGCGGCCAGCGCCTCGCCGGAAGTCACGGGTTTCCTGCAGCAAAACGCGGGGGGAAACGCGGTAGAAACCGGGAGAAGCGCGGGGAACCCGCGAAAAACACGGGGAAAACACGCGGAAACCCGAAAACACGGAGAACACACGGAAACCTGGAGAAAAGCACAAGGAAAACACGTAGAAACCGGGCAAACACATAGGGGAAGCTTGGCAGGGTACGAAGAAATCCGAAAAATGCTACGATGGTACTATGGTTTTTGAAGCCTGCCCTGGAAAAAAGAACAGCCGAGACAAGGGAGGAAAGGTTTGAAGTGGACCTCGGAAGCGTCCAGTGCAGTTCCAGTGCCCAGTTTGTGTTCGGGCGTTGCCAAGTGTCCCACCCACAAAACATGGCCCATTGGAATCCCTGACTTGCTCACGCAAAAGGGTCGAACAGGGGGAATATTCCGTAGGGACACCAAGGAGATTGGGTCCCGAACCTGTTCTGCAACCATTTTCCCACTGGTAACCCGTCCAGGCAAGCACAAGCAAAAAACATCAGTCTTGGCACTCAAGCGGGTCTATTCAAAAGAATGCGCGGGATTACAAGGCCACTTTAGTCCCACCTGTTCCGGGATTGTCGACCACTAACCTTCACCTACCACTGTTTTAGTTGTGATCGTTCGGGGCATCAAGAGCTTTTCCTTGGTTTGGGTACACCATGTTATTACCAGGTGTGTATTATGACTCAAGTGTGTGGGCAACTGGTCATTTGGTTTCCCTCCAACGTGTATCAAGGACCTACCCTGCTGATCGAATCTGTAGCAGGTCTGGGGATGAGGATTTGATGTTTGAATGGGAAATCGCAAAGAGGCCCTTGCCAGTTTCGGGCGTTGTCGAAAAGAGAATGCTTGAACGGCTTCAAACTAAGCAAGGGCGGCCTCGCCAGAAATTGCTAGTTGTCAAAGTCTGATCGCGTACATATACAAAGTGTCATGGAATGCTTTGGGGCGGGTCTCCTGCAACTAAATAATAATTATATCGGTTTATTCACCAATGAGCCACGAGACCGTTCCAGGGGTACACATAGGTACTTGCTACTGCAGCTTGCCGGCATCCTTTGCGTTTGCTCCCTAGATTTGCAGAAACAAGTCTCTAGGGGTACCTTCCAATTCCATGCTTTCCAGGGATCCTTCTTTCTAGAAAATCACCAAAACAACTAGGGAAATGGCTGGTTTTTGAAAAGAGCGATGGCTGAAAAGAATGGGGAATCAACCCCCATAATTTTGGCTTTCCTTTCAAATGCATTCGCGACAATTGCCACGCCCATTGCGTTTGACTTGCACACGCTACAGTTTCCCGGAGTCAAAGGAGCTCACCCCTGGCGAAGGTTCCTTTACGCAGCGTCCTTGTTTCCCGTTCGTGAATCATGGAAGTTGGCGGTGGCTCAAAACATCTGCGAATATGGCACCTTGGTAAACATGCATTTGCTTAAGAACATGTTTATTTTCCCTTGCTGTTTTGAATGGGAATCTATCACTATTTTTTTCCCAGGGGGCTTAAGCAAATGGAAGTAAATGGAACCAAAGACCTGCGTAACCCTAGCTCTTCAATCTTGAGCCAAATCCGACGGGATGCCTTGCAATGCCCTATGGCCGACTCTTCCTTTTGTGGTGTCGGTATGAGGTGAGATGCAAAAGCTGCAGGACTGAGGGGGGCTTTCTATAGGGGCGCTTTAGGGGGCTTAGGGGAGCTGAAGCGTGACATTGAACAATATCATATGCTAGGTGTGATTTGTTTTTCTGTTTGAACATTGCTTAAGGTGCTTGTCAGTGTTTAGTTTTGTGCATTTAGCTTTATAGTGGGAATTGTGTTTTTTGGTGGTACTGGACATGCACCAAGAGACCACAGTGGTTGCGCAAATTGTCCATTGAATCCTTCGGTTACTCGGGTGGTTGAACAAATCGGTGGAATAATTACCCCGAAGCTAGACACCCGTATGTGTTTCAACTGGAGGCTGACTAGTTGGGGTTCCTGTTCTCCGGATTCTTTTTCGGCTCTGGCAGGTGTGTGGCAGGTGTGTGTGTGTGTGTGAGGGAAATCTTATTTTCCTACAAATCCTCCCATACCCTTCGAGGGCCGTTGCAGGAAGCCCACAAACCGCCTGAGGGTTAGGTTGGGTAGGCCAAACAAAGAGCAAAACGAAGGCCTTGAAGAACAAGACTCAATGCTTTAACGACTGCTCCTTTGGGTTTTGTAGGTTGAATCCCGTGTTCCTTCCAAAGCATGGACAGATCCAATGGACCAATCCAGCGGCCTGGCCGTCCAAAAACGGGTGGCCTACCTGGCCGCTGGCTGCTGGAAGGACCTGAAGAGCGGCATTTTGAGCGGCATGCGGGCCGAGGGGCTCAGCTGCAACGAGGCGAAACGAAGCCGGCTCGAAGCTCGAAACCGGCCACCGGACGCTGCGGAAGTGGTCCAAAACCAGGTCCCCCAGCTAGGTGCCCTGGGGGGGGGAACTCCCTCAAGATTTGATGACCACTGCCAACCCACAAAGACGAAAAATTGTCAAAACACAACATTGAGCAGAACTAGGTCCAACAGCTAGGTGCCCGACCTCTCACCCAACTTTTTTGGTTGGGAGGGTTCAACCCTAATAAATAAACAAAAAAGAAAGAAAGTTGGTACCAACTTATTCGAACCTCTCCAGTGTGCAGTAGCCTGGTGGTTCCCTGCGGTTCCAGTAGGCTGTTTAAGGTGCTTAGTTGGTTTGGGTTTGCATTGAACCCACTAAAGCTTTGACTTTTAGCAAGGAATCCGAAGACAGCCCAGGTACCAAGATATTTCCAAGAAAACACGGGCCAGCCTTTAACAGCTTGGATTGCTCTCACGAACCCTGGAAATTGAGATCATTGTAAAGGTTCCTTATCTTTACGGCGATTTTTGGTTACGGATCTTTGGACTTTAACTCGTTGGTTGAACCATGCTCGCATTTTCACAGGGGATCCACAGCAAGTTCAAACAAGTCTTTTTGTTGACGGGACTCGTCAGGAACCAAGCTATCATATAGTTTCCAGTACCAAGCCACTTCCCCCAGAAAACATGCGCCGCCGTAACTTCACGGTGGTCATAATCCCTGTGGCAGTGAAGACAGTCAAATGTATTTTTAGAGGCACACTTAGAGCCTCGCTTGAGCGAACATTTGTTAAATAGTTTCGTCACCAGGAGGCTGTTTAAGCTGTCATTTGGCCATGATGTGTATTACAGAGCACCCTTAAAAGCAGGATTGTTCAACCCATACGTTGATGCCCCAAAGAAAGTAAGTGAGCCAACCGCACCCAAGCCCAAAACCCAGGTGTCTTGCGGCACGTTGTACTTCTTGCCTTGCAAGATTTGAGCATCCACCATACTGCACATGGGTTGTTGTGCTGGGGGGATGTGCTACGGAGGACAGATGAGTCCAAAACAGAATCCCATTAAAACCCATTTGGAGACGGTATTTGCGTTTATTGTCTTCCAAATTGCATCTACTGGTGCCGAGATGTTGCATTTACCAAGCATGACAAAAGGCTTTTCCCCCCATCAAACACATTTCGAATTTGCAGAGAAATGGGGATGTAGTGATTTGCGGACTTGTTTTCCGTGACAGTTTGCGGTGTGCAGAGTAACCCCTGCCTAGGGTCCCATCATCCACCCAAAAATTGGGCCAGGGCCGACTCAGATTAAGGGGAACTTTGTGGGTGTGTTTTCGGGGGTGTCTTCGCGGTGGGGCAAGTCTTTGGGGGATATCTTTGGGAATGAATTTGGTGTCTATGTCTTGGTGTGTTTGGGGTGTGGTTGTGGTGGGTAATGTCTTCAGATGACGTTGCAGATGTCTTTGGAAGGGGTCTGCTGGGATGCCTTTGGGGGATGTCTTTGGGGTTTCTTTGGAGATATCTTGGTGATGCCTTTGGGGGTGTTTCCGGGTATGTCTTCGGAAGGTGTCTTGGCGTTTGAGAGTTTTTCTACGGGACGTTTGTGCGGCTGTCTTGGGTGGGTGTTTTAGGGGGATGTGTCTTCGAGGGTGTCTCTGGGGTTGTCTTTCGTCTGCGCTGCTTTCTTGGGTGTTTTTTTGGGGGGATTTGGAAGATGTCTTCGCGGTTGTTTGTCGGTTGGGGGTGACCTTGGGGATGACTTTCTGGATGGTGTCTTGCGGGGATGTCTTCGGGTGTGCACTTTGCGGTGGGATGTCTTGCACATGTATAGGGTGTCTTTGGGGAGGTGTTTGCGTTTGTCTTTAGACTATGGAGTCCGGAGGGAAGTTTGCGAGGGGGGCGTTTTATCGGTTGTAATGATGCTTGGGGATGTCTTTGATGTGTTTGTGGATTCCTTTGGGAAATGTGAGCTTCGTTTGAGGTTTCTTCTTACATATTTTTCCGTACTTCTGCATGCGGGCTTGTGGCCTCTATCCTTCTTTTCGAGGGCCGCCTGTGAGTAGTGGTTTTCCTTGAACCCCAAATAAGCACCCAAGCGCTACCCCACTTGCGCAGGTGGAAATGCGGCGCCTGGTGGGCACCATTCAGGAAAGACGTCACGAGCCGCTTTGGCGCAGTTAGATGGCCACAAGTGGATTGGGTGTCCAAAACTTTCGTCGAAAAAACACCTGCCGACAAAAATATCCTTTTGCGGATCCCCTCGGTGTGTATGTGTGGGTTGTGTGCGTGTGTTTGTGTGTAACAGCAGGAACATCGTGAATTGCGCGCGGCCTCAAACTCCCTCCATGGCCTTTTCGATCCAACGCTCTGGACATCCCGAAATTGAGTTTTTTGGTGTAAGCCACTGTGTTGCATGAGTTGTGTAAGTAGCTTATGAACTTTATATCTAAGTGGTTAACGGTTGATATACTTTGCAAAACTACGACAAATTTGTCGACAAGAAGAGTTTAGAACAATAAGAAAGCAAATGTGGCTATGCTTGCAAGTACTCGAATTATTCTAATGTTCCGTGACTTGGATTGATTATGCATTGTTTTAGTCTCGTCATGGACTTATTTACTGTTCATTTACTTACTTACTTACTTACTTACTTACTTACTTACTTACTTACTTACTTACTTACTTACTTACTTACTTACTTACTTACTTATACTTACTCAGCTTGTTTGTATGATTTCTGTTGTTTTTCATCATTAAGAAATCAGTCGGATAATTTGAGTTGTGTTAGAATATAAAAAGCTGCCAGTTCCTAATTTATCTAATTAGAGCAAGTAGAAAGAATGATCCTGGAAGCCCCCCTATAAATACATATTTTCTCGGGAGCAAACGCCATTTCTTAGCACGGCAATTGGAATTCGACCGGATTTCTTCTTCGGTCCTTGTCCAAATGGGCTTCCCCCTTTCCCGAACGCAAAAACCGTCAAAGTCGTAATTTGCGAGTAACGAGTTTAAACAAAGCCGTTCAAGGTTGTTCTATTGTTTTTGCGGTTCAAGACGCAATTTAGTTTTGAAGTCAATCTACAAAGCAAGTATATGTCAGTAAAAGGGTAAATGCTAAATATCCAAATTTATGAAATGCGCTGGAATACTCCTCTGACTTGCTGCGAAACCGGCAGATTTACGATTGGTTTTAAATTTCCCCACCCGTATTGGGGACCCGGCAGCCTGGGAAAAGCCAGGTCGAATTGATTACTTCCGTTTGTTTAAGATTTTGTTTTTTCCCCTGTTGGTTTTAAAAGGAATCGATCACCACTGTAAATAGTTTTTTTTTTTTTTTCAGGGGACTTAAGCAAATGGAAGATTACCAGGGAGAGGGTAGTTTGGGTGTAACAGAAGGAAGAACGAGGGTATAGTTAGAAATCACAAAACTCCGTTTGAAATTCCAAAAAGGCATCAATCCCTCTGGGAACAACTAAGCTTGAATACTTGGAAACATGTTGGGCCATTTCCCGAAGTATTCTGAGTACTCCAATAAACTCGGTTATTCAGAATGTAGTATATGAGAGAATTAGGGCACTTGTGATAAAGAGAAACAACACTCGTCTGGAGTTCACCAAGAGTAGGAATAGTTAGAGCAGTTAGCGTCAATTCTTGTACTATCTGGAACTCCCCAAAAGGCAGGAACAATTCTGGCAATATTTTGCTGTTCATAATTGCTCATCATAGCTCGAACAATTAGAAACATTCAATCGGATCCACCAAATGGAACCCATCTCATTTGGAGGAAATCATAAATCTGCGAGTCCAAAAAGGCACCCGTCCCTTTTGGACATAATAGAGATCCATTTTTGAATGCTGAAGACGAAATGAATAATACGGAAAATGACTGGGAAGACCACATAAAGCACCCATCCTTTTCGGAAAAGTCAGTATGTTTAGAATTGAAAACAATAGAGCATGTAGAGAAAATATGAAGCTGGAATCTTCCCAAGGGGCACCCATGTGCATGATTAATGTACAGAACAAATCACATTTCCTCAAAGTTCTAACCAATAAGGATAGCTGGAGCAAGTGGAAGCAACAAGTGGAAGACACCTATCCCGTTCAAAATCCGTAAGCTAATTGGACACATATGCTCGCACATTATTCTGAATTTCAGATTATTTAGATCCATGTGAACAACTAGGGTAATTTGAGTTCTTTGGAAAACATGGTCTGGAATTCACGAAAAGGGCACACATTACTTGAATGCATGTTTGAACAACGAGCTGGGAATCCCCCCCCATAGCTCCGGCAATACTTAGGTTGTTACAATAGTCAGGACAATTCGAATGAGAAGAAATTGTGCATCATATGAAACAGTTGCGGACCACACGTGCGACCATTTCCTGGACCATGCCAATTTGAGGGCCGCAATCCATCGGAGGGCGGTTCTAAACCAGTGGGACGCTCTTTTTGGACGCCCTGTCTGGATCTTGAACGCGGAGAACCACAACCGGTTTGCTCTAAGCACCTAGTTGTAGACAAAGCAAGCACAAAGCCCTGCTAAAACGCAACCAAAGGAGGACCTCAACCAAGTTTTGGAGTTTGGGTGGCCCACAAATACGTTTTCCCCACCAGTTGCAAGCAAACCACCCGCACCACGGTGCTTGAGGTGCCTAAGACACTAACACACAACTCATTTACCAGTCATGCCCACTTCCCCCTAAACCCAACAGGGAAGTACAAGAGCAAAGCAAGTAGATGCACCTGCTTGACACAGCCCCATTTCCAGGGATCCTCCCAACCCCCGCGGGGCTGGGAACATTGGGGCCTATGTGTCCTGTTTGCTCGTTGTTTAAATGTTCTTGCTATTGAACTTCGCTCAAAGGGATGTGTGCCTTTGCGAATTCCAGATTTATCTCCCACGTGTACTTGTCATGCATGTTGGTAGCAGGCTCATTGTAGGTCAATCTCCTGCAGGTATGCCACGCCTGTCAAAAAGACCACCTTGTGTAGTGATATGAGTGTGGGTCAAAACCAATGGTACCATGTTGGGGTAGGCGCACTACCCATTTTAGTCCTAGACAAATAGATGGCCCTGGTTTGCCTGGTGGTTTAATCATCTACCAGGGCCATCTAGTTCCCCGAAAAGGACACTCATGCATATGAGTCTGTGTGCGTTTGCGTGGTGTTCTAGTTGTTCTTTCAACCGCTGAGGTTGCCTGCCTGGATGAAGCATTGCCTGGAGAACCGACAGGAGTGGATCAATTTGTCGCGATCCGTACCAACCCCCCCCAGTGGTGCCTTTGTTTTCTCCTTTTTTTGGGTGAGGGTTCCCCTTTAAGCTCAAGCAACAAGAAAAGGGTGCCCTTTTTTCCCCATGGCCACTGGGCATTTGAGCAAAGACCGGGGGTGAACAAACCTTGACTGGGCAAATGAGTTCCTAACTTGCCCGAATGATACCTGAACGGTGTCCATGAGGTCAGCGGGTGGCTTCTAGGGTCCACCAAGGATCGGAACCCAGGAGCCATTCAAGGAGGGTCGTGTTGACAAAAGTTTGATCCGCGAGGCCAAGATGAAGTTCCCCCGTGGTTAGGTGAAGCTTGAAACGACAGGACCCTCCGCAGTTGCCCAGTCGCACTGGATGTTTGTGGGTTCTGGGGTTAGAGTTTTCCGTCGAATGGGCAACGAAGGCCGATGTTGGGGATATTCCTGTTCATGTGTCCCATGTTGATCGCATAAAGTTTGGGTGTGTAAACCCTTTTCGGGGTTGGTTTACAAGCAAACCACAGCGAAACCCACCATTGATTTATATTTGTATTTTCTTATTATTTTATTTTATTTTCTTTTTTTGGGTGGGTGGGTGGGTGGGTGGGTGGGCAACCTTTTTTTTGTTGGGGGGGGGGGGTAACTTTTTTTTTGGGGGGGGTACCCTAAGAAAAAGCGACAAGCTTCCATCTCCCATGGCTCCACTTCCTTTTGCGGCCGCTGAGACTCTTCAAAGGTCCGGGTGGGTCCGGTGGGTAATTACACGGGTCCCCGAGTTTTTTTGGACTTGAGTCACTTCTTGGGCTTGGACCCGTTTTGGGGGTAGACAAAAAGTTGATGGACGTTCCTGGCCAATCCACTCAGGAAGTGGGCTGCTTCTTTCCTTCCAGAGGTGAGATGGCTGACAGAAGCCAGACACAGCCTGCCTCCCCCCCAAATGTGAGGCTCGCGACTCGCGGGGGGGGGGGGGGGGCGCAAGTCTGGCAGGAGCTGCTGAAAGCCCGGGGCTACAAGATCAGCGAGAAGGCGCCGTGTTGCTTTACATGGAAAGACGGTGAGTGCCCTGATTGCCTGAAGACGAAACCTTGCTGCCTGAACTTTCACCACCCAAGGTCGAAACAATCAAAACCGTTGACCATAAAACGGGTAGGACAGAAAGCCATAATGTAGCTGCCCGGTGGTTTGGCAGTTGGTGTTTACAGTTATTTGGGGTTCGACCAGACTTGGACCTTGGGGATGGTCGCCGAATCCGGCCGTGTGGGGAAGGGATCCTCAAGCATTTCTGCAAGCATGCCATGTTGAGCTACTTTCAGTAGAACTGTTCAGATGGCCGGATTTCCACTCGGGCACAACGCCATCGTCGTGTCACTTGACGAGGGAGGCATCAGCCAAGCTGGCAACACGACACCGGTAGAACCACCCAAAGTTGCTTCCACAAATGAACTACGTTATACTGTTCCTATCTTTGTTGAGGGCCACCTAATAATTGAGGCCCCCCCAATGCCAATAGGGGCGAATAGCGACTAATAGGGTCCATTGAGGGGGTAACAGGGTTCCTTGTAGGGACCATGTCTCGGGACCGAGGGGCACTGCGGGCTGCCCCGTCTCTCTGTGGCCTAAATCAGGGACCCTGCGGGTCAGGAACACCGAGCTGGTGGCCAGCGGCTATGAAGACTATTAAAAAAAGAAAAAACTGGTTTCCTTCAAGGAAACCTCACAAGGAGGGAAGGGACTTGATGGTTTTTTGTCCCTCCCCCCTTATATACTTGCCGCTGGCGCCTTGTTTCCACTTCAGGCCGGAACATGTGACACGGTGTCGGTCTTGTTGTTCCCCAGAGAGCAAAGGAAGTAGCAGCAGAATTTCACACATCTGCCGGGACGAAGGGCCCAAGGGAAGCCGTCGGGGTAAAACCGGCCACCACGGTGGGGAGGGAAAGCGTTGGTCCCAGCCAGTTAGGTTCCGGGATTGAGTGGAGGCTCATTGGGCTAAAGGCAAGTAGAAGCTTAGTGGTTGATATCACAACCCACTTGCCCAGTGGAATCCGTTCCTTTTTTTCAACTTGTTGGGGGAAGGGAAACCCTCTTGAAGCTCAACCAACTCAAAAAGGATGCTCTTTTTTCCCCAGGGCCACTGGGCATCTGAGATAAATGGTAACCATTAGGGATGACCATTAGGAAACCACCAAAAGCGATGGGAGATATTTGCCACATGGGAAAAGTTACCCCTGGTTATTTGGGGGCCAGGAATACCCCTCTGTATTTGTAGCACTGCAGGATGACGGGAAGAAGAAGGACAAGGACAAGAATGAGAAGGCGAAAGAAGTCAAGGACGAGGTGACTCTAAAGGTACCCAAGCCCACGGACGACGCCCGAGCCAAGTGGTGCTCTGGCCGATCTTTTTCGGGAAAAGCGCGCGCCTTTTCTTTGTGTTGATCGGCTTGGCAAAAAATCAACTGCCCTTCCAAATGCAAACATGGAATCTGAAAGAGGATCCCTGTCAGGGGAAATTGTCTTCCAGGGGTCCCTTTCAAGTTTTTAGTTCAATTACTGAGAGGGTATCAAAAGTTATGTTTGTTCTTTGTCCCCATGGGCTGGTGTTAGTTGTTTGTTAAGGTACTTCCACTGCTTCAACATGACACTGGGGCAGGTGGGCCCCCTATTTCCTTCATGGCCATCTTGGGCATGGATCTGAGGGACCTTCCGTCTCCCAAGGGCAAAACCGGAGCCCAAGCCGGGTTCCTTGGGCTGTTCAGCCGGTCAGGTCGTTTGGAATTCCTGGAAGGTTCCAACTTGAACCGCCCAAGGCGCTCTATTTCCCGCGCCCTTTTGGATCACGCGCCTTTGTGCCGACTTTCGGGGTGCTGTATTTCGTGTTGGGGTGGGGGCGGGGGTGAGACTTTTTCCTTTTCTTTTTTGTCGGGGCTACCCCCACAAGGGCGGGCGGTTCTCCAAAATCCGGGTGCTCGGCTTGCAACCGACGCTTCAGGATCGTCCATTGCAACCGCAACGTGCTGAAGGATTCCATGGTGAGTTCCGCCTCCCTCGAGGCCAGCGATGTGCCAAAGGGCTCTCGTGGGCCATGGGATCTCAGCCGCCACGTAGCCCACAAAAGGGGGACGCTGTCCTTACCAAAATGGCGGGTCAAAACCCAGGAAACCCCTGGTGAACATCAAAATAGGTGGTACATGGGTGTTTATCCCCAGCCGAAAAAGAAGGCCCTCAAGGGGAGATATGTCTATTTGTTTTTTGGCATTTGAGCTCGCATCTGCGCATTCTGCAACATGAAATTCCATAAAGAACACTTGAGATAAATCGGCCACCACCGGGTGAGCTCGCCATAAGCACATGTATAGTACTCGTAGTGAGCAACAACGAAGGGAACCGTATGCTCGAAACAAAAAGACAGAGCAAATGACTGGCTACCTACTGCATGGGTAGCTGGGATTCACTGGTCCTCAGGAGAACGTAGAATCCAGAGCTCCAGTATTGAGGCTTTGTCATTCCTGCTGACATGACTCATGAGGGGAATTAAGCCATCTACTTTCTGTAAAGGTTCTGCAGGTTTCCCCATCTTTTTTCCTACCGATCCGGTGTATTTCTTGATTCCCTTTCTTGGAGGGGTTCCCACTAGCAAAAAGAGGTGCCTTGTTCCCCGAACCAATCATCATCTGGATCTAGCCATGACATTCAAAGGCTGAAGGAAAAACAATTGTTTGGTTGATGGACCTGTGAGGGCAGGGGTAAACCACCTTGGTATTTCTTTCTCTTTTGGCGGCTCAAACAGCGCCGTCCGTAGAGTTGGTCGAGCCATCCCTGGTACCTTTCGGTTGTCGCTTGTCGATGTTGTGTTCGGGCCACCTTGAAGCGGGGCTGTTTATTCAAGGTTCCTGAGGGATGGGTTTTGCTTTTTAACGGGTTAAACCTCAGGAACCCTATTTTCGAGTTCCTGTTTCCCTGGCAAGGTTTGATTAGAATGGGTTTAAGGGATCTCCCACCCATCCCTGCTTGGGGCAGTTTGTGTGTGTGTGTGTGAAAAAGACCGTAAACCACAGACGCAATCCTTGAACTTGCTTTTGGTTCTGCATATGTTTCATGTTTCACTTTCGTTGCGCTCAAAACACGTGGAGCGCTGAATCGCTATATGTCACGGTCTCGTGGATCTTTGCGTCGGAATTGCAGCCGGTTGCATGGTTTTAGGACCGTTTTGGCTTTCGGAGACCCCACTTTTTGAACCTAACTCCCTGACGTCATGGACTTGTTTGCAGGGGAAGACCATTTTACTGGCAAACAACGAGTTTCTCAGGAAGTGAGGCAGTGTTGGGAGAACCCCCTTAAAAGTGTCCAAGCTGGCTTGGGCATTCACTGAAAGGGCTATGGTTGTTGTCCGCAGGTGAAACAATCATGTCCTCAGGTGAAACAATGAGGTCAGACCACTGATAGCCGTACGTTCCAGGCGTCATTAGGCAGTTTGAACAAGATAGCGCGTCCACCATATTTCTGACAACCCCTGACTCTACCCAACCATACCCTTAAACTTGTGGATTCTTGGAGTTCAGTGAGATATATGACTTATCCCTGCAAATAATATAGTTTGCCCTGGGGGTGAAACAAGATTACCATGAAGGCCCTTTACCTGTGGGTGCGTTCTGTCGGGTTTGGATCATGGACCACTCTCACCATTGTCGGGTCGGCGCTATGTCGAAAATCCCGCAAATATGTCTTCGGGAACTGTTCCCCGCCCAAAACAGCAAAAGGTTGTTGTTTTGAAACAACCAAAAAGGGCACCCCGCCTTCAACAAGAGAAAGATTAAATCCCAAGAATGGTGGTTGTGCTTTGGGGCTCCCCTCAAAGCAACCAAACAAGGGCACCCTCAAAAGAAAGTCACCAGCAGCATATTGGTGGGGGAGCACCAAAGCACATTTCTTCGCCTTGGCTCGAGGAGTGCAATACGAAGACCTACGCCACGCGGCCGGCGCTGGAGTGGGCGCTGCTCAACTTGCATGGGGACGTGTCTCTCGAAGCTGAGCGGCACCGGGTCGGGTCCGGGGGATGGGGGGATGCACGGATGCACTGGGCCTGACATCAGACTTATCCTCATGGTAGCTGCAGGAGACAATTCCCTCCATGCTTCACTATAACAAATCTGAGGGCCCCTTCAAATGTTTATAGAGCTTGAAAAGACCCAGTGAGCCCAAGGACACCGAGCGCTCCTTTTCAGGTCCTTTGATTGTGATTGTTCGCGAGAGCATCGGAAAGTCTCAGCCCGAGCTGATCTTTTCCCGATTCGAATGGACCAGATAGGACCTGCAGTGCCCTGTTTCTTTTTATCGGGAGGCGTTTCCTCTGAAGTCAGGTACAAGTTGCGTTTGTCTTCCCATGGCCGCTGGAGAGCCCTTTAGGGGTCTTTTCGCTTTTCGGATGTCGGCCGCCCTGCTCAGTCAAGGTGCCAGGTAACCCAAATCATATGTCCAGGTCTCTGCAGTCTTCCCACGGATCCCTGTCTGAGGCATGACCCCAACAAGGAAAACAATTCTAGATCCCTCTCTCCCACTAAGATGGCATCTGACGAGGGACAGAGGAACCCCTAGCTGCTTGCGAGAGTGTTTTTTTTCTGAGCCCAGGACGAGATGTTCGTTTTGCTCTACCGCCTCTTCACAGGCCAGGAAGCTGACAGATTGCTGCAGATGATTTTTTGGACTCCAAAGGGGTCGATCCCACAAGATTCCTCCGGAAGCTTGGGTCCGATTGATGCTTTCTGGCCGGGCTCCTCAAAAGATACATTTTCCCCATTTGAAACATGGCTTTTTGCACGAAAATAAAGGGAAACCACCATTTACAGGTTGCAATGTTCAGGTGTATAATGTAACGATCCCTGCTGAGTTGGTCTTTGTTTTGGAAGCGGGGACACCGAAAAGCTGCGTCTTCGCCGCCACAAAGGGGGGGCATATCCAAATGGTACGGATGGGGGGGCCGAAGGTTTTGGGGCACTAAATGGATCTTTTCGTTGGCAAGGGGAAATCAAAGAAAGGCCACTTTCAAGAAACTCGGGTGCGGTCAGAACATTTGGGTCACAAGGCACAGGGAAGGGGGGAAATTTCAACTTTGCTCAAGTTCAACTTTGCTTAACTTTTTCAACTTTGCTCAAGGCACAGGGAAGGGGGAGACTAGCTAACTTTCCCATATTTAGGGGAAGCCAAAGGCGTATGTTGACTATGTGTTCTCAGCGAGGCCAGACCAAGCTGAAGATGGGCCCTCCTGGATCCACAGAGGAGCGGGTGCCTGTGGCAAAAAACAAAAAACGATTTTGGGGTCCACCCTTTGGTTTCTGAGGGATCCCTTTTGGTTTTCCCGAAAGGGTAACTTCCTCCGCTTCTGGACTCTTAGACTGTTTGGAAGTATTGTTTTGCCGGCAAACAGCAACTAGGTGTTCCAGTAATGCCCTTTACTATACCCTTTCTTGGGGGAGGAGTCCCCCACTGAAATAGACCACAGAAAAAAAGGGTACCCTTATTCTAACCTCTTGACTGGAGGACCTAGGCAAGTTCTGACTTCTTTGTGCAAGTCCATTGAGGAAGCGCGGTGTGGGAAAGCAAACCCTCGATCAGCTACTAGGGACCCCGCCAGAATGCGGGCTCCCGTTTCCTCATCATTTAGGAGTTCATACCAGTTCATACCTGGGTGTGTCGCAATATAAATAGGAACTCCCCCAAAATGGATGGTTTCCCTTTGGCATCCCTTTCAGCCACTTCATGATCATGAGCTCCACTTAATGTCTACCATCTACTAGCTTTAGTCAAGGGGATGACATTCGGCACAACGACATAACGAGGAAATGGGGAGTTACTCAGCAACTCACTTCCCAAAATTATGAAACTTAACTTTTTCAGAAGACCATTTTTCAAGCAACACGTTTGGTTGCTTTGTTTGGCCCATCCACTCCGGAAGTGAGCCAACATCTCATTTGTGAAAATAACCGAGATTGACTGCGGCTCATAGCATTGACACTTCAGACCCTAGCCCAAGACCTCATTTGAGGCCTGGGGGTCAAGGCCCTCATATTTAGGGTCTTGGGCTAGGGAGATATAGTTTTAATGTTGTCACTTCGATAGGACATGTATTTGGAGGGGATCGTTCAGCATAAATTCGGACATCGAAAACCTAAATTCGGCATCTCCTTCAGCTTCGTTGCCCCAAAAGGACCCCAGTTTGACACCCTTGCCAGTGGCTAACAAAACGCCACCGCTCTTGGGGCCTCATAAGATCCAGAGGTCGTGGAAAAATATAGTGTTTTTTTGTTTTTTGGAGATTCCCAAAATGGGAACCTGACTTAAAGTCTGCAGTCAGGTGGTTTACTTTTGGCCCAGCTGGTGCGGAGTGGCAAGGTTGCAAGTATTTCGTTTGTGTGTGTGTCCATCCTCTCGGCTGGGACCTTTGAGTGAAATCGAGCTTTCGGTTCGCGGAGTTGACAGCGGCAACTTGCCGCTCTCATTCGGGGGGGGGGAAAGTTGCAGGATGTACTCAGCTCAAACTTGGCTCCTTCAACCAGCCCCTTTGCGGACGGACGCGGATCAACAACGCAAAAACATCGCACTGGTGACTCATTCAACACAAGAGTAGGGACGTCTCCTGTTGGTTTTCTCTGGTTTGCATGGCGAACTTCAACAAACTGCTTCTCAGTCTTTTTTTTCTCGGGTGGGCTGGGGGAGATTTTCCAATCAGGCTTGTTTAGGTGTCCTTAGTTTCCTTGGTGGCAGTCTTGTTTGCCTGCCGTGCAGTATATTTGCGAACCACTGTGGGATTTGGCGGTCTCCCGTCGAGAATCGCCTTCTGTCATCTTAACATAGTTTTCAATAACATCTTGAAAGAGGGTGAGCTAGTCTTCTTAAAAAAGGGCGTGCAACCCAGCTACTCAAAGGGCACCAAACCCCGTCTCAGGTCCTTGTGAACCCATTGATTCTTTACAGGGTCGGGACCGAGTCATCGGGAGTACCTTGAAGCCAGGATAGTTTACCGTGTTCTCACTTCCAGAGTTCATGGACTTAATACTTCAAGTTTGGTTGCTTTCTTTGTCCAACCCACACGAGAAGTGAGTGTTGGTGGTGCTTTCCCTTCCCTTTTCCGACGACTCGCCGGGGGGTCACCCAACTTGAAAAAGCCGTGCCGCGCCTGCAGGAGGACACCCGACGCTGGGCGCACACCTATGCGACGCTGGTGGCGTACATGCAGCCGAAGCCTTGGAATTGGTTCTAGGTCCCCCAATAGTGCCCTTTCTCACCCCTTTTTGGGGGGAGGGTTCCCCCAACTAAAATAGACTATACACAAAAGGGCACCCTTACTCTAGCCTCTCTACTGGAGGACCTAGGGTTAATGGATAGTTGAGAGAACTGCTTCAGGGAAAGCAACTAGCAGGGATACAGGGGGAACCAGGGATACGGGCGGATTCCCCCAAATGCACCTTGACTAAGTCTGATATGGGAAATGGCGCCAAGGGAATCCCCCCATATCCCCGGTCCCTGCGTATCCCCGCTCGTTCGTTTGTCCAAACTGCTAGGCTGGCTCTCAGCAGGGAATGAGTTGGAATGACTCCGATAAACCATCGGCTATGGTGTCCTTTCGGGGAATGCAAAGATTTATTCCCGATACCCTGGATCATTCCCTGAGCAGCAAGACTATGAGGCCCTTTGAGTGATTGCCAAAATTCCAAAGGAGATTTGTCACGTCAAGGATTTCCCGGTGGTGTCCCCTTTGAGCCGTCCCCATCGTTCCAACCTGTTGAGTTGCCAGACTTATCTAAGAGTGGAAGTACATAGCCCTTGTTCATACCCCTTTGCTTCCCTGGTTTCCAATTTACTTTATACTATATACATATACCCCTTTTGGGGAGAGGGGTATGAGCATCAGCAGGCCTTCTGGGTTCATTTGCCAAGGGGTATGTAAAAGAGGTATGTACGAGCCTGGAACTTAGCAACTGTGTCTTCATCATTTTCGTTCGGGCCCACACAGCGTCCCCTTTTGCTGGCCAGCCAGCTCAGCAGGTCAGCAAGGCCTGAGTAACTAGAGTCGGGGTGTAGGGGGGGTGACACTAAGTTGAGTCATGGTCATAGAATCACAGAGCAGCATGTGCCGATTGTGTAGGCCCCCTTTGCTAGGATTGCCCTGTAAGCCTGTAGCCTGTTTGACCTTTGGATTTCTTTCTTTGATCTGGTCAAGGATCCAACTTTCCGTGACAGGAGGCTAATCTTTGCTTCAAGGGAACGGAGCGCTCGGACCCGCAACCATTGAGGACTTATTTGGTGCTGATACGGCTCTGCTCAGCCCTTGCCCATTGCCCCATCATGCGGATTTCCAACAATGTGTCTTGCTTTAAAAGGCCCAACTGGCGGCAAGTGCCTGAAGGCTTATGAAGCCCCATAAGCCTTGGTCTTCACTTTCGGGGTTCGACTGTCTGTGAACGCGCTTCAAGCTAAACCAAATCTTCCATCGGATTCCAGGACCCATTTTTGTGGTTTTCCGAGAGTCCACCGACATTCTTCAAAAAAGGGGCATGGATACCTTTGCCAGTTCTTCCAGCCCCCGGCATCTTTTCGCGTTTTTACGCGGACCTCTGCCCTGAATTAGACGAAACTGAGGCCCGAGGCCCTCGAGGGCGGCTTCCTGGCGCCTCGACTCGGGGTTTTTGTGTGGCGGTTAAAGCGCGGCGAGGTGGTGGAAAGCCCGGGTTGCTTTCGTGGTTTTGTTGTTCAGGGCTCCTTCATCTGAAACATGGTTCATTCAGCACCAAAATCAGGGCTCCTTAAAAGAAAATCAGTTTGCAACCGATTGAAACATGGTGCTGTTTCAGCACCAAGATAAAGGGAAACCGCCATTTACGAGTGGCAATGTTCAGGTGTATAAGGTAAGGATCCCTGTTGGGAGACATTTTGCCCTTTTTTGCTTATTGTGGTTTGGTGGTTGAAACCACTTCACTGCTTGAGGTTCTCGAATTGTTGCTCCCCTTCCAACGTCAACTAAGCTTTTTCCTTGGACCTCGAGAGGGAAGCAGTTGCTTTGCTTTGCTAAGGACCCCTTTGGAACCTAGTGCTCAAAAGGACGGTGCGAAAGCTTGGCTCCCAGCCATTTGGTTCCCGAGCTGTGTAGAGCTTCGTGGCGTTATAGAGTAGGTTCCTTTCCGCACCCACTCAACGTTTTCGACTTTTAGCAGTTTATCTGAGGCAGCCCAGTTTCGGATATTCAGCTGGAGTCAAGCGACCCGTGGCTTCTGCCCTCCCTGCAATCATGGAAGCTGATGATCCGAAGGACAACCATCCTAAGTCCGTGATTGTCGGAAGGAGGGTAAGGGGCAGCCAAACGTCAAACCTTGCCATGTTGGCATCCACTTTCGCCACACAGCAGTTTGTTTGAAGCCCCAGTTGCCACGCACATCGTTGAAGGGAGATCACATGGGGCACAGCCAGTAGACATAGTAGGTCCCCCAGTAGTGCCCTTTCTCACCCCTTTTTTGGGGGAGGGTCCCCCTAATTACTAAAGTAGACTTCAGAAAAAAATGGTACCTTTATTCTAACCTCTCTACTGGAGGACCTAGCAGTAGACAGAGGTATAGTACAAATCCTAGAGCCCAGTTGCCATGAACACCTGTAACATGGAAACGCAGCAATCGTGCACTTGCTTGTTGCGCCTTTGCATGTTTCCCTGCTCGCTTTTAAGGACGTGATTTGCAAATACGTGTTTTGTTCTTGCTGGCGCCGTCAACTAAAAGCAGACACAGTTGCTCCGCTTAAGAGCTGACCAAAGCCAATGATCTTGACCCTTTTTGGCGTCCTTGTCGGGACCAACGTTTTTCCCCGGTGCAATGTTTGGAGCAGCACCGGTAAACGAGCAGACGTTTGAACCAGTACAGGTTTCATTCTGCTTGCTTTTTGGCCCCGGCATGTTTGATTTCTTCGGCTCTGGTGGCACATGGGAGATTCGTTCCACTGCAATGCATTATTGGGGAACCTGACTGTGGGAATCTTCTCATTCTGAATTCCAAGGATTCTTCTTTCCAGAAAACAGCAAACCATGTTGAACATGGGGAAACAGCGCTATGTGGGATACAAAGTCTTTGGATTTTGGGGTGGGGGAATGCCACTGAAGCGTCGTTGTATCTCAAAACTATCAACCCTTCGGATCTAGAATGATGAGCAGTTGGTTCGGGCTCAAGTCGTTTCATACATACCCATTGTGACGGGGATGCGTCAAATAGAGAATGTGTCAAGGGGAAATTTGCCTATTCGGGATGTTGGGTCAAGCTTCAATTGGGGGATGTGCAACTCACAATTCAGCCTTAGACTTAGACTGGGCTTATGTTTCCCGATCCCCCCTTAGTTTTGGATGGTTTTAACATCATCTTCAGAGAGTTCCCTTGGGTCATTTGGCTGGCTCAAAAAATCGGAATTCCAAAATGGCTCAAGCCCTGGTCAGTGGCAACATGGGTACCAAGACCTGCGGTTTGCCCCTCCTTTTTCGTTTCATCTTGATTGCCACGCCCATTGTGGGGTTTTCGGGATGTCCGGACCTCAAGTCGAGACCCCAGAAGTTTGGGCCACCAGGCTGGCGATCCAGGGCTGCCTCTACTTCTTTTTAATGGAGCCCCGTAGAAATGAAGTCGAGTTGCCTTTGGACTCTTTGGTCGTTTCTTTGTTGGTTTGCGGGGCCCCTTAGAAGTGAAGGAGTTGCTGGAAGAGCAAGTGACGAGTTCAAGCCGCGCGGGGGTCGGCTCTAGGTCGTGGTGCTTGTGGCACGGGTTTTCCTCTGTTGCAACGTTTATGGCACACCTTTATGTCAAATGTAGGATGCTGGCTGCAGAAAGGTGATCAAGGCTTGTCCAGGTTTGCTCCGAGCCTTTAACAGATGATCAAACAACACGGGTGGACATTTGGTTTGGTTTTCCTTGCTGGTGCTCAGTAGGGAATGTGGGACTAGACCTACGATTCGCCAAATGCAAGCTATCCTGTGAACGATCTGACATGTTAGGTGCCGACTAGACCTAAGGTGCGCCAAATGCCACCTATCCTGTGAACGATCTGACGAAATGTTAGGTGCCAACTAGACCTGGCAGGTATCCAGACATGTTGCTTGCTTGAAGAGTGGTTCCACTGGTTACCTGCGCAACCAAGCACAATGGCTGGGTTGGGGAAGGTGATGTGGCGCTGGGTCAAACATGGGGTAACTCAAAATGGGTTGCCTGGGCAAATGGAAACCTGGTTTCTAAAATCATCGGTCCATATGGTGCCTGACGTTTGCCCATGGTCTAGGCGAGTTTCCTCAACGTTTTCGCCCACAACTTCGACGAAGTCCTTGTGGATCCCAATATGCCGAAGCCACCGGGCAACGACGCCTACAGGACACAGATTGACGCGTGAGTACACTACCCTTTCACGCACATTGGCGGAGCATAACAGAAGTTGTCAGTTGCTGAAATGAGTATGTGTTTTTTCCCTCTCTTTTTTTCCCCTGTTATGTTTTAAGGGGACTTTATCACTACTGGACATGTGTTTTGTTTTCTGTTGGTTTCAGGGGACTGAAGCAAATGCATTAGGTACCCCAGCCCGTGCGTCAGCTACTATCCCCCTATCCGCGCATCAGGTGCCCCCTATCCGGATCCGCGCGTCAGCTACCGCGCATCAAGTGCCCCCTATCCCGATCCGCGCGTCAGCTACTGTCCCCCTATCCGCGCGTCAGGTACCCCCTATCCCGATCCACGCGTCAGCTACCGCGCATCAGGTGCCCCCTATCCCGATCCGCGCGTCAGCTATCCCCCTATCCGCGCGTCAGGTATCCCCTATCCCGATCCAGGCGTCAGCTACTATCCCCCCGCGCGTCAGGTACCCTCTAAGCGGATTACTCTCCTCCCTTCCCGCGCTACTATCCCCTTATCCGCGCGTCAGGTACCCTCTAACCGGATCCGCGCGTCAGCTACTATCCCCCCTTCCCGCGCTACTATCGCGACAGGTACCCCCTATCCCGATCCGCGCGTCAGCTACTATCCCCCTATCCGCGCGTCAGGTACCCCCTATCCCGATCCGCGCGTCAGCTACTATCCCCCTATCCGCGCATCAGGTACCCCCTATCCCGATCTGCGCGTCAGCTACTATCCCCCTATCCGCGCATCAGGTACCCCTATCCCGATCCGCGCGTCAGCTACTATCACCCTATCCGCGCGTCAGGTACCCTCTAACCGGATCCGCGCGTCTGCTACTATCCCCTTCCCGCGCTACTATCGCGATAGGTACCCCCTATCCCGATCCGCGCCTCAGCTACTATCCCCCTATCCGCGCGTCAGGCACCCCCTATCCCGATCCGCGCGTCAGCTACTATCCCCCTATCCGCGCATCAGGTACCCCTATCCCGATCCGCGCGTCAGCTACTATCACCCTATCCGCGCGTCAGGTACCCCCTATTCCGATCCGCGCGTCAGCTACTATCCCCCTATCCGCGCATCAGGTACCCCTATCCCGATCCGCGCGTCAGCTACTATCCCCTTATCCAGGTACCCCCTATCCCGCTAGCTATTATCCCCCTATCCGCACGTCAGGTACCCCCTATCCCGATCCACGCCTCAGCTGCTGTCCCCCCTTCACCCCAATATGCGCGTCACTACCTACTATCCATACGTCGTTTTTTTACAGCATTTTGGTCACGCAATTCACGTTTTTTTCAATAGCCCGTCGACAGTAAATGTAGCCAGAAAAAGCCGCGTAAACCAACAAGAAGCCGAAAAGCCAAGAAGCCGAGAGGCCAAAATGCTCAGAAGGTTTGCTTGTTGTGTGTGTGTGTGTGAATGCCGGTGTTTTGGCGGGTCGGCCTGCTGCCGTTCATGAATGAAGTTGGAAATGTCCACTGGGCCTCATAGCTTGCTTGTTGTGTGTGGTTGCCGCATTTTTTCGTGCAGTTGGAGCCTCCGTGCGCGTCAGGTACACTAACTAACTTCCCGTACCATCCTCCTCAGGCACCCGCGCTTCATGCGCAATCCCCCAACGCTGCGCCTAACCTTCCCGCGGCTTACTCGGCGCGTCAGGTACTATCCCCCCACTATTTAGCTGAACTAACTTTCTAACAAGCTTTTCAATAAATTAATCAACTAACTAATAACTGACTGACTGACTGACTGATTGACTGACTGATGACTGGCTGACTGATTGACTGACTGAGTGACTAACTCACCAACTAACTAACTAACTAACTAACTAACTAACTAACTAACTAACTAACTAACTAACTAACCACCCAGCCCCCCCGTATCCACCCTCCTGCATCATAGCGCCCCGCGCGTCAGGTACTACCTAAGCCGATTCAGGCGCCACCCCCCCACCTCACACCAACTGACTAGCGACAAACTAAGTAACTAATTAAATGACTACTACCTAACTCTAATTAACTGGCTAGCTAGCGCTAGCTAGCTACCTGACTAACTAACGAGCCAACTCACTGCCTATCTTGTTAACTAACAAACTAACTATCTAACTAACTAACTAACTACCTAATTAACTAGCTAATTAACTATTTAACTCGCCAACTAGCCCGGAAGTCAAGGTCAAACTTGACGGACGAGGTCAGGCAGAAACACCGTCGCACCTGCAAAGACGACGAGGTCTGCCAGGAGGAGCTGAACCGCTATCGTGAGCTCACGGGCAAATCCATGGCCAGGGGCCGCGGGCACTCCTCGACCCTGGGCCGTGACACCCAGGCCATTTGGAAAAACAGTTATCTTTTGAACCTTATTGTGACCTTTTTCGCGAACTTTTTCGGCTTTGACTGCAGGAGTTGCATTTGGGCTACTACAAACACTTGGTAGCCTATTTGCTGGAGCACGGGCTTGTCACGGCAGTCCCGGTGAAAATCCTCGACGCGGCAAGCAAGGCCAATTTCAGGAGCTTCTATAAGCAGCTGGAAACGGCCACCACCAGCCGCAAGCTCGGGTATTCTCCGGACAGCGTGGACACCATGACCCAAACCTGCACTTAGCCTTTATCTTTGTTCTTCTTTTGACTTTTCAGCAAAAAACAAAAAAGAAACACGAGTGGCCTAGGACCCGCGCTTTGAGCGTGGTGAGGGTCCTAGTCTCGCGCCACCCCGAGCTCGAGCGGAACGCGTCGAGGCAGAAAGCGGAGCGGCTCGTGAAGCACCTCCGGGGGTTCAGCAAGTCCTGTCAGGACGCGCTGGCCCTTTCAAGGTCGTATCTGCCGGCAAAGGTCGACGACCTAAGAACCCGTTAACATTGGAGGAGAGGGGTGAACAAAATCTGAAACAAATGTAAACTAACTAACAAACCAATCCCCCCCCCCCCCCCGGTCCTCCAGCCTCTGCGCATCAGGTCCTCGGCGATCCCGCGCGTCAAGCGCCCTCGCACAAGATACCCCCTTCCGATCTCGCGCGTGGCGCATCAGGTACCGCCTAAACCGATCCCGCCCGTGAGGTCCCAGCTCTTGCGGCAACTAACCAATCAACCAGCCAGCCAACCAACCAATTAACTAACTAACAAGTTAACTAACTAACTAACCGCCTAACCCCCCCCCCTTTCAACCTCCGCGCGTCAGGCACCCCTGCGCGTCAGGTACTTTTTGAATGAGGTTAGAGGCTAGGCGGATCAGCTACTCTCCTTCCTTCCCACGTCACCGATCCGCGCGTCAGCTACCACCCCCCTCTCCGCGCGTCAGGCGCCCCTATCGCTGCGTGTCATATACCGCCCAGCGCGGTCCGCGCGTCAGCTACTATCCCCCCTTCCGCGCGTCAGGCGCCCGCTATCCCGATCCGCGCGAGCTACTATGCCCTCTTCCGCGCGTCAGGTAGCCCGCTATATCGATCCGCGCGTCAGCTACTATTTGTCATCCGCGCGCGTCGCGCGTCACAAACACTAACTAACCACTTGACTGACTTACGAACTAACTAACTAGCTAAATACATTACCCTCTCTGACTAGCCCGCACGTCAGGTACTATCCCCCCTCCCGATCCCGCGCGTCGTGCGCAATCCCTCGATGCTGCGCCTCCTTCCACGCGTCAGGTGCAGTCAGGTACTAACCCTCCACTTACTGCAGCAACTCACCAGCTAGCTAGCTCTCTGACTCACCAGCTACCAACTCACTAACCAACTGACTAACTAATTAACTAACTAACTAACTAACTAACTAACTAACAAACTATTTAACTAAGTACCTAGCTACCTAACTAACTAACTAACAAATTACCTAGTAACTAACTAAGTTGTGACCTAAGTAAGTAACTGATTAGCTAACTAACTAACTAAGTAACTAACTAACTAAGTAACTAACTAACTAACTAACTAACTAACTAACTAACTAACCACCTCTACACCCCCCACTCCTCCAGCCCAAGGCATCCACTGGCCCGATGCTGTGCCTGACGTTCCGCGCGTCGAGTACCGCTTTTTTCGATACTATTACGTGCGGCAACTGAACCTCCCTTTCCCCTCCTCCCTTTCCCCTCCTCCAGCCGCGCCTGCTACCTAACCCGATCCCGCGCGTCAGGTTTGTAGTAGCCCCCCATTTCACACAGCAGCCAACCAACTAACTAAGAACGAACTAGGAAACTGACAAACTAGAAAGCAGCTGGCCGACTGACTAACTAATTACAGGGCCGGATAACCCCACAAGTCTATGCTTATTGAAGTATGCGACACTTGCATCTGCCGAGCAGCGAATAATCCCAAATCCGAGACATGCAAAGACCCTCACATGCAAGACCTTCACGCAGTCAGCTATGTCGAAAACTCTCAGCACTTTGTTTTTCGCTCTGGCAGATCGAGGGGTCGCATTGGCATCGCCGATGGCATATGTCAGCGGCATATGTTTAACATATGGCTTGAAGTGCCAACGCGTCAGGCGCCGCATGTATCTGCCAGCCTGGCCCCATGCATCCTGCGCTGTAAGGCGCTAAGTACTTCAAGACGAAAAGCCTTCCAAGAGCGGAACCCCATTTCTGCGGGCTTCTTTGCATTGCAGCTGGTTCTACAAGCGTATATAGGTCGCTCCCGCGACCGCAGATGCAAGCAAATTCCAAATCATCCACGCGTCCGAATCTTTCGATTGGGGTGTCCTGAAGTGCGGCTCGATGATGTGTTCTGGCACGGCTGCAAATGCTGCCATGTAGACAGCTGCCAAACGCTGCCCCTGCCAAGCAAACACACGCTCAGACGCACAGAATGCTGCGCCTGCCTCGACTTCGGCAACGGCATCTCCAAAGTGCTGCGCCTGCCACGATTTCGCGCGCCCCGAGCCGCGCGCGCGACAACATCCCATCCCTTTAGACAGCTGCCAAATGCTGCCCCTGCCAAGCAAACACACGCTCAGATGCACAAAATGCTGCGCCTGCCACGACTTCGGCAATGGCATCTCCAAAGTGCTGCGCCTGCCACGCTTTCGCGCGCCCCGAGCCGCGCGCGCGACAACATCCCAGCCCTTTAGACAGCTGCCAAATGCTGCGCCTGCCACGCAAACACACACTCAGATGCACAGAATGCTGCGCCTGCCACGACTTCGGCAAATGGCATCTCCAAAGTAATGCGCCTGCCACGATTTCGCGCGCCCCGAGCCGCGCGCGCGACAACATCCCATCCCTTTAGACAGCTGCCAAATGCTGCCCCTGCCACGCAAACACACGCTCAGATGCACACAATGCTGCGCCTGCCACGACTTCGGCAATGGCATCTCCAAAGTGCTGCGCCTGCCCCGATTTCGCGCGCCCCGAGCCGCGCGCGCGACAACATCCCAACCCTTTAGACAGCTGCCAAATGCTGCCCCTGCCACGCAAACACACACTCAGATGCACTGCGCCTGCCACGACAGAGCCGCGCGCGCGACAACATCCCAGCCCTTTAGACAGCTGCCAAATGCTGCCCCTGCCACGCAAACACACGCTCAGATGCACAGAATGCTGCGCCTGCCACGACTTCGGCAATGGCATCTCCAAAGTGCTGCGCCTGCCACGATTTCGCGCGCCCCGAGCCGCGCGCGCGACAACATCCCAGCCCTTTAGACAGCTGCCAAATGCTGCCCCTGCCACGCAAACACACACTCAGATGCACAGAATGCTGCGCCTGCCACGACTTCGGCAATGGCATCTCCAAAGTGCTGCGCCTGCCACGATTTCGCGAGCCCCGAGCCGCGCGCGCGACAACATCCCATCCCTTTAGACAGCTGCCAAATGCTGCCCCTGCCACGCAAACACACGCTCAGATGCACAGAATGCTGCGCCTGCCACGACTTCGGCAACGGCATCTCCAAAGTGCTGCGCCTGCCACGATTTCGCGAGCCCCGCGACAACACCCCAGCCCTTTAAACAGCTCCCAAATGCTGCCCCTGTGAGTCAGTGAGTGAGTGTGAGTAAGTGTGAGTGAGTGAGTGTGTGTGAGTGAGTGTGTGTGAGTGAGTGTGTGTGAGTGACACCTGCCAAATGCTGCCCCTGCCACGCAAACACACGCTCAGATGCACAGAATGCTGCGCCGGCAACGGCATCTCCAAAGTGCTGCGCGTGCCACGATTTCGCGAGCCCCAAGCCGCGCGCGCGACAACACCCCAGCCCTTTAAACAGCTCCCAAATGCTGCCCCTGTGAGTGAGTGAGTGAGTGTGAGTGAGTGTGAGTGAGTGAGTGTGTGTGAGTGAGTGTGTGTGAGTGAGTGTGTGTGAGTGACACCTGCCAAATGCTGCCCCTGCCACGCAAACACACGCTCAGATGCACAGAATGCTGCGCCTGCCACGACTTCGGCAACGGCATCTCCAAAGTGCTGCGCCTGCCACGATTTCGCGAGCCCCGAGCCGCGCGCGCGACAACACCCCAGCCCTTTAAACAGCTCCCAAATGCTGCCCCTGTGAGTGAGTGAGTGAGTGTGAGTGAGTGTGAGTGAGTGAGTGTGTGTGAGTGAGTGTGTGTGAGTGAGTGTGTGTGAGTGACACCTGCCAAATGCTGCCCCTGCCACGCAAACACACGCTCAGATGCACAGAATGCTGCGCCTGCCACGACTTCGGCTTCGGCATCTCCAAAGTGCTGCGCCTGCCACGATTTCGCGAGCCCCGAGCCGCGCGCGCGACAACACCCCAGCCCTTTAAACAGCTCCCAAATGCTGCCCCTGTGAGTGAGTGAGTGAGTGAGTGTGAGTGTGAGTGTGTGAGTGTGAGTGACACCTGCCAATGCTGCCCCTGCCACGCAAACACACGCTCAGATGCACAGAATGCTGCGCCTGCCACGACTTCGGCAACGGCATCTCCAAAGTGCTGCCCGAGCCGCGCGCCCCTGTGAGTGAGTGAGTGAGTGAGTGAGTGTGAGTGAGTGAGTGTGAGTGAGTGAGTGTGTGTGAGTGAGTGTGTGTGAGTGAGTGTGTGTGAGTGACACCTGCCAAATGCTGCCCCTGCCACGCAAACACACGCTCAGATGCACAGAATGCTGCGCCTGCCACGACTTCGGCAACGGCATCTCCAAAGTGCTGCGCCTGCCACGATTTCGCGAGCCCCGAGCCGCGCGCGCGACAACACCCCAGCCCTTTAAACAGCTCCCAAATGCTGCCCCTGTGAGTGAGTGAGTGAGTGAGTGAGTGAGTGAGTGTGTGTGAGTGAGTGTGAGTGAGTGTGTGTGACTGAGTGTGTGTGAGTCAGTGTGTGTGAGTGAGTGTGTGTGAGTGAGTGACTTTGTGCGGGTGAGTGAGTGAGTGAGTGTGAGTGAGTGAGTGTGAGTGAGTGAGTGTGTGTGAGTGAGTGTGTGTGAGTGAGTGTGTGTGAGTGAGTGTGAGACAGTGAGTGTGAGTGAGTGGGCGGCGGGGGCGGCGGGGCGGGCGGCGGCCGGCGGGGCCGGACGGCGGACGGCGGGCGGCGGGCGCGGAGCGGTAAAAGTAAGAACTCCACACAAAGATGTGGGGAACAAACTAACTACCCAACCAGCTAACTAACTGACTAACTAACTGACTAACTAACTGACAAACCACCTGCCTCCCCCTTCCGGTCCTCCAGCCTCTGCGCGCAGGTCCCCGACAATCCCGCGCGTCAGGCGCCCTCTCGCGTGATCCCACGCGCCAGGTACTACCCCCCCCTCCCGCGACGTCAGGTACTGCCAAACCCGATCCCGCGTGTGAGGTACTGGTCTCCCAGCCCAACAAACAACCAAACAAAATAACTAACTAACCAACCAACTACCTAACTAACTAACCGCCCCATTCTCCCCCCCCTCCAGCCTCCGCGCGTCAGGTACCCCCGCGCGTCAGGTACTCTTTGAATGAGGTTAGAGGTTAGGTAGGGTACAACCTGAGCAAATGGAAGAGAAGGTTCATGTTTCTGTTGTCAAAGGACTGGTTTGTCCTTTCAAGGCCTGTTTGTAGAAGTCACCCCCCCGAAGAAGATCTAGTCCTGCGTCCTATTGCAAGCATGCCTCACTTGCCCAAAGCGAATCGACCTTGCAACCTTTTGGTTTCCAATTTGGGTGCTCATTTTAGTCATAGCTTCAAAAGGTTACCATTTCTGTTTCCAATTCTTGCCCGATGTAGTCATAGCTCCACATGATCACCTTGTATTTGGTGTTTTTTTGAGGGGAAACTGAGATACCAAACTTTTAGGGGTTTATTCCCCATTCTTTTCAACCGTCGTTCTTTCCAAAAACCGGATCCGTTCTCCCGGTTTCCGGAGGTTTTCTAGACAGATTCGGATCCCTGGATTCAGAATGGAAATGGAAGGTACCCCTATCATGAGAGAATGTGTGTAATTGTTGAAGTTGCGCGGGGGCTCCAAAGCCAAATGGCTGTGGGTCAAAACTAATGGTACCATTCTGGGGTAGGTGCACCACCTATCTTAGTCTATTTTAGTGGGGATTGGGATGTTCACTGGGGGTACGATTTGGATTTTGACCCATGGCCAAATGTAGCAAACGTCGGTTTTCCCTGTTTTCGTGAGGAGCGGCAGCCGGGACGTGGCCAACGAGCGCTTCTTGACGGAGCTCCGGAGCTGGGTGCTGAGCAAGAAGGACACGGGAGCCATGACTCGACGCGCGGTGGGCCACGCGCGTGTGTTTTTCGGGCGCCTCGAAGGGGCCGTTTTCCGAAGTTCCGGGGAGTTCCGCAGCCAAATAGATACTGCCTAGGTCCCCCAGCTAGGTGCCCTTTCCCACCGATTTTTTTGGTTGGAAGGTTTCCCCTACGAGAATAGACTACAGCAAAAAGAGTACCCTTATTCTAACCTCTCTACTGGAGGACCTTACTGCACTGCCATTCTCTGCGACTAAACAAGACAATATTTTTTGGGGGTCTTTGCACCTTACTGCACTGCCATTCTCTGTGTCTAAACAAGAAATATGTTTTTGGGGTCCCTGCACCTTACTGCATTGCCATTCTCAGTGTCTAATCAACGCCAAAAAAAAAAAAAAACATTATTTGGGGTCCATGCACCTCCTTTTCTTTTGAAGAAGGCAAGCCAACATGCAGAGCGGAAACCTTTGTTTCAGGAGACAGTTGAGTCAAGCATGGCAGACGTGAGCCTTGGAGGCTCAGTTGGGTGTAGGTTTCCCTCGACTAGGCGTTGGGTTTTATCGAAAGCAAACATTGGGTTCCGGGTTTTATTGAACAAAACACACAAAATGCATGTGTCAGTGCTCCGTTGTCCGTTGAAACAACGAAACACAACTACAAGCATACTTGTTTCTGCTTGGCTTCTACAGCGCATGTGGGCGAACCACTGGTGCTTCTTTTTGGACGCCCCTACTTTTAGGCCCCCGGTGGCAGCCGGGTGTTGCTCAGGGCACTTTGTTCTGTATCAGTCTGCGGGTTAAATGCGCTCCCTGATGGTCCTTTGTACCAGCACTTCCATTTGCTGAAATGAATGTGTTTTTAAAGAGAAGCTATCACTACTGTGTTGAACCGCAGCAGATTTAGGAGCTTTCCTTGTCGTGTCAAAACTGCCGCTCGGCGGACGCTTCGTTGCTTTGTGTCAGATGGACTCGAGCGAGTCCGAAGCTCGCTCTTCAGGACCTACCTCTTCGCGTAGCCTTTGGTTTGGTGGCTGCTGTCACGCGCAAGCACTCATTCTCAGCCAACCAGCCTCGTGAGCCAAAATCAAAACCCGGAATGATGAAGGTTAGTAAGGGGCAGTCGGAGTCCCAGCCAGAAATCGTTGCGGCCGCTTTCTTAAGTCTTTACATGGTTCTGGGTGGACCATTCTATCACCGGGTTTTGAGCAAGTGACTCTCGTGCCCTTTACGCGGTCCTGTGATGCAGATTTGGTGTTATGTTTGTTCTGACTAGGTCCTCCAGCTGGTGCCCTTTCTCACCGATTTTTTTGGTTGGGAGGGCTTCCCCCAGGAAAATAGACTACAGAAAACAGTTGGTACCAGCTTAACCTAACCTCTCTGGAGGACCCAGCTGTTCTGAGCTCCCTGCGCCTTTCAGCAGCCCCCGACCTGGGCCAGCGCTATGCGATTTCCGTCAGGGAAGCAACCGCCCGCATTTTTGGTAGCCCGGAAAGGCGCATGGTCCGGGCCAACCGGTTTGTGAGTGTTGCTCTTCTTTTTTGTTTTTGTTTTGTTCACGAGGGATGCCAGAATCTGGGGGGTGCAAAAGCCTTTTGCCAGGGAATCCAAATCGCGTTTGTTTGTATCACCCCTCTCCAGATTCTCCACTACCCAAATCCTATGTTGTTTTGACTGTTTCACCTCGAATCCACCAGATTCTCGAGTACCCAATTCCTACCCTTGAGGTTCGACTGTTATTCACAGCTTGGAAGCACTGACAGCGAACTGCTTCGAAAAACCAGCCTGGAGCCTTACCTGGGCGCCTTTTTCTTTTCCCGGATGTTTTCCAATGTGGGATTTTGTCCAGTCTGTTTTTGAGTTTAGGGCGCTCTTAGGGTTTTGGGGTGGTTGGGGGGTGGGTTTAAGGTGGTTTAGGCTGAGTTTAGGGTGGGTTCAGAGTGGATTCGGGGTTGGTTTAGGTTGGTTTAGGTTGGTTTAGGGTGGGTGTAGGGTGGGTTTAGGGTGGGTTCAGAGTGGCTTTGGTGTGGTTCCAGCTGTTTGGGGTAGGGGCAGGCTGGTTTATGCGGTTCAAGGTCGGCTAGTTTTAGGGTATTTGGTTTGGGAGTTGGAAGGTTAGGGTAGGTTTAGCGTGGATTTGGGGTCGGGTTTAGGGTAGGTTTATGGTAGAAGAGTTGGTTTAGGAGTTGGGGTTGGTTTAGGGTGGGCTTAGAGTGGGTTAAGGCTTAGGGTCGGTTCAGGGTTGGTTTTTTGGGTAGCACCCCTGTACCATTTTAGTCCATTTCCCCATCCAAGTGGAGCCATTTTCGCAGGACCGCCTGGTGTGGCCTAGCGGCGGAGACGACGAGGCAACGGATCGTCTTTTCTTTTGCATCGGATCGTTTGGGGTCTTTAAATGCAAGGAGATCCGTGCACGTGGGGGTTGATCGTACATTGCGGGCTCCGAATTTATGACCGTGGGCAATGTTGTTCCATGTGGGAAAGATCATCTTTCGAGTGGTTTCCGGTTCCCCCAGTCATCGGACGTAAAGTTGATCTTTTGAGGCCACCGCCACATGGTTGCAACCCTTGCTGGACCTCAATCTTTGGTGAAGCTTCTGGATGCACAGCCAGTGCGCTGTTTTGCCCCCGGTTGCGCTGTTGCTCTGGGGTCTTGGCCTGGATTTCGTCGCATAAGCCTCTGCTTTCACCTGGCGTGCGATTTGCAGTTTTCAGGTCACCAAATTCCTTGCTGAGCCGCTTGTTGAATCAAAGAGGGGTAAGGAGGGGAGAGAGGTAAGGGCCTATCAAGACAAGACCCCCTTAACCCCCCTCCAAAACCCCCCCAAATAGTTATTCCTCCCCCAAAAAACCCTCCTTTCTCCCACAAACCGACCGGCCCCATGATTGAAGCAGCTTCCAGTCTCGAAGGGGCTCTGGAAGCTGGTCTTTTCAAGTTTTTTAGATCCTTGGGGTCCGTCACTTGACCTTTGGCGCAGGTTTCATATAGCACAGACCCTCAAACAGCCAGGGTTTGAGACCGGGTTCCAAACACCTCCGGGGTGTCTCCCGGAGGGTTCCATTAAAAGCCCAGGAGCCTCTGGGTGTCTTCACGAGAGGTTGCATGCGCCGTACCCTCCCACCAATTAGCATGGAACCTGACGTTCGGGGGGTCCTGGAAGACCGGTGTCCTTTGAAAGGAACCCTTGTCAGGTTCCTTGTTTGGTGGGAGGGTACATGATGTTGTGTAAGTTCCACGGTACTTGTAAGTAAATTGAATGGAACTCAGAATGCAGTTTGGCAACGGTGCCACCCAGTACCACTGCCATAGCCTAGGGTTCCATTTGCGATTTCAAGAATGCAGATCTTAGCCGAATCAAAGCCTGGGCAACCAGGGACATTTGCGTAGGCCTTTTTGATACTCGGTTTTGGTTGTGATTATTTTGGCCTACTCGGAGTGGATTTGAGGCTGATTGACGGACCTACGCGGTCAACATTATTGTTTGAATGAACATCATGCTTGCAGTCTTCCTTGCAATTTTCATGGACACCCATGGGGGATATAACATACTGTACAACACGATGACACCTTTGCACGATACTCCTGCACAGACCAAAGCCTGAAAAAAGCACGGGGACTCAATGAACATGCAGTGGCAGTGTGGTGGCCATTTTGGCCTCCTTGGCGGCTTGGATCCCCTTGATCACTGGTTTCTGACAGGTAAGCCTTTGGTGGTTGACTGGTTCGTGATATATATATATATATATATGCACATGAGCGACGTACCGCGACTTGCTGTCAGAAGGGAATCACTTGTGCCACTTACCAAGTTGGCACTTGCCATGGCCATGTCAGTTTAGAGTATGGTCGTGGCCTCAGGTTCATTTAACCCTGTGAGATCGCCGTGCGCTAGGCAGGCTCGGATAGCGAGGGTGACGGGGACGACGACGATGACGAGGACGACAATGATGATGACAATGAGGATGACAATGAGGACGAAGCGGAGGACAAGGACGAGGAGAAGGCCGAGGCATGCGGGTGAATGTTTCGGGGCACATCAGACATCATGGCGAGCTCACCTGGGGGTAAAGGAAGCTCGCCCATGATGAAGGCCCCGTACTCGGGGGTTTCTCTGTTTTCGGGTGCTTAATAATGGTTTGCCCAGTTGTTTGAGGGACCCTGCAACTTACTACTCATTCCAACTACCCCAAGGTCGACATTTTGCCCAGGGGTCATTGAGTTCGCCTGAAGGGACTCGTTGGGTTTCAGCAAGCAACATGGACTCGCTTCCCCAAATTCAATGATGACTGGGGGATCGATCTGTGGGTTGCAGGCTTCATTTTGTCGGGTTGCCCAAGCAAAAACTCGGCCAGATCCAAGTTGAAAGGCGCTCAAGTAGTTGTTTTTGTTTTTTCTTCTTTTTTTTTCCGCCAGTTGGAGTTCCAACTCTTAGTTTCCAATGGTGGGTTCTCCTTGCTTACGTAGGATTCATCAACTGCAAGGGCTTGAGACAGATTCAGGGGATGAAGGGGACATGTTCCACTAGCGGGGACATCTTCGCTTTTGGGCCGACCGCATTTTTTTGTATGAAGATTGGCTGAAGAAATCTGACAAGGTCCCCCAGTAGTGCCCTTTTTATCAACTTTTTTGAGGGAAGGTTCCCTACTAAAACAGACTACAGACAAAAAGTTGGTACCCCTATTCTAACCTCTCAAATCTGGCGGACCTAGCTGAAAAACTGCATTAACTCAGAGCCGTCGAAATCCGATGCCCAAACTTTCTCCAGCTTGCCGGAAACACCCTCCGAGCAAAAATTGTCACCTTGCTGCAAAAGCGGCAGACAGCTGTAAGATCCTTTCTTGTGGCGGCCCGTTTTGGAGCCCAAATAAGCCCCCTCCCCTTCCAGTTGTTTAAGAATATTGTTTATTTTCCCCTGTTGGTTTTAAAAGGAATCGATCACTGGAAATATTTGTTTTCCAGGGGGCTTAAGCAAATGGAAGTCCCCCTTTGTTTTTTTCTCCCAGCCCCCACGAGAAAAGTGCAGGCCTTGTTTTTCTCTCGAGTCTGGGTTCCTTCAAGCTGGGAACAGGAGTAACAGCTCTCCCCAAGTGGATGCAAGTGGGCGTAAGTTGCCCCATGGTGTCAATGGTCCGTACTCTTTGGGATGGATCAAAAGAAACCACCGAGTGACGGACAAAATCGTAGACCTGGCGGGATTTTGTCTGAAAGTACTTCTCCCCCTAGGGTCGGAGGGGGGGAGGGGGGTTAAATCCAATGTAGGTCTTTCACTGTCTTGGACAGACGCAAAGGAGGACCTTGTGAATCAGGGACGCAAACCCCGATTTTACTGATTACATCGAATTCACAAAAAATATATCATTGTTGGAGAAGGCTACGGATTTGTAGCCTGACGGCGTAGTTGTGTTGCAAACCAGGCAAAAGGCAACACCACAATGTGTTTGTTCCTTAGTTTTCTTGTCCAACGGTTTGCAGTGCTCATCTGGGGATTTGCAACGATGGTCCGAATGGAATGTCGCACTGCGCGCCAGGCGGAAGGCGAGGAAAAGGCGCGGAGCGCTCTTGTGGAGGATATCTTCCATTTGCTGAAAGAAATCTTGTAATTATTTTCCTCTGTGAAGGGAATCGACTTCACTACTGGACATATTTGTGTTGTTTTTTCCATACTACTGTAGGTGCACCACCCCTTTTAGAACCTATGGGGATGGGATGTTCACTGGGGGCTAACCGGGGTTTTGAACCAAGCCATCTCTTGGACTGCGCGCATGTCAACATGGAGGACTGGCTTGAGATCCCAAGAATTCCCATTTCCTTCAAAGGCGCTCGTTGAGGTTTCGTTCAATGGTCATCCTCTGGAAATGACAGGCCTCAGATGTCATTCCCTTTGAGGGGAAGCAGGGCAATATGTTCAGCAGAGTGGTCACTGCGCATAGCTTTTTTGATATCCCCTATGCTTTTGGTTTCGACTTTCACCGGGGGTGGAGTACTGTTGCCGTCAGGTTTTGCATTTACTGAGTCTCCAAGACCCTTTGCTTGAAAACTGAGGTCATAGGGTCCTTCTGTATCCTATGGATCCAGTTACCATCATGCAGCACCTAGCAATCCTGGTAATTGCAACTAGATCCACCGTGTTTTGGCATACCAAACCTGGAAGTGCGCAGGCGAAAGGAAAGTCGTCTTCCAAGAGCCTGTGCCACTTTCATGCTTGTTGGGAGGGTAAAACATACACCACAACGGGAAGGAGGTTCCTATTTTACGAGACGGCCGCGTCCAGGACAAAGACAAAGAAGGCGGGTGAGGGGCGACCGCAGGACCCAGGGTGAAGGTTGGGCAGGTTACGAGCTCAACCTATCAAGTCCTTTGGGGGTATCCCTATTTGCTTGAGAGGGAGCCAAATGAGTTCTGGAGACGGTAGTGCTACTACCGAGCCATCACCGCCAAACCACTATCAGGGGTGGGATATACAATGACTATTATATTTAGCCACTATGTAAAGGATAGATACCCCTTTTTCCGTGGGGCAGTGGTTTGGGGGTGGAAACCATCGAGAACTGCCAAGTGCCAAGGACTGCTGTTCCCTTCTCGTGCTCGCAGGCGAGGAAGAAGAGGAAGACTTCAGTGAGACCTTCAAGTGCAAGGTGCGCCTCGAGTACCTGGTACCCCCTAGAGTGATAATTTCAACGCAAAAGCAACACACAAAACACGTTTTTGGGGTTTGGTGTGGAAATTAATTGTAGATCTGAGGCTGCCCCAGGTAAGGTGGTGCGACTTGGGCGGCTTTTTGTATCCAACCAAGCCCTGTTCCTCTTCAAAGCTTTGTGCTACTTGGTACCGGATCTTTGGAGTTTTTAGTTGTTGGTTGAAACAGGTCGGATTTTCCATTGGACCCACAAAGATTTGTAGAGCTGTCTCGTCAGCAACCAAGAAAGGGAAGCCAACAGGAGCTTTTGCTTGCCAGCCAAGCATGCAAAAGACGCTCCTGATGTTCGATCGCCCCCAGAACCAGTTCCTCGAAGGTTACCAGTGACGAACACGAGGGATGAATAATTGGTTTGCACTCCTTCCATTTGCTTAAGAATATGTGTTATTTTCCCGTGTTGGTGTTAGAGGGAATCTATCACTACGTGACATATGTTCATTTTTTGCTCGGGTCTTAACCAAAATGGAAGATTCCCCTGGCTTTACTTGAGTGGCAAAGGCAAACCCGCGAAGAGACGAATCGTGGCGAGCGCCGTTGGCCAAGACCTTCCACTTAGCATGTTATACGTGACGACTGCATGCGGGGTTGCCAGCCAATCAACGTCTGATGCTTTTTGCAGTGGACGGGTTGGCTCGACTGACTGTGAGGTTATTCTATGGGCGAAAAGACAATGGCAGTAGGTTGGCAGTGAGGTTCATGAGATTCAACGGGTATGTCTTGAAATGTTCCTCGCACTGAGTGCACCACCGAGTTGAAAGAATTGGAGATCCGAACGATGTTCCGCCCCCTTGGATATATGATATACTGGAGATCATTTACAAATCAAACGCCCGGAGTTGAGAATGACGGTTGATCTTCAACGCTTTAAAAGCTTTTGACTTGCAAAACGAGGCATTCCTCGTTTGGCTTGGGTTTCCTTCTTTGTTTAGTCTTGGCTTCGGCGCAAAGTCCGGACCTTAGAAGAATGCCACGAAAATGCATGATCGTTCTATTCAAAGGGACAGCTGGCCGGACTAGTACGCGTCACTCTGAAGTTGATTTTTTAGGTGGGTGGTGTTCCTTCTTGTTGTTTTAAAATGTTCCCTCGGTTAGGCAATTTATTGAACCAGGCTGCCTAACCTGGGTTGTGTGGCAAACCATTTGAAGTCATGGCCCCAAAAGGTCCTTTCAACGTCAGGGGTTAACCAAGGTTGACGTGGTAATAGGTTGACTAAACATGGTTTGGCCCCCAAAAGGTTAACCAATTATTTATGGGTCTTTCCAACGTGAACCAAGTTGGTCTTCTCTTGGGTTTCTGGTAGGAAGCACTGAAGTCCTGTTTAATTTTGAGCCACACCCATATCTAAACCACCCAACGGAGAAGGAGCTGGGTGGGAAGGAGCTGGGCGCGCGTTCCGTCCCACTGAAAAAAGGCGATCGAAGCGGCGCTCGGTTTTAATAGTTGCTGTTGGGAAACAAAAAAAACATGTTTGCTTCTTCTGGTTCAGTGCACCTCAAATTTGATTTTGGCTCCCCTTCCAAGGTGAACTTCAAGGGATCCTTGCTGGACTTGGTCGTTTTCGATCCGTAGAGGAGCAGAAAGCAACCGATGGTTCATGCCCTTAAGGTGCGTAAAAAACAACAACATCACAGAACACTATTAACAACAAAAAAACAAAGTAGAAACAATAATCAAGATCCATCGACTGAGCCACTGAGGTGGTGCTCTCCTCCAAGGCGGAGGTCTCGGAGCTGGTGCCGCGCCTGGAGGGCGCCAGCTTGAGCTCGCAGGTGCTGGGCCTGCCGGCGCCGCGGCCGGTTGGGTTGGGGGGGGTTGGGGGGGGTTTGGGGGGGTTGGGGGATGGGGGGGGGGAGCCAGGGGGAAACACCGGGGGAAGCAAGGCGAAATGTGGGGAAGCAGGAAAAATCAGGGGACATTTGGGGAAAACCAGGGGAAATTTGGGGAAACCAGGAAACATTTGGGGGAAATTTGGGGAAACCATGGTAAAACCTTTGTGGTGGCTTCAAATTTTTAAAAAGAGGTTTTACAATCAGAAGCTCCGTGTAAGATCTGGAAAACATGTGCGGTGCCTTGGAATTTGGAAACAAAGATATTTTGGAATCAGAAGCCCAATTGTATGGGTTGGAGAAACCAACAGGGAAACCGCACAATGTCGAACCAACAGATCTGCCACCCAACATGAGGGGTTTGGGAACCCTTTTTGCGAATCTGAATGGTTTTCAACTAGCACCACCTTCACCTTCGGTTTCCAATTTATAGTGAGCTTCATTTGGGGTGACGTAGCTGGACGTATCGTGTCCCGTCCACTTCTTTGTTCGATCCCATGGTGGAGGGTCCCTGGGTTACAGGGCTCATACTGTGGCGAAGAATCTGGATGAAACACCTTCACAGAAGGCTGGTGGATACAATTCCATGTCATTGTCCAAATGGTCTTCAATTTCATGAAGTGGCGAACTGAAGGTGGTCAGTTTCATTCCTATGGGAACTGATAACGATTCATTGTGTAAGTCAGTGGTTGATTTGCCCCTTGGCTCCAAAGGAAAATCGTCACAACTCGTAAATATGAAACTTCTCCCTCGCAAGTGCTTCAAGGGGTGCCCACCAGTTACACGCCAAGCTGTACAAACAAAGTGGCTCCGTTCTGTGGCGAATGATATTTTTGGCAGAGAAAGGAGCTAACCCCTGGATGGCTTTGAGGGACGGGCTTGAAAAGCCAGAACTTCCTTTTAGGTGTTCGCCCCCATGCCAGGCGAGCAGGTCGCCATGGTAAAATCATCGACTTAACTTGGTGGCTCCCAACCATCCCCTTAGCTTTTTAGCCTTTTAGTGTGCAGTGGTAGTCCATTTAACCCGCAAGTTAAACTTTTAGCGGGGGGGATCTGAGGGCAGCCCAGTCAAGTGGCTTGAAAGCCCAAGAGGACTACGTCTCAAACTGGGCAAGCCCGACTGGGAGAAGGGCCGATGTTGGGTGTCTCCCAGTAGCTTCCTCTTGGTGAAGCCTTGAAGACAATTGACCAAGACAACAAGGGTGGTTGTCCAAACATGGTGTCTGACTTGCTTTCCCACAGCCAGAAGGCAAGGGGCTCAAGGCGGGGAGAACCCAGAGGTCCACGGGTCCAGAGGTGGGAGGAGTCACATGAGCCTTGGGGTGATATGTAGCAAAATACAGGGGGTGTCCCCACCATGGCCCAAATAGGCTCACCAAGGCTTGCCTGGGCGCCCCTCAGGACCTTCTGGTGTCACAGGTCTCTGACAACTATGAATCTCTTTTGAGTTCATCTTACACTTCAGCTTTGCTTTCTTCTTTTCTTCCTGGGGGGGGGAGTTGGCCACATCACCTTAGGTGTTGCCCAGTTTCCGTGGCAAAGCATTGCCTTGGGAGCCGTGCCGGCCGTGCCGAGCGCCCATCTCTCGGTCTCGAATGGGTGGGCGACGAGGCCAAGTCCACCTTGCAGCTCCGCGCCGCTGCTTTGCGCGCCGCCTTTGCCTCACGGCCCTCCATGCAGAAGGCGCGTCGGGTTTGCCGCGGAATTGGTGCTGGTTCTGCGGGGCCGGGTGGCGTGGGGTTGGGCTGCAAGGAAAAGTGGGCGGTTGAGCCCCAATCATCTGGATCCACTTGGCTTTTTGGGATCTTTTCGGGTTTAGTGGGGGCACGGGGTTCATTTAAGCCACGAGAAGTGAACAACTTGCGGGGGAGCTGAGGACAGGTAGCTTGGCGTCCCTGGCTTGGCCTGATGAATTATCTTCAAGATACGGTCCATTCTTCACATAGATTCGGATGTTGCTTGGAGCTTGCAATTGTCCCAAAGCAAAGCAGCCGGGAGGAAACCAAGCAAAGGCAACTAGGACCAGCTTTGTTTCGCCGAGAACGCGCCCCTTGCGAAGGCGGTTTTGGGATGTTCCTGAAGTCATTGTGACGGCCTGGGCGCCCTCCGAAGCAGGAGGATTCAAGAGTTTGGCCAATGTCGCGAGACAAATTGGGGCAGTGACGCCGTGCAGCCAGCACGCAGGAGTTTGTTTTTTGTTCTTTTAGGTCATCAAAAAGGGCCAAAAGTGCCATGTGCCCGTTTGGGTTGGCCCAAATGGTCAACAGGTTCAACACTTGGTGGCTCCCAGCAAACCCGGTTCCTTAGCTTTCCAGCCTTTTCGTGTTCAGCCCAGGTCTCGGCTGCTGAGGCCCAGTGGCTGGAGTGGGTCGACCCCGGGGAGCTGGGGGACTTGGTTTTGGTACCAGCACCCGGTACAAAACGTCACCAAACTTGGTACGGACACCGAAAGCAGTGGTTTTGTGGGGCTGGCAGGTGCCTTCATCATCTTGGTTTATTCAATTTGGAACCCATTCTGTTCAACAATAGTCCTCTACAACACTCCGCTGTTGTTTGTTTCTTTTCTGGACGTTTGATGACTCCCTGAAACGAAGGATCCCTGGAAAGGCTGGGCAAGCTTCCCCAAGAAATCCATGTCTTGTCAACTCAAGAGTTACGTCACAGCTCGGGTTGCCTTTAGCTTCATGGAGATGATGCCAAGATGTGTCACCATTCCATGTCTCTTCCACCTCTTGGATGATCAGAATGAAGCCAGCATGTGGGTCTGTCGTCTTTTGGTCGTACCTCGGCGGGTTTTCACCCCCCCCCCCCACGTAGCAGCGTTGCTTTTCAGCTTTTCAAGGATCAACACCCAAGGGTCAGGGTTCATGCTTTTACGAAGGATAATTTGGAGTCGGTGCCGTAAGGACATATTAACCACAGATGTTGGGGTGTCTTTGTTGGAGTTCCACCTTTGTGGGTTAAGTTAGGAAGAATTTCTGAACGCCATTTCCTCTATGTAACGAGCCATAGGCTCTTGATGGTTCCGCCCGCGAGTTCCAGAGTGCCCTTGGGCTCAAAGGGAAACACCGAAGGATACCATGACCATGGTTCGCGCGGCTAGAAGTGACGGAACCAACATATATATATATATATACATATATATGTATGTATATACATATATACATATATATATGTATGTATATATATGTATGTATGTATAGATATATATATATATATATGTGCGTGCACATGACAATGCATAGATGCATTGAACCTTTCGACCAGTCATGAAGAGATGCAGACACTAGCCCCAACCATACACATGTGTTTTTTTGCATCAGAGCTGGGTAAAGCTCAGTTCCTGCACTCATGAGAAGCGCGAACGCGTGATGTGTTTGTTTTTTGTTTGTGACATCTCAGCTTGCTCGCATTTTACCACTACCACATGTGCTGCTTCACTGTTCTTGGCATGTTTTGTTTGTTTTTGTTTCGTTCTTTGGTTCTGTCCTTTTTTTTGGGGGGGGGGGCTGCAAAAACCAAAGTGTTTTGCTACCATACCAAGAGTAGAGATTGCTGAGTTGCACAGAATTCATATTTACTCCGAACCTTAAAGCAGCTGTTGCTAGACTCGCCCACCACCATGGGCCCCATATATTCATCCATTTGCTGAATTAACTATTGTTTTATTTTCCCCTGTTGGTTTTAAAGGGAAGCTATCACTACTGGACTTTTTTTCTCAGGGGGCGAAAACGCAAATGGAGGTAGATGACCCATACAGCTCGGAACATAGAGGTTGATTGGTGAGTGGCTACCCAAAGTTTCCAGTGAGGAAGTTGGGCAGGGCTGCTTCTCCCTTTCGGTAGAGACTTCGGCGGTTGGAAGGAAACCAAGAATCCGAGTGATCGGGTGCCAGCGATCGCATGACTCCCTTGACTCACAAGCCCATGTTCAAGTTCCCAAACTTTCAGCTTGGGTTTGGACCATTCTACCTAGAGTCTCCACCCCTAGACAAAGGGGTCAGAACCCCTTAATTTTGGGTAATGACCCCATTTTTACAGGGTGGCGACTCCAGGTCGTGGTAAATGAGCTGTTTGGCGACTTTTCTTGGCCACTCCCCTGGATCGATCGGCGCCCTTGGTGCTTTTGGCTGAACTTCGGACCAAACCGCGGATCAGAGCGGGTCCCGAGATGAGCTGTCGCCTTCCAGGGGCACTGCCGGGCAGCACGGTTCAGTGACCCATATAGCTGTGATACTCTGTTGCCCAAAGCGAATCGACCTTTTGACCTTTTGGTTTCTCCTTTTGGTTTCTCCTTTTTGGAGTTTTAGTCATGGCTCCAAAAGGTTAACCCTTTATTTCTGGGTCCTTTGGGCAAGTGGGGCAATGAGAACGAGCTCCGGGTGTTGGTTGAATGAACCGGTTTTGGCGATGTAGGAAACCATATGGATGGTTTATATGGGTCATTCCATTTCTACAATTCCCTGAGAACCAGCAAGGAAAAGCTTAAGGACGCTTTTCGGATTGCCAATCCAGACCGTTTTGTGAGCTGGCAAATCCAGGGGAAACGCGTGTACCAATTCTTTGGGATCTGAAAACGGGATGGGTTCCTTTGAAGAGCCGAAGCCACAGGTTGGAATCTCACTCAAGGCAAAGCCCTCAAGGCCTCACGGAAATTGAGGAAGCCTTTGGTTTCCACCAGTTGGTTTCCTTTCAGTGTCTGTTTGCAGTCTTGTTCAAAAGGTTCAACACGCCAGTCACTGTCTCCGAGAGAAGCTCAATCCTTGGAATTCCAGCCAAGGCTTTCCTTCAACCGGGGTGGCTAATCAGGTCAAGGCGTATGAGAAGGGGGCATGTATTGACACTCACAGGTGAGGGGAAGCAGTGGAACAAGTTCCCCTCCAAACCAAGAGGAACCAATGTTTCATGACGTCTTTACCACCGTGTTCACATGCTCAACAAACTGACCACAGATAGTGTGTAGCCTGCCTTCTCTGGGTCTGTAGGCCGTTCGAAATCAAAATAGGAACCTCATAACATGAAATCGAGGTCCTTGAAAATCCCCTCTCAAGATGGAGCCGAAACAGTCAATATATGCAAGGTGGTATACTTGTTTTTTGTGGATGGCAATCAACCGCGGTAGGATTTTGCAGAAAGGGTAGCCACTTAGCTCGCGCGTTGGGGGAAGCATTTGCTTCGCAATACTCGGACCAGGTTGTGTTAACTTCTTTTTGGACTTGCCAGAAGCGAACAGATATTTTCCACAATTAATATCCTGCAGATGGGACATTTGACAACCAGGTTGGCAAGATGTCCACTTCTCAACACGACAACTCCTCCAAGTAAGCGAAGGTGTTTTGTGTTTTTGTTTGAGTTCTGATCTGTAGGATCTGTCGGGGACCTCGGATGTGGGGAAGCGTCTTGAGCTCGCCCAGGGCGCATGGCCGATGACGGATGGTTCATTGGCATCTCCGGCCTGGATTTCTTTTCTGGTTTTCTTCGGGGCCTCCCACGTTCCTTCTGGCTGATTTTTTGTTGGCAAGCATTTGTTTGCTGTTTATCATGGGGGGGGGGGTTAAAAGGCGTTTAAAACAAAGCCGGTTACATGAACATCCTTGGCGGATGGGGGCCTGGGTGGAATTCAAACTTTACATCGTCAACAACATTTTCACACCAAGCTAGACTTGCGAAAAGCCTTAACGTTAAAGCAGCACATTTCTGCATCCTCAATGGAACAATCATGGTCTTCCCGAAACATCCATTCAGCAGGACCTTCTCAAACCCAGCAGCAAACAATGCTAGCCAGGACGAATGTGCGTGGTGTTTCGCCTGCCACATTTCACGGCGTTTCACAGTCTTTCACTGCAAAAAAAAGGGCGTTCACGCCAATTTCACAGCATTTTCACCCTTTTCCCTTGTCGATGTCCCATTGCTAAGCCCATGATCAATGTTTCTAGAACTCCCAAAAAGTCGAAGACCTTGAGCATTGAACAGCTTGAACATGTCTACATGGTTTTCTCGCGACTTTGGAAAGCGTACGTTTCAGCCACAAGCACTACAAAGCCATTTGGCTACTAATGCGGCCAAAGAAAACACGGTCAACCCAACTAGAAGCGTCCAGCTTGCAAACAAACAACTTTCTGTGCATTTCACGGCCACTTCCTAAAGGCCTTTCTTTTTAAGGCCCCGAACCCCAGGGTTTAGAGTTTAGAGCTACGCCCTACGCTTTCATTTGCTTTCAAATTGCATTGTTCCTTTGGTTTTGAATGGTTGCGCAATGCAATATATGTCTATGTCCGTGGCGCCAAAGAAGCAAATTGGAACAAGCGACGAGATAACTCTGAAACTCCAACTTCCCAGGGAGTTGGAGGAAACCGGTGGATGTCCCTTCCCCAGAGAGGAGGCAGCCCGGATTTGGGTATGTCCTGAAACAAGTCAAGTATTACCACACTTTCATGTCCTATCTGTTTTTCTTTTAGCCTCCCCCCTGAACAGAGGAGGCCTTGATTTCCAAGAATCAGGAGACAGCTGGAAAGGTTGTCCTTGCAAGATAGCCTTATTGCAGGGCATTGTAAAAATTAGCTGGTTCCTGTGTGGAGGTAGAAGCCCAAACTTGTCAAACGAAAAATTGGCTTTCGCAAAACGACTACCTGAAAAGTCGCCAATAGTCGCGATCAGCTTGCTATGGCTCTGAGCCAGTAGGCGATCACTTGTGAAAAGCGAATGGAGCGGATGTTTGCAGAAGTTTCAGGTTTGGCCCGTGGTCCCTCCCTGAGCCACAACAAAAAACGGCAATTGACCAAGTCACCGAAAAGACACACACAAACTGTTCCTCTGGCGACCTGTCTGTTTGCCCAGGGAACACACCTTTAATGATAGCAGTGATGGGTCTGATCCAAATTACCACGTTCTGTAATACCGACGGGGCCATACGTCAGACTACTACTCGGTCGGGGTCATTGGAGGGTCCTTCGGGAGTCTTGTTTTTCAAGGGCGTTGCAGAATTCTGGACGTTGGAGGGTCAGGAGCTAAACAAAAACAAACAAATGGCACACTACTTCTCCCCGACGGGAATGTGGAGAAACCGCACCCTGAAAAGAAGCTGTTTTGAAGGAGTCTCCTTTTGAGCAACCGCTTGTTTGGGCTCCAGAAGTAGTGATTTGCGGGTAGGTCATATTTCAACTGATGACATCTTCAATACAAAACATATGTCACTAAAGATGACAAGTATGGCAAGTAATACAGATGTACGGTATGAACCCCTGAAGGTCCGATGCAACTTGGTTCCACGGTGAATGATCATAGTTCGCAACTCCTGGATCGAGTTACTTCAGCAACCAAGTGCAACCATGCGACCCTGTGGTCGCCAATTCTGATCTACCGTTGGACGAAAACTTGGCACCTGGCAGATAGTTTCTGCCGGTGGGGTTTCATCCATCCCATCAGGTCTTGCTCTCTCCCGGGGCTCATGGCCCGTCATGGCCCTTTGTGACTTGCTGGGTTTGGTTTCCCATATTGGTGGCACGGTTTGCCAACACGTTTTTGGGGCCAAGTCACCCAAAGAAAGCGAGGGCAACAGCTTCAGACATAGGTGTCCTTCTCAGGCGAGTTGTGTTACAAATCGATGGGTTCCACTGGTTCAGAGGGGTTTCCTTTCCATCGGCCGTGTGTCTTGGATGGTTTTTGCCGCTCTCTGGCTATGCCCGTTTTTTCAACTTCGGTGCCTCGTGATGGCAATGGACAGAATCTATGCAAGCGTGTCGTTCGAAATCAATTGCCCAGGGAAACTCAGGGAAACCCATTTACCAGGGAAACCCAAAAAACCAACTTACCAGGGAAACCCTTTCTTGCCATTTACTTGTTTGCACCAAAAGGGCCATTTGCTTCAGCTTCACATGGCTCCCGCGGCTGGCGCTCGCCAGGAAGTGGCTCCTCGTGTGGGGGCACTTCATCCTGCTGGGCTCCGGCCGCGGGGTGTGCCAGGCGGAGACGAAGAATCGAAAAGCAATGGAGGAGGTAGCCAAGGGAAACAAACCACTCCCAGGTCCCCCAGTAGTGCCCTTTCTCTCCCCGTTTTCGGGGGAGGGTTCCCCTACTAAAATCGACTACCAAAAAAGTTGGTACCCTGATTCTAACCTCTCTACTCGAGGACCTAGCCACTCCAAACAACTGGAAGGAAACTCGGGCAAAGCCGACTCTTTCCTGTTGAGTTGCCCAAACTTTAGATTTTAGATTCTGCTGCTAGGTTTCTTCGTCGTTCCCTTAGATGGGATGTGTTTACATTCCGTGTAGTTTGGTAAAATGAGAATTACGACCCCGGATTCATCGAGCGGGTGAATGGGAAAGGCTCTTTTCCCCAAAGGTGATTTGATTCCCTCTGAGATTGGATGTGCCCAAATCAAAATCAACCAGGACCGTTTTTTTCTCAAAGTACCTGCCAAGCTGTTGGTTTCCTCATGTTTCCTCAAAGGCGTAGTATGGCAACATAGCGAAGCATGTTACAAAGTATCTTCACTGTTCTTAGATCATTGTGTTCCGCTTTTCTAGTTTTTTGGGTTCTGTTCATTTTTACTGGGGTGCAGAAAACCATTTACAAGCCCATATCAAGAGTAGAGATGGTATGCTCTTGCAAGTCCGAGTACCCGCCCACATGCAAGGGACCTTTCATGCGCTTTTACCAAGGCCTAATTTGGCGGGAGCAACCAAAAACCTAGGCCCACCAGCGAAACAACGGAGGCTCGGAGGGGCCTCCAGTTTTGAGAGTGAAAGTTCCAGCTTGCACCAATGTGCAATCTTTTGTGTAACCTCTCAGAACCGTTTTGTTAGAACCTAGGGTCACCCAAAGTCACGAAAGAGGTCCCGCAGTCTTCCCAAGAATTAGTTCCCCTTTTTTTTTATGTTTTTTTTTGCTTTCTTGGGGTTCAAGTTTGTTTTCCACTCACCGGGCCAAAAACATTGTTTTTTTGCTGGTGTCCGATTTTTCCAGCCAAGCTGTCTGGTATGTTTCGAGCTCGGCTTTCGCCAGGGCATTGGCCGGAGGGGTGCGGGAGCCCGGGCAGTGTCGGGACCGAAAGCACGGAGCCCGGATAGACTTGGCGAAACCGAAATTATTTCGGTGTACTGATAATTTTGTATGAGTGAAATTCAACCACCCAAAATCCTCAGGTTTTGGTCCATGTTTCCATTAGGGTTCCATTCTGGGTACCTATTTTTGACCCACAGCCATATGTTTTGTTTTGTTTGGCGATTTAGTGAGAGACTAAACGACAAGTGTCAGAAACCTGCAAGGAACGAGATAGTGAACCCCTCACATGAGGGTTGGGCCCGCAAATGACCAAGGGCAACTGCTCAACCATGTCGTTAGACAAAAACATGTAATAAGTGCCTTTCCAACCAATGGTCATCCCATGTTTACTGCCTTTTGATCAACCCCATCCGGAAAATGCACTTCGCCTCAGAGGGGTCCATTTAATCGGTGGAAAAGCGGCCTTTTTGACCTTTTCTTTAAACGTTCGGTTTTAGTGAAGGTGTCAAAGCTGAGGCTTTCATTTCCAGATGCTTTGGGCAAGCGAGCAATTAGCTGTTTTCTTTTGAACTGAAGCCACAGATATCTTGGGTTGTTCAGATCCCCAATTCTTACCTGGAGTATTGGAGGGAAATGTTGTTTTACTTCAGCCATTTAATCGGTCTTATGCTTGGGTGCATTGATCAAGCCAATATTGAATTGTAGTAAGCAATTATATGAACAGCTTTGCAATGGCTTTGAACCTAGCCCAAGGTTTACCCGAGGAGAATCATATGTCTTGTTAATTGTTCATTTAATTGTTCAATGGTTGCTCCATCAGAAGCCTATATCAATTTTGCATGTGACAAAGCAGAGTTTGAACTTTCACCTGACTGCTTCTCCACTGACAGCCCAAGTTTAGCTTGTTGCAGGCAGTCAAACATCATTCCATTGATACGCCCATGCAGATCAACATGGTTCCCCAATAATTAAACACATAGCTGAGAGGAACAACCTTTTTTTGGGGGACCCTACTTGGGCCCCATGTAATTTGCAGGGGGATAGCTAGATTCGTTCTAGTCACAGAAGGTTTGCAGCTTGGAAGCGCACCGTTGCAAAGCTGTTGGTTTCGGCGCTGACGCGAATTGTAGCTGAAAGTTAGTTGGTCGAAGTGGCCTTTCAGGCAAAATTTGTCGCCTTTGGCCCGAAATATGAACACACGGACTTCATTGATTGTACGGAAACTTTAGAGCCTCCGCCGACGTTGTCCTCTCTCCTTCTTCATCTCTCCCTTGTCTCCCTTGTGTGGTTTGTTGTCCTCTCTCCCTCCCTCCGCTCCCGATCCTCCCCATCCCCCAAGCCTCTCTCTCCTCAATCTCCCTCTCCCTGTCTCTCTCTGTCTCTCTATCTGTCTCTCTCTCTCTCTCTCTCTCTCTGTTTCTCTGCTCTCCCTCCCTCTCTCTCTCTGTTTTTTTTTTCTCTCTCTCTCTCTCTCTCCCCTCTCTCGCTCTCTCTCTCTCCCGCTCCCTCCCTGACTCTCTCTCTCTCTCTCCCTCTCTCTGCATTGCAGCGTCACGTCCCCCCTGAGTTGCCTCGATGTCCGGGCACTGCCCCTTCGTGACCCTGGACTGTCATCTCACAACTGGCTTTCCCCTTGATTTCCCCTTCATGTCCTTTTCACGTTTCTCATGATGTCCCGGTCATGTCCCTTCCATTCCTTTTAACTCCCCCTTCATGTCCCTGACATTTTCTCGGTATGTCCGCTTCATTTTCCATGTATGTCCCGTTCTTGCGTTGCGAGTCATGTCCCTACATCTCCCGTCGTGCCGATTGGTTTCCTTGTGCTTTGTTTCCCTTTCATTCCCCCTGCACTCCCCTTGTTTTCATTTCTGTCCCTTTCATGTCCCTTTCAGTTATGTCGACTTCCTATTTCCTCCCCTCATTTCTTGCACTTCCTTGCATTTCCCCTTTGCTCCCCAGTATTTCCCGCAAAAAAACACTGTTTTTTCCAGCGTTTTCGCAAAGAGGACGTCCAAAAACACAGAGTTTTTCCAGATTTTCGGCAAAAGGAGGCAGGAAGCCCAAGCCAGCAAAAGAGCCGGCAGGGGGAATCGAGCCTGGGACCCCTGTTTTGCGACACCGGCTCCCCGAAGACTACGTTTAATGGAATGTCATCAAAAATTGCCGCCCCCCATGTATCGCGCGGTGATGGTCTGATAAAAATAGTCTTCGGGGAGTGGGGCCCCTTAAAGACACCACATTCCTTTGTTCCTTTCAGGCGGGGGTATTTTGGGGAGTCCGAAACCTAAAGGAACTCCAAAGTTAGGTTTGTTTTTTGGGGTGGGGTGAGGTGAGGTGGGGTCCCCTAACACCACATTCCGGAGGTTCGGGGTCCCCTAACACCACGTTCCTTGGTTTTCGTGGGGGGGCCCTTAAAGACGCTACTTTTCTTTTGGGGGTGGGGGTGTTCGGGCGGTGTTTGTGTTTTTTTTTCGGAAAGGATCCCCGAAAGACACATTCCTCCCCTCAAAGACACCACAGGGTCCCCCTTAAAGACACCACTTTCTGTTTGTTTTGGCGGGGGCGGCGGTGTATATTTTCTTTTCGTCCGAGGCAATGCTCTTCGCCAGCTTTGGCCCCCACTGCGCCCCGGCGGCACGGGTACTCCGCCGCTGCAGAGGACCAGGCGGGGCGGGCAACCAGGCGCTTGCCTCGGGCGGAAAAGCGAAGGTGGTGACTGACGCACCGTGCTTTCTGAAGTCTTCATCACTTGGGCTGAAAAACAACCCCGCGCCTTTTCGCTATGTAAGGGGCCGTCCCTTAACTTGTTTCGCAGGCCAAAACCATTGTAAATCGATACAGAGGAAAAAACCGATACCCCCAGAAGCCATAAAGACACACATCAGGTCCAAGTTGTTGTCGCAATCCAAGATTGCGGAATCATAAATTTGCAGGGCCCAATCCGATACCCAAACCGATGCCCAACCGATACCCAACTCATTGGCCGCCATGCCGAATCCAACCAGCTGCCCTGCAGCCTTCCCTGGAGCTGCCAAAATGTATTTTGTCTACTACCTTTGTACTGAAAAGTCGACTTCCGCTGTGGAGCTGCCAAAATGTACTTCGTATACTACACCATACTACACTTACTTGCACTGAAAAGCTGCGACTTTCGAGCCAGAGCTGCAAAAGTGTACTACGCATGCTACTGAAAAGTTGCGACTTTCCATCTGGAGCTGCCAAAATGTACTTTGTGTACTACACTTGTACTGAAAAGTTGCGACTTTGCAGCTGGAGCTGGGAGCTGGCAGAGTGTACTTCGCGTACCACACTTGTACGGAAAAGTCACGACTTTCGAGCCAGAGCTGCCAAAACACTGCGAACCGATGCAGAGGAAAAAACCGATACTGACCGATACTAGGGCATAAGGATACAAGGGTTGTCCACGGGGTTGTTTTTTCAATCCGACTTTGGTTGGTGTCTAATATGTGTTTTTTCTCTCTTGTTAGGTTCTTGTTTTGTTGTGTATGTTGGACAACACGTGTTTTGGACAGATTAGGGATTGAGAGTTTACGAAGGCCAAAGCAAGCTCAGGTTGGACCCCTCCAAATGAGTTTCGGTCGAGAAAGATCCAGTCTATAGTCTATGTGGGGACATGTGTACTCACTAAGTTGCAACCACAACTTGCTGCTTCTCAGTAAGGAATTAGTTGGAATTACCCCAAAGAAAACCAGCCTTTATTCGGGAATCCTTCATTCCGGTTCATTCCCAACACCCGGAGGTCATTCCTATCTATCGCAGACAGACAAATCCAGAGCATTCTCCAGTTTTACCATGTCAGCGTAACAGTCTGCATCGACCTGTTGTTCTTTTTTTTTTGTTGGGGGGGGGGGGGGGAGGACAGCACATTTGGTTGGAGTTTTGCAGCCCCAGCAAGAAAAGAACACTTTGAAAGGGACTCGTCCTAGCCAGCGCGCAACAATATTGTTGTATACCCACTACACGGTGGGCTCAACAAGCCGGGCCAAATAAGGCCACAGGCGCCGCAATTTGTTCAGGCCGATTCGGGGTAAAAGGCCAAAAACGGCCATGCAAGGCCAGATGAAGGTCAAAACATCTGCCAATTGCCAGGTTGATAGATTGATAGGCAGATGAAACTGATAGATAGACAGATAGAAGGATAAATGGTTTAATAGACTGATAGATAGGACGTTGATAGACTGATAGATGGATAAATCGATTGGTGCCAAACGGCTTCTTGGCGTTGCGTCGCTAGCGCTGGCTTTTTTTTTGCTGAGTCGTTTTCCCCCGCGCCTGCAGGTTGTCGCAGGCTGCAGCGCCAACCCATCCTGAACAATCCGTGGCTTATAAGGCGGCTGGCCGCGGTTGGTCTGCTTTGACTTTCATCTTTGTTTTGTTTGAGGGGAGTGTCTACCCGTTGAACATGAGCTGTCAAAAGCTCCAAGATGCAGTTTTGAACATCACATGACCATTTAGTTGGCTAAGAGGACGCCACCTAGGGTCAGGTTGCCATGAACCGATACTTTCGGCCAGCCAGGGATGCGGCCCAAGGGAGCATTGTGCAAAACTGTGTCATGGTTGCTGTTGGGAAGCATTGGACATTTTTGCTTATTGTGGTGTAGTGGTTGAAATCCAACCACTTAACTGCCAAAATTTAAGTTTGTTGCTCCCCTTCCAACGTCAACCAAGGTGTGTTGAGTGGTTGGATTGCCAAGTTTGGGATTGCCAAGTGTGCTTGGCATGTCCGCAAGCACCACAGTCCTTGCGACGAGACAAGAATCAGATAATCCTGGAATACGATTTGGGTCTGAACGAATATTGGGGGGCTCACTATCCAGAGTTTCTCTTGACTTACCCGTTTGGAAGGGAATCCACCGTTTTTTCCGCATGAAACCCAGGGATCCTCAAACGATACGTGTTTGGTTTCGGTGGCACCCTTGGCCCTTTTTGCCACAAGTCCTTGGTTGGTTTACTTGCAATATAAAGGGAATCCGGCGTATGGAGGATTTTGTGTTTCTTAGTACATGGAGCGTGATTGTGGGACCCTCTCAAGAGAGGTGCTGATTGTTGCTGTGTCGGACCCGCTAACGACGGGTTTCCAACAAAGAAAGGGTTCTTTTTTTCTACTGAAAGGGTCACCTGGGTAGCTGGGTGAAGCTATAAGCCTTGTCCGGACAGATTCTCTCTTAAAGGAGACACCGCTTATTAATGAAAAATGACCATACGAATTCCCTTTGGCTTGGGGACAATTGGAATTGCAACAAGTCCGTTTTAAAACGGGACCCAAAAAGAGTCTGTCTAGCGCAATTCTTCAACATGTTTTAATAGGTTGGCCCAACCTGTTCGTGGAGAAAGTGAAAACCATGGTTGTCGGAAATTGGGTTGTAGGGCCATGTTATGTACCAAAAACAGCTCTCTGAAAGTCACAAAGTAGAAATGGCCCCAAAGAACGATTCCCTTACTCCCACAACATGGCACCTGACAGAGGGTCCCTACAAGAGGAAATTGTCTTCCAGGTAGCCTCCCAGCAGTAGTGGAAGGAAGAGTATCACAGAAAGGTATATTGTCCAAAACTTGCTGGTGCTCAGTAGGGACTGACCTTCTTCGGTTTTGGGAATGAGCCGGTTTTGGGGATTCCCTGAAAAGACACCATCTCGGGGATGGTTTTTCTCGGGGTCATTCAATTCCCTGCCTATGGAACCAGCCAGAAAGCCACAAAGGGGAAAACGTCCATTTGCTGAAGTAGATTTTATTTTTTCCCTTTAAAGGGAATCGGTTTCACGGTTATATTTGTTTCCAGGGGGCAAAAAAGCAAATGGAGGAAATCCATCAACGGAGGAACCCTGCATGAATTGTCCTTCATGGTGTTTCATGGTTTTCCATTTTGGGCTTACCAATGATTTGACTCGGCAAATTAATCCAAAGACTAAACCCCGCGAACCCTCTAGCCCCTAGCTCTTTAGCTTTCAGCCACACCCATTTCTGACCCCCTTCATGGCTTTTCATGGTTTTTCATTTTGGGGCTACCAGCTTTTTTTGGTGACCACCACACCCGTTTGGTCCCAAACCATCGAAGGGTCACCAAGGATTTCTGCCCAAAACCCTCGAAGGGGACTCGTCAGGACCTCTTGGCGCTCCTGTCTGTGGCCTTCGATCAGCAGCGAAGCGTCATGGCCACGCCCATGCCTCGGCGTCTCTTGTTTTGTTTTTTGGTTTTGATTTGAATCTTTTTGGGAGTTTTTTTTTTTTTTTTTGGGGGGGGGGGAGGGAGTTTGTTTTTTTTTGGGGGGGAGGGAAGTGTTTGTTTGGTGTTTTTTGTTTTTTTTGATTTTTGAGGGTGGAGGTGGTTTTTGTTTTTGGACCCTAGCAATCACCTCCCCAACTCACTTCCGATCCAGTTCCGCTTCGAACCTTATATAGGACTTTAGCCACTTTTTGGGTTTGGACCATTTTAGCGCTGCGCAACAAGTGTGGGCATGTGTTGGGCCATCCACTTCGGAAGTGAGCCAAAGAACCTCCCCAGCCGTTTGTTTGTTTTCATAACTGCTTTGTTTTGTTTGAAGAAGCGTTGGCAGCCCTACCGTTGGGTGGGGTCTTGGAAGTGATCTGCATGGTGCCTGAATGTTGGGAACAGGGTGCCAAAGACGATCAGAACATCCCAAACAAGAACAAGAGGCACCACACCCTCGCAGGGAAATCCTGGGAATCGCCACAAGACACCAGAACAGGTACTATTCAAGCTTCGTTTCAGGGAAATAGGTCTTTGGGTGTCCTTTGAGTCTAAGCGTTGATGTCGGCCATGGCTGGCCGATCCTTTTATAATGAGAAAGCTTTGGATTTGGACCCGTATTCTAGGTTTTCCAGTCGTATGCCCTTCTTTTGCCCCTTTTTTTTAGGTAGGAAGGGTTCCCCTACTAAAAAATTGACTACAGAACAAAGTGGTTACCGTTCTTCGAACCTCTCAAATCTGGAGGACCTCGTATTTTTGCGGGCCCTTAAGAGCTGGGCATCAAGATCAACCCAAAAGTTTTGCGCTCTCAACGGTGCGCGCGCGCGGAAGGTCAGCGGAGGGTTTTTGGGTTTCGCGGGCGAAAGTCCATGGGCAAAGGATTCCTTGGCAGTTCTTTACCACATGCCTTGACCTTTAAATTCCGCAGCTAGTCTACTTGATGAGAGCTATCTTGGAATTCACACTGAGTTCAATGGAAACCACCCGCTGGAAAGAGATCACCCTGCTTTTTGGACAGACCCACAGACAGTCAGGCAACCCTTGATTTTTGTTGTGATTTCATTCCTTGTCCATGCTGTTCAATTGTCTGGCAAGAACGATCCGTGGAGTACAGAATTGGGAGGGTTGCCTTTAGATTTTTTTTGCCAGTGTTCTGGGTGGGTCACAAACTCAACGGCGGGGGCAAACCAAGCACATCTTGCCTCCAAAGAGAACTGCAATATCTACCTGTTGGTCCAACAGTCGACCCCGGCAAAAAGTAAATGGTTGTTCGTTCTCAGTGGCTGGACAGTTCCACCATTGAGTTTTGTTATAGGGTGTCCCCTGTCATTGAGTGTTTTTTGTGATTAGGGCAGACGGTCAGAATTACCTGTACTTGTGACTTTGAAGGGGATGTTCGGAATTACTTGTTGGCTTTCGATTGTTTCGTCTTACTATTTCAAGGCGGCCGCACGAGAAGCAATCGAACAAACCCCCATGTCAGCTCCAGCTCAGCGCGAGAGCATTAGCACGGCATTAGGAAGAAACCGCTGTCTTAAGAGCTTGCTGGCTAAGGGCTTGTTGGCCAAGTAGGCTTTGCCCTATGATGTAGCTAGCCCAGTAGGGTGAGGAAGCGCACAAAGGCCTTGAGTCGCAAGCCGGGTACTTGCTTCTCACTCTGCGTATGCCATTGTTTGCGTACCTTCCCTATAGCCTAGAGCCGTTCCATTCAAAGCAATGACTAAACCACAGGCTAGAAGTTAGGGTCCCCAAAAAAAACCTTGAACTGCTACCTTTTGCAGGGGGTCTGTTCCTGCCCCCCTAACGGAAGTGGGTAGACCATGCAAAACACCTCACTCCCTGAGTTCCGTTTCGGACTTTCGTCACTCGGGTTTGGACCAGTTCAGCGCAAACTTCAGCTGGGCGTTTTCCCCCCGATGACAAGCTACAGAAGTTGCGGTCGAATCGAATCCGACCTAGACCTTTTTAGTGGTGCGCAATCAGTTTGGACTTGTTTGTATTCAGAATCCAATACAGGGGGAGATACATGGCCATGGTTCACAACCAATGGTACCATTTTGGGACCGGTGCACCCCCTTTTAGTCTATTTTAGTGAGGATTGGGATGTTCACTGGGGGTGTGGGGTTTTGACCCACGGCCACATCTGTTCAACGAAGCCATGAGTTTGGCCTTATTTTCAGCCTTGGGAAGGTAATGGATGGACCAATTCGATGATTATATTCAATATCCAATACAGGGAAAGATACATCTTTTTGGAATTCGTTTTCGGCCTTGGGCGGTGAGCCCAAGACCCTCGATCCCCCGAAGCCAAGTCTCGTGTTGGCGCAAAATCGAGTCGCGCAGCGCGACTCGACCGAGGCAGCAGAGCCGCATGGATCGGCTCCTGGCGGAGTTCGCGGAGTTGCGCCAGGAGCTCGAGGAGGAGCCGAAGCGACGCGGCCGAGAAAATTTGGCGACGTGGAAAGCGAAGAAGCGGGGAAGAGGTGGACCTCAAGAACCTTCGAACCACGATCATGGGAAAAAATGGGGGAATGTATGCAATCCCCTCCCCCCCAGAAAAAAATAATAAAAATCACAAACAACAAATAAATAAGTGAGACAAAATAGTCAAAATAATTAAAAGAATAGTAACACAAGCAATAAAGACACAATCCCAAACCTCAAGCGTTGAACATGCACGGCTCTTTCTTAAACCACCAAACCCACCCCACCAAACCCCGGTGGTGGTGCTCATCCAAACTTCCACCGGGCATCCCACGTATTGCACGGTGTCCAAGCGGCTTGCGCCAGGATCCCGAGCTTCAAATGCTCTACGAGGAAGTTCGCAAGCAGCGCAGCTTGCATGCAATGATTCATTCATGGTTTGGTGTGGGGAATCGATCAATTGCCACTCCTTTTTGAGCCCGGTCGAATGTTTGCTTCGAAATTTGAGGATCGAGGAATTTACAACTTGTCGCTCTCCTTTTTGAACCCGTTCTAAATGGTGGCTTAAAGACCTTTTGAGACTTTTGGGAACGTCGGCACAGGAAAGGGAAAGGACAAGAAGAAGAAGAAGAAGGGAAAGTCCAAGAAGCATCTCGGCTGCACTTGGAGACACGACTCAGGAGTACCTCATTCTCTGCTCTTATGCCTTACACCCCTGGTTCTTTGATTGCCCTTAAACTCGCCCCGGGCCCTTTCTTCCAGCGCGAAATGGCTCATGCGATCCATATACCCTATGCTTTGTTGCGGGCGTGCCGCTTTTCTGGTGAACCATGGGTTGTAAACGGGGCACCGCTGATTGGTTCCCTTATTCACACGGTTACAGCGTGCTCTGAGTTCCTCTTGACCCCGGGGGTTCGGAGAACCAAACATGAAAGGGTGACGACCCTGATTGTTAACTAGGTCCCCCAGCTAGATGCCCTTCTCCCCTTTTTTGGGGGAGGGTTCCCCTACTAAAATAGATGACAGAAAACAGGGTACCCTTATTCTTACCTCTCTACTGGAGGACCTAGTTGAGGATGCAGACTCCAGGAGCTCGTTGGTCCCCTGTATGTTCCTATTTTTTATTGGGGTTTCAACATCACCTTTTCGGGCCAACTCGAAGCGAGTTTTTACCTTGATTCGTCCAGATGGTTACCCTGTTTGGCCTATTCCCCCCAAGGTCACCTTGTACTTCCAGGCGTAGCAAGTGAGATACTGTGGATAACCAGGCCCTTTGGTTGCCAGTGAGATGCTGTGGATTGGCAAAATCCATTTCGCACCAGTTGCCAGTGTCTCAACCATTATTCAAATCGGGCTTCATTTATCCCAAGTGCGAAGTGGATTTCGTCCACCTGGTGGATTCACCACATACTGTGGATGGACGAAATCCTGCACCACCGAAGAAGCCCTGGAATGGTGCGAGACTCGCGGATTTCGTACCCATCCACAGTGGTGCTCATTGACACCACGAGGAACACCGGAAATCCGCATGATTTTCTTGACCGGATATCAAGATGACCAGCACCACCAGATTTCTCCCGGATCGCCACTTGCCGCTTTTTTCCCATGCACTTTACCCCAAAAAACGGCAACAGCGACGGACACAAGCGACCACTGGGCTATCTCGGCTCCCACCTCCCGGCTCCGTGTCGAGCCGCGCGCCGAGGAAGGCCAAGAAGGCTCCGGACTCCCAGGCGGCCGGGAGAGGAGTTTCTTCGGACCTGGCGCGTTTTTTTGGTTCTTGGGTCGTTTTCGGGGCGCCAAAAATCTTGGGGTTGGCGTTTTAGGGCGTTCTTGGGGTGTTTTTTTTTTTGGGGGGGGGGTTGGTGTAGAGGGAAACCAGAAACCAGAGGGAACCGACCAAGTTGTTGGGTTTCCCCCCGCATTCATTTCGACACATATTTGTTTGAGTGTAGCTTGTTTTCATGCTCAAGGACACAAGAGGCCACAACGGCAAGATGGAGTCCATGTCCGTGTCTTTTTCTTTTTACATATATATATATATAATATTATATATATATATATATCGGGAAGAAGAGCGCCCCTTGCCAAGGTCGTTTAAAGTTGTTGCATTTTGCAGGGTTTTCAAGATTACTTGGAGGGTGGTGTCCCTTCAACCCACCATTTAGATGGCAATTTTGAGGATGTCACGTGAATGAACACGCTTGAGAGGGATGGGAATGGACCCTTTCGGCGCATTAGGCAGCCAACGTAAGGATTTGTTTTGAGATGTAGTGAGGGCATGGACTGCTCAGACGCGCGATGTTTGATTTGTTGCTTCCGGATACAATGTCGACCCCTGGTTCATACTCCCCTAGAGGACTTGCTTTTATGTTGTTGTTTTTTATTCTTCCAGGGGGCCGGCCCTGATCCACAACTGGGTGGTGTATTAATCAGTGGTCACCTTTGCTCTCCGGCTGTTTTTTTTTCCGTGTGGATCCCATATGACACATACATACAGGATCATACAGGGCAACCGTTTCCCTTCCAATTTGTGAATAGTGGTGTGCCTGATCATAGAACCCCAACATGCCCACTCATAATTAGAGGAATCTGCTCTTGACAAGAATGGTAAGGGCATTGAACAACACAAAGAAGCCGGAGTAGTTGGAGTGTCGACACCTTTCCAGCCACAGATCATAAAGTGTTTAGTTGAGCTGACAAACTGCAGACTTTGCTTGACAGGTTGTTTCATCATTTGAGTCAAGGCAACCAATTGAGTCACTTGTTCTGGGCTTCGCCTTTGCCTGTGAAAAGACATGCAAGTCAATTTGTTGCTCCCATATGTCCTCTAATATGATCCCATCCGTTGCTGGTTGCTTTCCCGGCAAAGGCTACGCTTGCAAGAAAGCTGAGCTGACCCACCAATAAACCAACAAGGATCCCATATATATATATACATACATAGTTGATCCCTTGAATATTACAAGGGAACAAGGATTGCCATGGGTTGTGCTTGCATTGCTCGCACAATTTAGCAAATCCACTGATGCCATCCAATTTTGGTCTTCCCATTTTGCTCAGTCCTGGAAGTGGCCATTCTTTATTGGGATGTTTATATGAAGATCGCAAATCTTAGCCCAAACATTGTTCGCCATTCAACCAACCCTTTGGCCTTTTGTTTTTCCTTTGTTCGTTTGTTAGCTTTAGCCCGAAAAGCTGATCGCTCGTTTCTCCCCGGTCCCTTCGTTGAACGCTCCATGGAGAGGAGCGTGAGCCTGTTTGGCCCAGAGGGGATGAGCATTGCGGTTGCCAGGCAGAGAGAGCCTCCATTCTTCCCAGAATTAGCTCCCCTTTTTCATGGTTTGCTTTTTTGGGGTCCCATTGGTTTTCCGCGAACCAGGCAAACAAAAAATAAAGTTGCTTCTTCTCTTTTTCTGAGGTCCTAATTCCAGCCAAGCATTTGGGTTACCCGATCCAACACATTTGGGCTTCCCTCACTGCCCCCAGACCAATCCCCAAAGAACAACTATGGCAATTAAGCCATATATGTAGATTTGATTTTCCCTTTACCGTGAATGTTTGTTTTTCTTGAAGTGCATGTTCCAGGGGTTTGGTGGTACAACCTTTGAGATCCGCTGACAACTGTTGGGCAAGAGCAGGGATAGCGAGCTCACGCTTGTTGAGCATGAAGGTTCGGAGACGCGTTTGTGATAACAAGTCATTGATCTTCGGGCCGGGGGGTCTTGTTTGAGGGTGCATTTTAATTTGACGCTCTTGGATTTTTATCCTTATAACCTTTTGCGAAATGGGGTCAGAACCTGGAGGCTCCACAGACAACAACTCACCAGCAACAAATGTAATTTTCTTGCGCAGGGGCGATAGCCATCAAGCTCCCTCGCGAATGAGCACGGAGTCCACAAAAGCATCATCTTTTCACCGGCCGTTTTGGGCTCCTTCCGTTCATTTCCCCAATTGGCAGCAAGTCCCCATGTCGCATGTCGAAGTCGCGCGCTTCGAATCCATTCTCCGGAGGATTCGGCAGCCTGGAGGCGGGTGGATGAGTTTCTTCGACCGTGGTGCCCCCAAACGAATGGTCAAAGCGCGCTGTTGCTTGGGGTGGGTGGGTCTGGTGATGTCTCCTTGACTGGGGATTAGACAACTAGAGTTCCTACCAAAGGCCATGACCATGGCTCAGATCACAGCACAAGGTCTTTGGAACTCCAGATAATCATTCTTGCCAAGCTGCGGGACTTCTTCATAAGCCATGCGATGAACAAAGTAGAGGTCCCCGATTTCACAATTTTATACTTCCCGCAAGAGTGAAGACAGTGAAGACAGGGGTCCCTACATTTCCCTTTTTGGCTGTTTTAAGCAGCACCTTGTTGGCCCATGAAAGGAGCTTCGTGTCCCTTGGTGGGGGTGATGTTTTCAGGGGGAAATTATGGGGAGCCCTGGAAGATGCAGCGCACCATTGCAGAACTTGAGCTTGAAGCTGGACTCCCCCAAGACCAAACGCCAGCTGGTCGCCACCCTGCAAAAAGTCTTTAAACCTGGGGGTCTTCATTCAAAATTGAGGGCTTATGACCCCCATTTTCTTGGGGTCATGTAGACTCTAGGAGGATTTTCTAGGAGGAAGCCTCCACAGTGCTCACAGCCCGCCCTGGTTCCCCGTATCAGCTCTGCCTCACCTGCTCGCCCAATCAGCCGCCCAGTCGGCCTCCAAGCTCTGTTGGGGGTCTCGTTTTTAGGGGAACGCCCTTTTGGTTGGTTTGACTGTTTCGAAGGGAAACCAGGAGCCAATCGTTTCAACCCCCATCTTGGGCAAACAAACGGAGCTCGCTTCCATGGAAATTGTAGCTCGGACAAAAGGCGAGTGGATCTGGTCAGCTTATCGAACCTGACCCACTCCAACGGCTCCAATCACTAGCTCCCAAGATGTGGGGAGTTGCCACTTCTCTCGGGAAGCGGCACACTGGCTCCGGAACACGGGAGACCTCGGCAGACCCCTTGGCGATTCTGGTCCCGGTTGGGGACACCATTCGTTCACCAAGGCCCTCGGAAACCATCACCATCCCAGTGCGCGACCAGAACAACAAGCAGCTTCTCATTTCGGTGAGACTCTTCCGTTTGAATGGCTTTGCCCCTGAAACAAGGTGTGCCAATTCGGAAACTGAAACCACATTGAGACGACCATCGCCGTGCTGTTGCCGGGCTGCACATAATTTCCAAGGAATGGGACTTTTGGGGGTAGGAACCTGGTCTGAAAATATGGCACAAAAATGGCCCTTAAAGGAAGGGCTTGCCTTTGGTCACGAATGCCAGTCTTGCTCCCCCGTTGGCGCAAATTTGATCAGAGGTCGAGCGCGTAAACAAAAGTGGATGGTTGACGCTGTTCAAACAAGAAAGACAGAACTGGGATCTCTTCTGAGAGTATTCGACATGTCTACTGCAAATATGGACCAGAACATAGAAATATGATGTGCAGGTTCAGGGAAACCAACAACTGAGATAGAAAATGGTAACACTTCGCACACTTGTCTCCCCCACACCCTCATGGGAAAGCCCAAATTCCCCAAGAACCCCAAAGGCTGAGGGATTCCTCAAAAGCGGGTGGTTGTGAAGGGCCCTTGCATTGTAGGATCCTTAAGGTGACAGTCATTGGCTCAACCATTTTGAAAGATTCCAGCAAGAGGCGAAGGCGTTAGGCACCCCCCCTCCGAACCTCAGAAAGGTTCGAATCAAACCCTTCCATCAGAGCCTCGACCGGAACAAACAGGGTGAACGTGCCTTTCCCAAAAAAGAACCTATAAGAACCTCCCTGCTCACCCAGCTTGGGTGTTTTTTTCATGCGTCACCATTCGGATTAATGTGGGTCAGGTTTGCTTTTTCGCGACAACCTTAGGACCTAAGGACCCTGTCATTATGAATGAAATGTGGGCACAAACTCTAGGGTTTACCCTTTGTAGACGTTGGTGAATCTGTCGACCTGTTTTGGGGGAGGAGGGGGTCGTCGAGAAAGCACTCACATATAGGGAGCCTTGTGGCTGCACGCGCCTGCACGGCTGAAGAGCCACGCCAGGGCGGAGTTGTAACATCAAGCTCAAGGACCGGGCGACTCGAAAACGAGTTCCTGGCGAAGTCTGTAAATGTTGGAGAACCTGGGGTCTCTCTACGGGGTTGTGGGATCTTCCCCGGGGTTTATCCCCACTTCGATCTTCCCCCCGTAAAAAAGGGGGGCTTAGTCTTTGTGGGAAGCCCTTTTGGTGGTATCGCAGAAGTGATCATTTCCCACAGCCCCTTCTTCTTGGGGCCCCCGATCGTTTTTTTGCTATGTGGCCCCAATTGAAACCGTCGCTTCTCTTTATTTGTTGGTGCCAGTGCGCGGGACTCCCCCGAAAGGTGCTTCTTTCTCCAGACCACAGTCTTCCAATGCTAAATTAAGTTAGACTCCTCGAGGAAGTATGCCAAGGTCCCGGAAGAGGATTCGAACTGCCCTGAGACGGACCAAGCCGTTCGGGGGAAGACTCCCACGGTGAGATAGCCATGGATACAGACTCTTGGAAAGTTTGACAGGGTTGCAGTAGGGTTGCTCGCCTCAAAGCATTGACTAGAACATTGGCAATGATTGTGCCAGATGTCAAGACCTCGGGTCTTTGGAGCATTTCACGAGCCTCCAAGTCTGTGGATGGCAAAGGTAAGTCAAGTTGCAACTAAGCCAATCCCGGGATTCTTCAATGAACCCATGAGCACCCCAGCCCACTTGTCCTGGGTACGTACGTCTAGGGGAAACATCCGCAGCACATGGGCACCAACCCCTCTAGGATCGCAAAAAAAAGTCATAAAAAAACAGTCTTATGGCAGAGGTTCTTCATGGCCGGAAGAGTCTTGAGGCGGATGATGGGAAGTCAGGACATCAACCTTTGCTCTAATTCAACCTCAAATTGAGTGGGGAGTTCTTCATGTGCCCAATTCAAGACGTCATGACCTCAATCGTTTAATGGTTTGAGGGTCTTGAGCCATTAAGGGTCAAAGGGGCGTGACTGGAGCACTTGCGATTCACAGTGGCCCAGCTCTTCTTTTCTTTGTGGGTTTTCCTTCCAAATCAGGCAACCCAAAAGGGTGTCCATGTTCCGGCTTTTCCGGTGGCCACGGGTTTGCAGAACAGTTCACCCACGATCAGCCAAACCTGCAATGGCAAGCACGCTTGCTATGGTCGAAAACACGTGCTTGGTTTTTAGGCTAAAAACACATGGATGGTCGCCACCCCTCAATTGAAGACATGGGTGCATCAGACTGCTCCATTTGGTAATGTCTGACCATGCTTCGGGCGTCCTGGAGACTCCAGGTAGGCCTGAAAGTTAGTCACATTTTGCAGTTCCTGCTACGCTGCTGAAACCCTTCACCCTTAGTGGCGCGTGCTATTCGGGTTTACTGCACAGCAATTGAGCAGATATTCGGCACTTGAACGATCAGCATTTGACTTTTGGGTGGTGGAGGTCTGTTTTCGGGGGGACCGAAGGGCGGTCTGTTGATCCAGGCCTCGCGGCTCCGGGGGCTCGTGCCGCTGGAAGGTGCTCTTTGCTCGTCAGCTGCCTTGCGATGTTTTGACTCAAAGAAGTTATACTGGGGGGGGGTTCTCAAAACTCAGTCCAATCCAGACCTGTTGACCTTTTGGTTTTGCCATGTTGGTCCATTTTTTGTCATTGCCCCAAAAGGTGATCACCTTTGATTCCGGGGTCCCTAAGGGGCAACTGAGAAAAGAGTGGTTTCCCTACAAACAGTGAGTTTACTCTCGGGTTTCCGTTTAGCTACCAAAAGGGGGTCCACCATTTTGAGACCCCTAGGGGATTCGGTGGATGGGGGCATGGCGCGATTGTCCCTCTCCAGAAGCCAGGGGTCCTAGCTGACCTAATGTGGTGACCCGAATTGAGGTTTTAGCCGCTTCCAAGAGACGAAGTTTGATGGAGCTTGGTGTTGTTCCACTTGGAAACGGCATCGTGAGACAAAGTTTTGGGGCTGGTTCACAGGAAGTCGAAGGCCGACCCCGAGGAAGGGAAAAAGAACCAGCAACCATGGGGGGAACAAACAAGGGTCAAACTGGATTCAATGCATCAGATAAGATGTCAATCTCTTCCATTTGCTGAAACGCGAGTAGTTTTTGTTTTTTTCTCCCGCGGGTGTAAAGGGAAGCAATTTCACTGGGCATACATTGTCTCATTTTTTTATTTTATTTTTCCGGGGGGCGACTTCAGCAAAGGGAGGAACTAGCCTCGAAGCCTCCGCCGATCCGCCGATCTCGCGGGAGGTGACTTCCTGGCGCCGAGATCGCTTTTTCCCCCGTGGCAGCCCAGGCGAGTTGGGCAGCAGGGGCGAAGCCGGGAGCAGAAGAAACTCGGACATTACTTCGATGTGCGCCAGTTTTCTTTTGTTTTTTTGAAGAAACCTTTGCTTTGTGGTTTTGATCACTACTGGTTGTGTTTGATTTTTTGCCAGCGGGCTCAAGCAAAGGGAAGAATATCTGCAACTTTGAGGATGTTTCGAACATTTGTTGCTGTTTGCTGAAAGTTTGGAAGCGTCGCCGTTTCCCTTTCCCCCTTTCCCAGACCTTCAGTGGCATCCTTTTTTCCTTTTCTGGATGAGGGTTTCGTTCAAGGTGGCTGTGGGTCAAAAATAGGGTAACCATGGTAACCCCAAAATGAAACCAAACCTGCGGTGCATATCCTGGTGGATTATTTTTGACCTATACCCAAGTAAAGTAGCCAAACATAAACATGATCGGAGCGCTTATCAACAAAACCTCAAAACGGGGGCGCCCTCAACAACTTTTAGCATTTGTCTTGTCCGCCTTACATCTTGGAAGTGCCGTGGCCTTGTTTGTTTGGCTAGGTGCCCGAATGGGGCTGTGAGGCACTCTCAGGAGCCTGTCAAGTTGGCAAGCTCTAGTTTTGTTTTGTTTACAGGTGTTTCTCGATCTTACTCCCTGAGTTCATGGACTTTAAGCACTTTGGGAACGCCATTTTAGTGGTACATAAAACGCTTGGACTTTGCTTGGCCTGTCCAGTCAGGAAGTGAGTTATGGCTTTCTTCAACTAAATTCCCACACTCTTCATACGGAGCACAAGGGTTGCAGGTGGAATCAGAGGTTTGTTCTCCAGACACGGACTTATACACTAGCAGCCTTTCGGGCTCATGTGGGATGACTAACTGGTGGTACCCCGAATAAAAGGACCCCCTGTCCATACCATTTCTCAGAATGTTGGCACAAGACAATTTATTCTCCCTTACTCATTATTATATAATCTTGAAGGTTGATCTCCTTAGCTATACAGGCAAAAACTTTTGCACTTACTAAAATGAGTCTTTAGAGGCGAACACGCTTTTTCCAGGGGTCGGCAACAGCTCAAACGTCTGAGATCACTTCCGTCCAAGGAGCCTTCATGTGAGCCACCGCACCAGGCCAACGCGGCAACGGTGCGCATAGGGCAATGCGAGCTCAGCTCGCGTGCCATGCGCGCCTGTGCTTGAATTCTAGCTTCGGGATAAACCGAGTCAACCATGAGACTTTGTCAACATATCATAATATATCAAACATATCCCGTAGTCCATTGGTCAATTTGGCAGGGACATGGGGGGATTTCACGAATGTCTCACAACAAAAACTGAGGGACTCACTCTTTCATAGGAACCGCATATTGGCGCTCTTGGAGTGAGTTGATGAGCTGTGGCTGAATTGTGGGAAATCACTACCAACCATGAATCGTGGCTTCGGGAGAATCCACAAGTTATGTTCACGTCGTGTAAGCAGCACCCTTCCTAACTAACCTTTCCTGGTTGTGCACCAACCTGGGGCCCATCGTGGACAGATAAAGACGCCAACCTGAGTCAGAATCAAACCTAGTATCGGAGGAGTCGACCCAAGTCCAAGCAACACCACGTAAATAATCAATAATGGCTTTTGAACGGCAATCCGCAATGCACCCTTTGGGTTTCCCTTTCTATGTAGTGGGTCTTCAATGGCGTTGAACCGCGCAGGTCCATCCCACTCGACACGACTCAACAAATTTGGCTTGGCCTTTCGTTTCAGGTTTCCAGCAAGGGGGACTAGGTCCCCCAGTAGTGCCCTTTTACCCTTTTTGGGGGGAGGGTTCCCCTTCTAAAATAGACTACCAGAAAAACGAAAAAAAATGGGTACCAACTTATTCTAACCTCTCAAATCTGGAGGACCTAGGGGATAGACCCAAATCTTCAGCTGTTCTTTTGGGTGCTGGACACCTCCATGTTTGCGGGGATATGCCCAAATGTTGACACACCCCATATTGATCACCAGGTGTATTAATAGGGTAACCCGCCCCATAAGAATAAAAACTGGGATGAATTAATCTGGGGTCAACATGATGATTTTTTTCATCACCTTTCTGCTTCCGAATCTTTTGGTCGCAGGGGCCGCAGGGGGTTCATCCCGAGAGCTGTTGCACCCGTGTAAGGCTTTTCACGCCGCGCCTTGCAATAGCTGGCGTGGCAAGACTGCAATAGTTTGCCCATCCACATACACAAGTCCATTGGCTGGTTTGGATGGAATCCACAGGTAGACTCGGCAGCCAAATTGTTCGTAAGAAGGCGTTGTAATCATTGCAATTCTCGTTTAGGCGCCAACTAGTCTATATTTGCACCAAGCAGAAATACATTTATAAATCAGACGAGCATGCTAGACTCTCTGTTTTGCACCCAGACATTGCTATGCAGTTGTGCCTCGCACGCTTCCGTGTCGACCCTATGCCACGTGCAGAGAATGATAAAGCTATGATGGCCTGATAAAGCTATGATGGCCTGATAAAACGCACCGGCCAAAGCCGAGTCAGTCTCCATGACCTATCAGGACCATTTGTGGTAGGTGTTATACTTCTTGTCTTTTTTGGTTCTGCTTCTTTTTCAGTGGCTGCAAGGAACAGTTTCCAACAATGCAGAGGCCGGAAGTGCTTGTTTGCTGGTCTTGGAGACTTCAAGTATGCAAGACAGGCTTTGGGAAATTTAATCAGAATGCTTACCGGTGCTTGAATCATTCTCCAAAGCCGTTTCACCTCATAACATTTCG